GCACTTGCCTCAGAAGTAGTATAGCCCGATGATTCTATCCCCGATTGTTCCCCGAGAATTCTATCTCCACCATATCCCCGATTGTTTTCCCTGGTATTAAGAGAACAAATATTATGTATACCCTGAGGTGCACATTTCTTCTAAATTCAGCGGAACTCTCTCATACGTCACGTGGAGCAGAAGTCTATGATCTTACACCCTTAAAGGCAGATCTTATACCCGCTTCTTAGACCCTTAAAGGCAGCCTTAATGGTAGTTGAAAGACTACGGCAGCATCTCCCTCTTCGCCGATAAGCTTGGGGTCAATCAGCTCCAATCCTTCAGCAATCTCTGCTATTTCAGATTGTGTGTGCGCCCCCTCCAAGTCCAGTCCTCTTTGTACTTAAAGGTTGATAAATGGCTCACTTCTTAGTCACAATCTTCTCAAGTGAGGACTTTGGCTTGTCAAAATGAAATGTTTCAACCCTTAATGTAATGCCGACGTTGCCTCCATGCCGCGCACACCGCTTTGTTGGAATATAAAATTCGCAAAATATTCGCTCAATTCTGCTACGCCGTTTATCATCTCCCCAAATACGAAGATTGAGGAGCGGAAAGCGTACTCATAATTAGAGGCTGCGGAATCACACTCCTCAGAACATCCCTGGCGCCTTTTTCAAGTAGAAAAAGAGCCAGGGATGGCGGTGCGTGATGTGATTTTTCGGTAACCCTTAACATAAGCCTCGTAGGAGGCTCTCAGTGACTGATCTTGTTCGTACGTGACACGAAGCCACCGCCGACGTTGCCGCATGATTTCCTTTCCCGCTTTTCTTTAGAGGCATACGACAGGATCGGATATTAATTACGGAAGATATCTGGCAGATAGAGAATAGTCATCACCTGGATACGATTTTCTCCGATAAAAATACCTCGTCAGGGACCACTGGAGCCTTAATCTAAGGCGCCTATTATGATATAGTGACCACTGGAGCCTTAATCTAGTGCGTCCTCATCCATCAGATCGTGTCTCACAGGTGTGAGGAATCTCAATGCCGTGCGAGGTAAGGAACTGTCACCGGAGTTGCCGCTTCTCGGGGATAGTGGTGTACTTCTGTGAATACTTCCACTCATTGAGAGCGTCAGCATGCGAATGTTATTCCCCCTTTGCCTTCTTACTTAGGAACGACATTCCCATGTCTTCGTCCCCAATGAGTAGCATCATACTTTCTGGGAGTGGGAGGAAAAGCATTGCTTCTTGTAACCGCCCGACCACCTTCCTTCACAGCCTCTGCGTCTCCTCTCTTCTCAGCTGCACCTGCATCATTGTCACTGGTCTTCTAAGAGGTGTGGGCAATTCATCTCAGGGATCATCTGCGACCCGTTTTCCCTCTTTTCTTTTTCTCTCTTTCAGATGACTCATTTGCAGATGTTCTCCCAGACGGCTTTGGAGATGAATTCCCTACACGACCCATAACCAACAGATCGGCGGCGTTACTGGTCTGCTCGAGCGTTCGAACATTGCCAGGACCGTCATCTGTGATCACTCCTTGACCTAACTGGACGCCTCTCCGCACCACATCCACAGGAGTGGCTTCATCTATTTCTTCGTCGGCAAGAATAGCCTCAGCTGGATGGCGTCTATTCCATCTAGGCAGACCGTCACGGCTATCCCTCTCCCCTTGAAAACGTTTAGTACTACTAGCTTTGGAACTTTTGCCAGGACAGGCACAACCTGTCCCATCCCCCTCAGCGCCTTCTAGAAACCCCGTAGTATTCCTCGTGTCCTCGTTTTCAAAGGTGTCTTCATCACCTTCTTGTTCTGCCTCACGACAGGCACAGCAAGGTCCTCTCGCATCTAGCCCTTCCTCGAGAAACACAGATTTATCGAAACTGTTGTTTTTGACCCTAGGAGAAATATCCTCAACTTCTCCTGCATTGTCGAGGAAGACCTCCGCGGCTTCCTTGGTATTGTTCGCGACTTCCCCATGATCATGTGCTTTATTCGAATAATTTGTTCTCTCTGACGTCGTCTCATTTCTCGTGTCGTATTAGAGAAGGAAGCTGTGGTCTTCCTCTCTCCTCTATCTAACGCACAGTGAATCCCTAAAGCAAAGCCCTCTTTCCTCAGTACAACTTGGGCTTGGATATATTATTTCAGAGATATTAATTCACGCACGATAGAAGCGTCGTCCGTACCAGATGATAGGCTACAACTCACTCACAAGAGATAAGTACCTCGTTGTACCGGATGATAGTAAAACGTTAGTTGTAGCCATGCATAAGTATTGAACTTTGCTAATGCTCCTCCATCCACTACATCGTCAGTCGCTTTGTCTTCCTCCAATGCTCCTCCAACATCGTCAATCGTGTTACTGGTACTTGTCTCTGACATGATTACTTGTTCTTCAATATCATTCATTTTGATGACATCGGCAATGGTATCCTTCTTCTCTGTCTCCGAATCTTCATTCTTCTCTGTCTCCGATTCTTCTGATACTAGATCATCAGTTGCGACAAAGCTGAGTAACAGGTCCGATTCGGTAAGAGTTGCTGCGTAACGCGCAGCTTTTCGATTTTGCTCCACGACACTCTCGTATGCTTGACTGATGCTTTTCTTAGAAGACCTCCTATTATACTTTTTACTTCTACTTCTAGTCTACTTTACAGTAAGGTAGAAGTTCTTGAGTACAACTTCAGGCCTTAATTGACCACGTGGAACTCGCCCGGAAATCATCCAAGAACAATACCCAAGACGCAGCGAATTTGTAGTAGGACGCAGCAAAATCGGCGTCCCCTCGCCACCATGCCAACGATAGGAGAAGTATTAGATGACTCCTGAGAGTTCATCCTTCAGTTTCTCCATTAAGTTATGTTATTTTCATCATATCCTTATAAACTACTTCATCTAGCTACTCCAATCCGGAGTGTTTTTAGGTGCGAGGCTCTATCCCTGTCGTCCCTCAAAAAAATCCCCGCGAAACAAGGCTGCCTATAGGTCAATCAAGAGAGAGAGCCTTCCAAGAAAGGCTGAGGATGGAATATACCTCGAGGATGCCTTTCACGTCGAGGGTAGAATATTATACCTCCTTACGACAGAGCAGGACTTGCATACTACAGCGGATGAAGAAAGAAGTGAAAACAAACATCAACCAACTATTTTTACACTCACAAAAAGCTGAAACCATTGAGAGTGACGAACAAGAAACTTTCTCTCATTTATTTCTGAAAGACGAGAGCATTTACCCTTAAAGAGACTCATATTTCTGAAAGTATAAGATAACGAGTGGATGTAGAGTATACCCATGCATAAAACTACACCCACGACCACAAGGGCCAAGCATGTGAGGACTCGCCATCCTCGCATCGCATATCGGACCTCCCCTTGTTGGGGTATCCCTTGGTGTAATATCGACCCGTCGTCGCGGTCCCACTTCATTGCGCGTCCTCTCGTCGTCATATTGAGAGTTCTAAAATCGAACTGCCGCCACTCGGTTTAAAATTCCCGTGTTGATCTTCGACGTTGATATCTACTTTTACACTAGTAAAACTCTGTATCCTCGGATTGCAGGTCGAGCAAAAACACTCCCCTGAGGACGTCCCGAGATAGGCCTAGAAAGGCCTAAGTCCTTCACACCAGCGCAAGTTTAGAGCTCACACCAGCGCAAGTTTAGAGCTCACAGGAGAGCAAGCCTCACTATGCCCCTGAGAAAATCTCACTTAGTTGTGGTCTACATCACTTAGTCGTGGTCAGTTTCCAGAATGAAGAACCTTGCGACAGACGAGGAGGCAACGATGTAGTTTAAAAGCCATGTTCTTGGTCATGTTGCTTTGTTGAAACCGATAGTATCGGCCTAAGAGTAAGAGGTAGTGGAAAAGCGTCAGAAGATAGGAAGCAAGAATCGAGGAAACGGCGCAATCTCGCTCCTCAGGTCCTGCCTCTGCAACAACCATCTCAGTCACTCTCTCAGTCTCACTCTCGCGCTCTGATGATCTCGATTTAGAATGCTCTCGGGAGCAAGATCTTCAAGAAAGTGGCTCTTAAAATGAGATCTCTGTGATCTGAAGCCTCCCAAAATGATCTACTCCGATCTTGCCACAGTATCACAGAGTGATCATGGAGAAAGATCGTCCGTGCTAGTACGCACAGCGTTCGAACCACATCGAGCAACAAGCCGTAGTGGATGAACATCCTTGTCAGACGACCCAAGTAGCAATCAACGTCCAAACGGATCGCCAGCGAGAACTTCTGAAACTTTCCTTCATGTCCCAAGCTTGTGGGTTACTACAACGGTTATTGGTTAAGTTTCTTCACTCATATATGGCATATTCTCGTCTACCGGTTATTGATTTTGTTGATTGGTTAACGCATAGCGTTGTAACCACGTTGTACATATTTCTATCCAAATCAGTAAAGCTGTACAGGTTGGCAAATTACATTTTCCCCCAAAAACATCATTTGATAACTCAATTCCCATGACAATTTTTGCGATTTCTTGAATGATTTTCCACCTACGTAAAATATTCATAACATTCGATAGCCTTGCTTTCCTGGAATTCCGAGTCGATGTTTTGTTTTCCCAAGTAACGACATGTGAGAATCTGCGATGTTGTGTTGATTTTCCAAATTATTTTTCCTGTAAGATCTTTGATCAAGAATGATAGTGAACTTTTTCATAAATCTTTCCCCTTGCCTTCAACTTAATATATTCAAAGCAAGCGCGCTCGCTCTGTCTGTACATTTCGACGTTTTAAGTACGAGAGAGTCCTCAAAATGTTCCTCCCAAACTTCCCCCACCTTCCCGCTCTTTGCCTACATCACTCGGTCCGGCATCCACTGGCCATAGCAGGTCAGCATCGTAATGACGAAACCGATAGGGGAATTAGCGAGCAGAGATTGAGGTACTTGCTCTGTAAAGAAAGATTCACTCTTCATCTCCAACAAAGTAGAAGAGGATGTTGTTTTGAATCAAGAGATACAATCTACAGAGAATCTAGAATTAATTCATACTTCTTCACCATAATAGCAACCATTGCGAAAAGAAGCGGAATCTCCAAGATGTACATGCGGTTGACGGCTTGAGGCAGCTCGAGAGCGCTTTCCAGTTCCCTCAGAGTAGTCTGTATCGCTTTCAATCCACCACTCGAAAGCATCGCGGTCACTGATGTCGATTGAGTTAATGTTTTTCCTCGTCATTTTTCAGTACTTACAACGAAGAAAAATGATGAGGTCCGACTGTCTCAAGAAGAGTAAATACTTTTTTAGCTACTACAACCATTTTGACACTTCCACAACATGTGGGAAGGAAGTCCAAGTTTTTTTTTGTTATCGGGGTCTTCTAAGTACTTACTACAGGATTGCGCAGCAGCTATGATTCCATCTTGTTGGATTATAGTACCTTTCTGCGCAGCACCCAAGGTTTCCTCTTGATACTGTCCTTTCATTTTAGCCTCGAGAATGTCCGAAAATGCAAGATCCTGCTGCTGTTTTCGTGTCGAGAACAAATAATCCTCCCAAAATGTCTCTGGCAGCTCCTGTGTGTTCCCTAGCTCCTTCTTCGCTGCCTCACGGATTTGGTCCCCAAAGGTTGCAACAAATTTGCACCTTAGAGGATGACGACGAGGGAGGATGATGAAAAAAAAGCCGAATTCCTATCCAAATTAGTCCACTTCAGGATCCAAGTCAGGGTTTTTACATTTACACAGTACATCACAAGTAAGAAGACCATAAAACAAGTCCCCTTTTGATGGAAGGATCACCACTAGCTATGGCGAGAACTTTGAGGAGATAGTTAGCAGGAGCTCCAGCTTTTGCTGCTCTTCGGACACCGCCCAACTTCTTCGTCTTCGCATCATTCTCCTCTGTCTGGGAATCGTCCCCGTTCGTTTTTGCCTCTTCAGACTCGTCTAAACCCTGTTGCGCCTGTTTATGGTTGAGGTTTTACGAAGCAAGAGGTGGCGGGGTGAGTCAAAGAGAATGAGAATGTGCAGCATTTTTCACTTCATATAATGCATGTACTGTCCGTTGAGACCATCAAGTCTAGATCCTTTAGACTTAGACTAAAAAATGGAAGCATCAAAATAAGAAAGCATTTTTTGTGAGATAAAAAAATGTTGTACCACAACAGCAAGGCGGAAGAGCCCTCTACGCATCTGCGCTGCCATGACGTCTACACTGCCACCCTTGTGTTCATCCACCAAGTCGCTGGCCCCTCTCAAAAGTTCGCCAAGCTGCGTCTGTCTGTTAAGCAGTCTGTAGAAGGGAACGACCGCGCCACGATTGACTTCTTCTGGAGAAGGTTAGCGGGAGAATGCGAGACTGAAACAAGTGAGTAACTCCTATTCCTACCTACGTACGTATTCTACTACAACTGCATCAATGCATTTTCACAACATAAGGTCACTTTTCGAACTACTTCCAATCATCATAATAGCAAAGTCTGGCAATGAAGACAGCCACACAGCAAACAATAAGGGTAAATATGAAGGCGAAAGAGACCCAAGTTTTGCCTGGCTTCGTGCTTTGACCGCAGTGACAGCACATGACTTGGCAGAAACACACAAACCCGATAAAAAGGAAAACTGTTGTGACAACCTGTATGTCGGGACAGTATTCCTTATACATAGGGAAGTTCTTTGAAGAGGTAGTGATGAAGTCTTTTTTACGTTCACGTTCATGAGTACATCAGTGAGTTTAGTAGTACGTTGAAGAGGTAGCTGCATTTGGGTATCTGTGTTGAGGTACACCTAGATGAACTCTATTTTTTCACCACATTCTTCACATTGACTTAGTTGTACAGGTACAGAATACAAGGGGCTTTACGATAACACAGCTAGGAGGTCCTTCTAGTTCTATGTTTGTTGGTCAATGGTCATTACTGGCTCAAGATCCAACGAATGAACCTGATTTCAATGCCAAATGACTGCTCTCACTCGTCACCTTGATCATGATCAATACCGTTCCTTGTCTTGGACTCATGTTAGTTCCTCGTATGATCATCATTTGAACTCAATGAATTCCAACATGAATCAGCAGCAAGATCTCCCAGATCTTTAAGTGCACTATGGCCCTTCATGATATCCCAACGACATTGAACCCATTTTGATACCATTTCAGGGCCTTAAACAGTCAGTGATCATTCGGCACGTCCGTTCTGATCGTCTTTCTGTTACATTGCTACGATAGTCATTCCATTTGCTCTCAAGAGCCTCATAGTGCGCTTGGACGTGTTCGGGTGTTCCAACACTGTTTCAAGCCCTTGAGCCTTACCTTATCAAAGAAATTGCTAGTCAATTCATTGTAGAAGTAGAGAAAACAAAGTCGCACTATTTGCGCCACAAAATGCCCGATATGAGTCTTGGAGAGATTTCAGGGGGACAACACCGGCCACCCTATTCCTTTAAAATGCTACTAAAATTTTACTAATTTGACCAATCAGAGCGATCTCAGAAGACCCCCCGACGCTGCTAGCAACACCCCTGAGACACCTCCAGGAAAGACCCACCGACCACACCACCAAAGCCGCGACCGATAAGCAAACCCACCGCCCTCAGCTGCAGCCACCAGCAGCGTACCTCTGTGCGCAGACTCTGCAAAACCCGACGACACAGAAGAGCAGAATCACAGCACGCGACACATGGCCGACAGATCTTCCACGAAGCTGCGACCTTTGGTCGCAAGTGCTCTAATTCGAGCGCTAAAAATTCTGCTAATTTAGGAAAAGCCGACGGAATGCACCGGGGGGAGCTCGCTCGACAAGTTGCTAATTCGTCGCTCTAATTTGGTTTTGGGGCTTTTCGAAAACCTTCTAAAAATTCCTCTAATTGTGTGCTCTAATTCAGCGCTCTAATTTGTAAACCCCCCGATAGCGCGAAATCGCGCAGGGTTTTGGGGTGCAAAATTAAAATACCGAATTAGAGTGCCTAATTAGAGGAATTTTAGAGGGCTTTCGAGAACCCCCCAAAACAATTAGAGTGACGAATTAGCATGATTTTTAGAGCAAAAAAATAAGGCACCCCGGCGAGAAATCCCGCCGAATTAGAGTGCTGAATTAGAGTGCTAAATTAGCGCGATTTTTAGCGTGCTAAATTAGCGCGATTTTTAGTAAAAAAATTAGACCCCAAAAACCGACCCGAGCACGGCACCAGTCTGACAGCTGCCGCGTCAGCCGCGGACCTTTTGCGCGGGGACCCACCCCCCGACACGGCGGCAAGGCCACAGCGAGCACGCTACCCCCTGCGGCCACACGGCTAAGCACACCACACAAGACACACCCCGACCACCACAGGCAATCGACTAGCCTGCAACGATTTGCGACCCCTTCAAAATTAGAGGAATTTTAGCGGAAACTTAGGCGCGAAAGGTGCCCGGGCGTGTCCTCCTGAGAGATTTCACCCAAACTGGGGCAGAAATCTGATTGGCGTGACTGGCTTCGAGCGGTAACGCAAGAAGCAGACCGCCTGGACCTAGTCCAATACCTCAACAACGTGCTGAACGGCAATGCGGCAGGGGTTCCGAACCAACCCAACAACAACGACCGCAAGCTCCAGCAGAATTGGCGAGATTTGAAGAGTGTGATCATCAAGTCGCTCAAAGGTGCAGCCGAAGCACATACGAAGGATCAGGATACCACTGTAATGAACGCGGGAGAAGTAGTGACAAACCTCCGCGACGCTGGTTTCAGTCAAAATGACCGCACAGAGCAACGAATCTCTGCTAAAGCGTTGGAAGGGATGCACTTCACGAACCGCGATTCTCCTCCAGACGTTCCAACATTCCTGGCGAAGGTTAGAGATGTCATGAACCAATCTCCGACCGTCTATCCACTGGAAGTTGGTGTGGCTGCTGCTGATCAACAAAACGGAGCAATCCTCGACATTCTGCCAAAAATGTTTTCCAAAGCATTTCGACAGACAATCGAGAGGATGCAAGAAGAAGAACATCTAACGTTCGTCCAAATCGGTGAAAGACTCACGAAACGACTTCAAAGCTTGGTCGACTCTGGTGAGTACAAGATCGAGAGTCCATCTTTCGGCAAAGCTTTTCCAGCTGTCGAAGATTCTGATGATGAAAACCAGAACAATACCAAAACCAAGAAGCGTAAGCGTCAAGATGAGAGTGATGACGATGGTAACGCGTTTGCCACCCTCAAGATTAGACACACATCGTAGACTTGGCCACTTTCACGCTGATGGCCTTAGTGTATCTTGTCCAGAATGTGATCGAACCAAAGGCCAAAGACGCTCTCATGCAAAAGTGAGGCCCGCTGGGCATATACCTTCTCCATTGAAAACACTTGCAATTGATTTCGCAGTTGGTATTAGACCAGTCTCTATAAGAAGCAAAAGATGCGCTTTAGTCATTATTTGCGATTCGATTAAAATGTGTTTCGTTCGTCCTCTTTGCCTCAAGTCGGACTGCGTAGAGGTGACTGAAGAAGTAATAAAAGGCATTCGCCAGGACTACTCATTGTCACTCGACGACAAGGTGGCATGGTTCATCCGTAGAGATAACGAACCCGTCCTAAGTAGTGACCATATGACCAAAGTCATGCAGTCGCTACTGGTTTCGGAAATTCCTGGAGTTCCTTACAACCCAGAAATGAACGGAACTTGCGAACGTTTCACGCGGACCATTTTCGGCGCTGTACGTACCACGTTGGCCAAAGTCGACCGACGTCTTTGGTGTTACTGCCTACAGTATGCCGGAGATTGTTGGAATCGCTTACCGCATCGTTATGCAAAAATGCCAGAACATGACGGAATGAGTCCTGTCGAGATACTAGAAAAGAGGATAGGCAAGAAGTCCTCGAAAAGTGGTCTAGGTATGTTAAGAAGATTTGGCTGTTTGGTGTACTTTCATGAACAGGTCGTAGACACCACCAACAAGAAAGAAGCAAAGCTCGCGTCACCTTATCGGCGTGGTGTGTTTCTCGGTCTGTGTCCAGTTTCGTCTGGTTGGCTGGTAGGTACACATCACAACGATGGGAGAACGAAGGCTGGCTCCAAGTGGAGCGAGTATTCCACACTAGATGTGAAATTTCGAGAGTCGACATTAGTCAAGAACATTGATTGGCTACTGCCTACGTCGAAGGGCATTTATGTTGATTATGACCCGCTGGAAAACCTGCAGTCTGGCACGCCGTCGCTGGGTCCCGTCCTGCACAGACATGCGCTGCAACGTATGGCCTGTCAGCCGCGCTTCTCTGGCACGGAGTACAGCTCAGGCGATCCAACCGGCATGGAAATGATATTAGATAACAATGACGCTGATGAGTTTTCTGTCAATCTTTGGACAAAGAGGAAGATCCAAAGACCGGCGATGATTCCAACTCTGACGCGCAACGCGTTGAGGAGGGGAATATCTCATCGGAGCGTGTGTCACCTGACTCTAATCCTAAAGCAAGGGATCCGAGGCCCTTACCCATTCCACCATCTCAGCCCGGCAAAGTTGAGGAGGGGAAGAAAGGCCGAGGAAGACCTAAAGGGAGCAAGGATAAGAATCCAGGACAACGCAAAAGAAGAACAAGAGCCGAGCTAGAAGCATTAAGAAAAGACATGCATAAATTTGCCATGCTAGCAGGCGGGCATGAGCTGGAAGAAGGGGAGACCTTTCTCGAAGCACATGCCATGCTGTCAGTTTCCCAAGCCTTGAAAAGCCCTGACGCCGAAAAATGGCGCGCAGCTATCACCAAGGAGGAAGCTAGACTACTTGCCTTTGAGACTTGGGCGCCAGCTACTGACGAGGAGCTGCGAACCTCTTCTCAGGTAATGCCTATAGCAATCGTTCTCACGGTAAAACGTGATGGAACATTCAAAGCTCGTGCTTGTGTGCTCGGGAATCTTGATCGTTCGGGGAATATCGACACCTACGCCCCTGTAGTGTCACACGCTGCGAATAGACTTTTACTCGTTTCAGCGGCGACGGAATCTGACTTCGTCATCCCCTTCGACCTTGACTCTGCGTTCCTTAATGCTGAACTCGATCGCGACGTCTTCTGCCGTCTTCCACCAGTGTGGGCGGAGAAGCAAGGAGCGGATATCGTCAAGCTTAAGAAAGCTCTATATGGGCCCAAGGACGCTCCACGAGCCTGGTTCAAGAAGTATTGCGTGCTATTGTCCGAACTCGGATGGGAGCCGTGTCCTTCTGCTCCAGGATTGTGGCGGAAAAAGAGCAAAACGCACCCAGGAAAGTATATGAAGATGTCAGTCTATGTTGATGATAACTTAGCTACTGGGCCTGACTATCATGAGTTACGGTCTGAGCTCGACCGGATCTTTAGTCGCGCCCCCGGCCGACCTATCGAGATGGCAAAGCGAGTCGATTCCCACACGAGTTTCGAATGGCTAGAGTTCGACTTTCTTGGTGCGATTGTGCACTATTGTCGGGAAGCGCGTTCAGTGAAAATCCTGATGAGTGTGTACATAGAGAAGACTTTACAGAAGTATAAAATAACACTAGGTGAGCCGGTGTGGTCTCCAAATTTCGACGAGTCTGCTTTGCTTGAGGAGGGGCTTAAGCTAGCAGCCGGGTTTCCATTGCGTGAGATTGTTGGCGCACTGCTTTGGATATCGACAACCGCAAGGCCAGATACTTGCGTCCCTGTGGCGACATTGGCTCGGTATGTCAGTAAGCCCATCACTGAAAGAATTGCAAAAGCTTGTAGAAAAGTATTAAAGTATCTAGCTACGACAAAGGGCCAAGGACTCTATTATTCTCCAGAAAGTGAGGAAGAATTCAACGAAATTTACAAGAAGCTCCTACAACCAGAAGGAAGAGAGCTACCGTATACTAACTGGTTCTCAGATGCAGGATTCGCAAACTGCATAAAGAGCATGCGCTCGACCAGTGGTTCGATTATGTACTATCGGGGTTTTCCAATCTGTTGGAAACGCAATACCCAAACCGTGCGCGCATATTCAACTGCAGAGTCAGAGTATATAGCCGCGTCGGACACTATTGTCATGAGCGAGCTGCATGATTTTACAGATTTCTTCAATCCCTTACCCACTCAACTAGTGGAAACGCGGTTTGGTATATCGCCATCCCTCGATGATGCCATATTGTGGATAGACGACCAGTCTGCAATCTCGACAGCAAAGAGTGAAGATACGAAGCCTAAGAGTAGACACTACGCGCTACGTTATTTACGAGTTAGAGACGCAGCTGAGAAAGTCGTTTTCTGTCCTACTCACCTTATGAAAGCTGACGGACTAACGCAACTCTCATGCTCATCTACTCAACGCAGATTATTATTGCATCACATAGAGAATCCAGCAATTAGCCGTAACCATGTTGAAGATGATAGTGACTCGGAAGAAGAAGACGATGAGTCTGGTTCAAGTTCTGCTTCTTTGGCGGTGCTTACCTATTCTATCTTCTTAGGGTGTTAGATCGTTGGTCAAAGGTGATGTCAGTGGCTATACAACGAATCGCGATGGTTCTGGGTCAGAGCAGGCAACACTAGACCGTTTGTGACTTTCGTCATTTCCTCACCTAGCGACTGAGGAGGGGTGTTGGTCAATGGTCATTACTGGCTCAAGATCCAACGAATGAACCTGATTTCAATGCCAAAGGACTGCTCTCACTCGTCACCTTGATCATGATCAATGCCGTTCCTTGTCTTGAACTCATGTTAGTTCCTCGTATGGTCATCACTTGAACCCATTTTGATACCATTTCAGGGCCTTAGACAGTCAGTGATCATTCGGCACGTCCGTTCTGATCGTCTTTCTGTTACATTGCAACGATAATCATTCCATTTGCTCTCAGGAGCCTCATAGTGCGCTTGGACGTGTTCGGGTGTTCCAACAATGTTACAACTATATTAATACGTATAAATACGTTTAGATCAAAGCCCATGCTTTGCGTGCGTTGGTATTTCTTGCCAATTTCGTCTAAGCGCCCTTGCAAATCCATCGGTGGCATATCCATGTTTCCTGCCCACCACTTTACGGATTCCACGACCCGTGCCTTCACTGTTGCAGGAAGGTCACCGTTCTGTTAGACATGGAATGATTTTAAGGAAGCAGACCATGATAGAAGGTGGATGGAGAGTCGTGGGGAGGACGTTCATGAGAAGTTCACTTCTGCTTCAGCATGGTTCATTCAGTCAAGAGATAAGATTAGAACTAGCAGAAATCCATCTTGGAGTGCCTCTTGGTGCCCGTTTGCCCCTAACAAACGGGACCAGGATGCTGGGAAAGATGGATTTCCTCAAGCCTTATAATAAAAGAAACCAACCACGTTTGATGTACCTCCTCCACCTTTTTATTTCTTATTCATAAGCTTCATCCTTCCCGATTTCGAGGAGGCAGAGCCTAGCCGCACCTACGGATCCCGGTTTACTCATCGCTTCTAATGCGACCACTGGCAAGGAAGGTAACATCACAAAAGGCTGAACTTTTTGGTGCGCCCAATTGACGTAACCACTTGGAGATTAGAAGAATAGATCAGGAGGGTAAATTTAAACACATCTGTCTCCAAATAGTTGTAACCTCTTTTTCGGAGTACGACCTCAAGAATCTCCGGCATCTCCTCGAATACTTTTCACATTATTAGCAATAAATCGATACATAGCACGAGTAGATTGCTTGCTTGTTGCTTGGACGTGAAAGCAGAAAAATAGCTTTCATTCTCTATGAAACAATGGACCTACATCTTTCTAGCTATTTGTTAGAAAAAATATCAGCAACAACAACGTCACTCCAGTGAAAAAGATCAGTCGTCCATAAAGGAAAAGCAGCGTCGCTTTTGTATCGGTTGATAGCGATTTCGCATATTTGAGAATGCCCTCCAACGCCGTCCCGATAGCGGTGGGATTTTGTTCCACTGCCAAAAATGCCGATGTAGGTGCTTCTGCAGGAGAAGCCTGTCCTTGAGCGTTCTTGTCGACCTGCTGTTCGTTCTGAAGGTGTTCTCTGTGCCTGGTCTGCAAGAAAGACAGGGTCATTCCAGCGAATCCGCGCTTTTCTAGATACTCCACTTTTGGAGAATTAGTTCTAGTGTTACTTTGTTGAGGCAGAGATGACGCAGGTGGAGTTGTGTCCTGTACTAGAAACCTGGTAGTTCTTGTACTCTGTTCGGAAGCGGATGCCAGAAAGCTCGTACTAGCACTTGCGCCATTCTTGTTCTCCTGTACAAATTTTGAGGACGACATCACAATTATAGGAGAATCGTGATCTTCGGAGATGCTGCTTTTCCTTTTTCCCCGCAAGAAACTAAAATGCGGATTTCTGCTGAGAAAAGAGCTTTTTTCCTCCACTGCATTTGCACCAGGTTCCGCAGGAGATTCATCGTCCCCAGTACTATCCTCTAATGTCACACCCGCTATATCTGGTATCGAATTCTTCAGAGTCTTCTCCAAATCCTTTTGGCTTAGAAAAAAAAGTGCAAGATATTGATATTCATAGTAAAAATGACTATGAGACTTGAGCGAGGACACAGCTATAATGGTTAGGTTGCAGTATCGATCCTGCACATCAAGTGTCATCGACTAACGATTTACTTCAGAGGCAGAAGAACAAAAACACAAGAAAATCCAGACAATGGAAAAAATGCAAAACCACTAGGAAACAACAACGCGACAAACAACATCGCGACAAACAACAATAATGCAAGGCGAAAAGACACAAGAAAAGAACCAAAACACTGAAAAGAATCAAAGAAGAGAAAGAACACCGATTCAAAAACCCTGCCATAAGAGTAGACTTTCTTTACTGGAAAAGGCGGAGGCGCCTTTGCTCTTTTCTGCGGTCTCCAAAGCCTGTCGCACCACCATCGGACCAGCGATAACGAAGAGCAAATCGACTACCAGAAAAAAGAAGAAAAATGGCCCAACGCATCCTGCACCTATCAAACGCACCCAACGACCAGGATCGGGGCCCGGGTCTGTCCTCGTGACACTGAATTACTTAGACAAGAATAGAGAATGATATATTCGTTTATGAAGATCTCCTCCGAAATTATTTCACCAAGGAAAATCGAATCATCAAAGTCAATGCTGCACAGTAACAACTTCGTCAGAGTAAATGGAATGCCCATAAGAACATACAATATTTGACTCTGCATTCTATAGGACTTAAATCTATTGTGACAGAGACGCGTTAAGTGTGAGATAAGTGCCGCCAGATCAGAGTGAATTAACATCAAAAAACAGCTACAACTAGTCGCCGTAATAACCGGCGTCGTATTATTTACTGGTGGAGTTGTGGCCTTGTTGTCTACTTGTGAGGTGACCTGCGACGTTATCTCCCCTCCATCGAACGCATCACGAAGAGCCGCACTTTGCATGTTCTTGAAGGCAGTACTGGACAAGTTGTCAGTCCCGGCCATCGATTCCAGTCCAGCAAAAGATTAGAGGCAGTGTAGTCCGTCGTCCAGCATAAGAAAAAAAGGGTTAATTACGCATATCCGTGTTAACATAGGGTTCCTTAGGGGTATCTATACCTCCACAACCAAGAAGGGTTGGATCCAGTATTGTTTCCAACACGACCTGATCTCCCTTAATTGAAAGCCTGATCGAGATTATCGCTTGCCATGCGGCGAAACATTCCCGACGTTAAGGTTAAGGCATCTGCGTCACCTTGTGTACTTGCTGGAGCTTCGTCTGGGCCATCGTCGCCTCCTGGCGAAGCAAATTGAAATTAGCGATAAATAATCATATTTTCAAGTACATAACAACAAGTTGTCTCAACATATAAATTTTGAAGCTTCTTGAGCAGCTTACTTGCTGGTGCACAAATCATTTTTATCTTCTAGGCTCTTTTGCCCTTACTGCAGAAATAAAGGAGGACTATTTACTTCTAAGAGATTTCCACTTACTTCTCAGATTTCAGGAGGACTATTTACTTCTACGAGATTTCCACTTACTTCTCAGATTTCAGGAGGACTATTTATTTCTAACAGATGATTTTCACTTAATACAACATTATACATATTTATAGGATTCAAGCCTCAACCAAACGCTGCACTCATCGGTGCCTCGTCGTCTGCTTCGGGGCTTCCGAAGGCTGCACTTTGGAGTTCTGACGACATCTTTTGTGATTGTCATTTGCAGTGAATATGCTGTAGATGAAAGTGCTGTTACTAATTCAATGGAGAACAAGCGCATCAAAGTGGGAAGAGTGCTTGCCTTCACAAGACAAGCAGTGGTAGAAGTGGAAAAACATGAAGATAAGACGCTGATATTGCCGTTAGCACGTAAAAGGGATGCATCTTGAAGATCAAATAAATTGTTTCCTCAAGGATCTTCCAACTCATTTCTCCTACAAATGAGGTAACGAAGGCTGCGGCAACGTGTGCTGACTAAGATCGGAGTTGTAGAATACACTGAATATTTGTAATCACCGACAGAAGCAGATTCGTGATCAAGTATTTTTGACCGAACCTTAGTACAGATCAGTGACCGTCATCTTCTTTTAGTGACCGACATCTTCTTTTAGTGACCGACTCCAACCGACTGGAGGCCTACTTCAAATCCAACTTTGATCGGAGCAAGGTGCTTCTCTACTGCTTCTCAGGTTCTTGCATTGCAATTTCATCTTCACAACGTAGAATCGTAGTATTCTCAGAGAAACGTAACGTCTTAGACTGATTGGAGACCAGTTGCGGACAGAGTAACTGAGTTTTCTTTCGAAGATAAATAGGCGTAGGACACGAAAATTGATTCAAGTAGTACTAGATCGTGAGGGCTCGTAGTAAATTAATACGGATACTTTTTTTGGGTATACTACCTAGATAGGAAGCATCGATGAACAGGGCAACTAAGCTCATGGATTTTCCTATCTTCTAATATACTTACAATCTTATGATACAAAGAGCTCGAGGGCGGGAACAATGAAATGACATCCTGAAAAATAGGTACACTCACGCTAGTTTTTCACTACCATCTACTCCAGTCTTGTGCAGATGGTTCAAATTATGCAACAAGGATACTTCGGTCCAAAATGTATGTGTTTGTTTTCATCTAGGATAGTGTTTTTTTTCATGAATCGGTATGTGTTTGTTTTCATCTAGGATAATTGTTTGATCATAATCATCATGGCGACGTTGTATCTATTCTTTGAAAACTGAAATTCTATGCAGTCCTTTTTACAGTTTAGATTTATTATGTTGCTTGGTCCTGGTCAGAGATCCAATCGTGAAAACAGCTTTACGCGATTCGTGTAAAGCTTTGTGCATTACCTACGTGTAGTTACATAGGTACGGCTATAATATCGCGACATCGAGTCAATTCGTGATTCTACATTTTCTACATTTGCGCCTTTTACTTTTTAGCTCTTTTACTTTTTAGCTTTCCGCTTTCCAGCTGCCTTTTTCTTTTTAGGCTTGGTGCTACCTCCTTGTGATCGATCGCTTGCGGCCCCTTGGTTAGAGCTGACATAAACATTGCATTTCTTTCCTCTTCCTGCATTGATTTCTCCGAGTCCTACGATGGAACCAGTGAGAAATGACTTGTAGAAATCAAGTGAAGGGAGTAATCTAAGACGAGGAAAAACTTGATCTTCGATTAAGATTAAGAACTTGACTTGTACAAATAAATGTCAACGATATTCTTGTATTCATGCTTAACTTGGGATGCATCGCTTGCCTCTCCTGGGTCTTGAAGCCCATCTGTACTAGCATTTTGCTGGCTCGCTCCACTGCCGCGACTCCCACCAGCTTCTAATGTTAGATCTTCTAGTATTTATGATCCAAAGAAACATCAGGACGAAGGTTGAAGAAAGGTTGAAAGAGTGTACTTCCCTGTAAGTATTTATCAAATATCAGGAAGCAAGTTCATTCAGTACTCAGTCATACGTTATCTCAGGTAGCGAATTATGCATTCAAAGTAGATGGACAATCATTAAGTGATGAAATAAGTCGTAATTCCAATGCGGGGACGACTTCATGTGCTAAACTGCTATGCTCTCCTTCTCCTGCGGAAGATCCTCCGGCAGCTGCTGTTCCTGTTGCGCTCGCTCGAGATGCCTCTGCTGCGGAAGGCCTACCGTCTGACGTTGCTGCAGAGGCAGCACTCGCCCGACGTCCCTCCACCACTGCACCACTCTTTCCCGCTGTAGTTTCTATCGCAGATGGTGGTGCATGTTCACCTGCTCTTTTTAGACGGGGAGGACCTTAACGTGAGTATACTAGAGTACTTATTTCAATTACAATTTTTCTTGCAGTCATTTTATTCCTGCTTGCATATCATGTTGCTAGCAATCGAATTCTTGTTTTCCTTGTCAGTGCATTTGTGATGAAGTTGAAGTCAATTCATTCTTCAACATAAAGATGTAGATACTGCTGACCCTGATATTGTGGTCGCAGAAGAGGTTCCTGATTCTCGATGTCCCGTTCTGTCCATCAGAACCGTCGTGTCTGCAGATCCTAAAATCTTAGAACTATATATAAGCAGTGGTCTTTCAGTAAGTACTTCTATATTCCTGCGGTCTTGCGAAAGAAAAAGGTCAGTAGAAGAAAGACGCACAAGCAGTTGTGCTCTGACCACTTTGCTGAATGGGATTTACTCCTGATAATTCACGTACTTATATTTCTGAGCTGTGACTTGCGTCCATCCTTGAGAAGTGAGGAAAATACAAGACATACATCTGCTTCAAGTGATACATCCTCGTCCTTAGTCTCTAGAAGTAGAATCTCTCAGTGAAGAAGTCTCTATGAATGTGTAACCTCCTTAGTCTCCAAGAGACCTCAGCGAAGTATCTATGTATAGAAGTGCTCTTAAATTTACCATGAGGATCGTTGTCCATGCAGGCCAGTCCGACGCCTGCCAGTGTAAGCACAATAGTCACATTAGAGTGAGTTGGATGAAATGAAGGTCAAGGATCGTGCCCAGTCTATTGCATCTTGGAAATACATTATCAAGCACCAACTACCACCGAATAGTCTACCTACTCATGTTCCGAAAGAAGTTCATCCCCAAAATATACATACAAAATATTAGCGACGTAGTCCTCAGAACAAAGCACACGACAAGATTAAGAACCAGAAGTTGTCCTGCCTTAATGAGAACCATGACCGCAATGAGCGGCATTTCCAAGTATAGGATTCGGCCAGCTGCCTCCTCCAAATGTAACGCCTCACGCAGTTCGCCGCTAGCAGATATCATCGCATGATACGCACCACCCGTTAAAAACTTGTGCACTGGTGTATTTTTTTCGAAATATATTTTGTATACGTAAAAAATGAGGATTCAACAAGATGATTCTCCGACTGCTTGAATTATACCTAAGAAGCGATATCACATCATACACAGAAGTTCTGTATTTATAACTAAACGACCTTCCAGCAAAAAAGTGGTCATCGACATTTAGAGTTGCACTTGCAAAAGAGTAATTGCGACTAAAGAGTCATTCAGACTTCGGAGTACGTGATGTTGTGAACGCGTCGATGCCTTTTCTATTTTTCTTTTCCGATTGAGCGAGAAGGAGTGAGACCTGGTTCGCGAACTTTCCCTCCGATCGCTTTGCTGGGGATGCAAACCAAGGTTAGAGAGAGTAGTCAGTTGTAGGTATAAAACAACTGATACTGAAGGTGCGCCACTGTGGATGTAAATCCGACATACAGAGTCAGTTGTAGGTATAAACCAAGTGTGATTGAGTTGTACCATATAAATATATCTACATCAGTAGAAAGGTTACTCAAATGGAGGAAGGAGACATTCACTGTAGAAGTACAATTTTTCATAAGAAACATTTATTTCTCATGCAAACTATTAAGGCTAGGCAGAAGAAAGCCAGACTTTTAGCTTCTTAAATGTAGTCCCTGATAGCGTCTTTATCTGGTTTTTCCACTGCATTCGTGGACCCTGCACTCGTGGACTCTGCATTCGAGGCCTGTAAGAAGGATTCTAGGAGCTCTTGGTCTCCGTCATTCTTGAGCGATAGAGGATGTTCCCGTATATTCAAGAACGACGGTGTATTTGGAACAGACATGCCTGACTCGTTTTCCTCCCCTTCCTCTGGAATAGTGCTCAATCTTTTTTAGAGCATGGGAATATAAAACACAGCATTAAGCGATTATAGGTTTAAATAAAAAAAATTCACTAGTTTCTTGAAGTACTTCTAGCTGATGCCTTTTGGTAGAGATTTTAGACAACAACTTCAAGACCGACGGGAATATAAGTCGTAAAATCTTTTCTCTGGCTGAGGAACAGACTCACTCGCAGGAACAGACTCACTCGCGTTGGCACCATCATCATTAGCTGCCAGCGCCGCTGCGGCAGCATTGGCATCGTTCTTGTTGGCACTAGCTAGTAACGCTGGTGCTGCGGTGCCATCGTTGTTGTTAGTCGCAGATGTAATAAGGTCTTTACCAGCTTGCGGTGTCTTTGATGGAGTTTGATGTCCAGCTAGATCAAAACCATTCTTCTCCGCCATCTTTCTCAGGATTTCCTCGTCAGGTACATGGTTAGAGTGAGCTTCAATGTCATCATGATTACCCTTTACAGCGGCCATAGATGCAAACAACTAGCTATATATAGTGTAAGAAGTTGTCCGTAGAATCCTGAAAATCGAAATCGGAATCCTGAAAATCAAAATCGGTTCCTATTGACCTTGCGTACTACACTCTAGAAAGGAATAAAGGGTGCAATAGTGCTAGAAGTAACACTAACAGTCGTTGTTGTAAACTTCTATAACAAGAACTATATGTATAAGGGTCGTCCTCGTATGCTTTTTCATTACTACTTATAGGTACTAGTACTACACTCGTCCACCTAACATTTATTGATTGAAATTGATGTCTATTGTTGAAAGGTCTATTAGATCTCTAGAGAAAAAACTATAACCGGTTGTATGTATGTATGTATGTACCCACTCCAGGGGTTTAAAAGACTAGACTACTCTACTTCCTTGTTTTATTTAGTGCTTTGATGTTTTAAAAATAATGGCCATAATCTCATCCCCTGTTTTCTCAGCCAGCATTTTCCTCAGTTCTGTCATTTTTCCTTGTTCCAGCTTCTCTTTAGCGTCCTCCATATCCGCATCGTCCAACTTCGTGATGCCTGAAACACCAGTAGTAGGAGTGTTAGAGCTGTTTTGGCATCTAGGTAGTACTGTTAGTTAATTAAAGGTAGCCTGCACTAGTAGGAGGGTTAGAGCCGTTTTGGCATCTAGGTAGTACTGTTAATTATTATAAAGGTACTACTTGTCGTTGATGTCCTACTTCATCGCCAAGTGTCCAATAGAAAAAGAAGGTATAGAAAGCTTCACTTGAACGATATGGCCTTAAAAGCGAGCTCGGTGACCACGTTTAATGCCTTTGCCTCGTTGTCATCCAGGTCTGCCAAATTAGAGCTCAAAGGAGTCTACTTCTTCCCTGAGGAAATTTCTTCACAACAGTCCCAAGACCACAAAGAAAACTGAAGAAAGTAAATGACTGTCGAAGAAAGTGACCATGTGTATCGAGACTTAATCAGGTGTAGGATAGCGCCTTCCAGCTTCTCAGCCCACCCATCTTCCTTTACTGCTTTTTCGATGTGAAGTAGGGAATACTCGGCTGGCCCATGACGCTTACCTCCTTCGTCGGTTACCATCTTTGATTAGAGAGATGAAAACAGATGAGAAACCTCCGGGTTAAGTAGATAAGCACTCCGTCCCAGTAGTACTAGGAAGAGTCGCGCTACTTCTACTAGATATTATAGGGTACTATAAAACTGCACTCAAATAAATCCACTGCGAAGACAACCTAACCCTACAACGTAGTAGAGAAATCAACCCAGCAGTTGTGGCCTTAATCTTCTTGCGAGCTCTGATTGGGTTGGTGAAAACAGACCAGGTCGAAAAGCGGTCAGCGTTCGAAAGAAAAAAAAGTTCCAAAATTTCCGTAGGTGAGAATTGAAGCGGATGTATGAAGGACAAGTACAAATACTTAGGCTGTAAAAGAACCAGGAATATTACACCAATATCATTCATTATGGCACCTCAAATGGATAGTCATGCATCAGAGAGCCCACACTCTGGAAAAACAAAGAAAACCTCAGTTGTCGTACTACACTATGTATTACTACTGTAGAAACAAAGAAAACAGATATCTCTAAAAAAATCAACTTAGACTTACCAGATAAGCTAGCCGCTGTATTCCGCTGGTGAGTATGCCTTTGATTGCGCCCAAGGCTTCGGACTCGGAAAGTTCCTTCCCATCATTTCCCAAAACTGACTTAGTCATCGGATCGAAGTTCTTGACAAGCTTTTTTTGCTTCACAAGTAATGCGTCCCAAGGCTCCCATAAGGTAACGACCTTGCCGGAGGGAAATTAGAGGAGAAACAGAGATCCATTTTATGCGGAATTTTCCTTGATATCGAAAAACCATACATGTAGAAGTGACACTGTTGTAGCTATGCAGGAAACATCTTCAATCCCGGCGACAGAACTTCTTGACTGAAAGTTGTACCATTAGATGAGTCTTCATATCATGTCTACGTAAGGCGGATAAGGAAATTGTATGTTTTAGAGAAAAATTACTCTAGTAAGTCCAACCGGGTCCAACATACCACTGTCATGAACAACAAACTATAGTCACCATAATAAGACGCACGCAAGCCGATGACGATGATACAGCATAGGCACAGCATGCCGATAAGGTTGACACTCCCAGCTGAGTTTCGAAATGGCTTTTTCCCGCACGAGCAACACATGATATGGCAGAAGCAGATAAACCCCAATAGTAAGACACAAGCGGTGCCAATCTGTAGTAAGTACATTGGAGTAGTCGAAAAACTGAAATAAGCGAGTAACTACTGAAAATAATCGAGATACTGAACAAGGAAGAGTAGCCCTGTCAAAGCTACCTCCCTTATTTCAGTCAGTAACTCGGTTATTTTCAGTATGAGCAGTAGTGTTTTGAACCGAAGAAGACCAAGATCTTTACATCTCTTCAAACAAAAAAATAGATCATTAGAGCCAAAGCACTAGTCTTTCTGCTAGTGTGGAGAAGCGGAGTGGAGAGTGGAGGAGCGGAGTGTAGCTTCTTGTAAGGGAGGTTCTACCAGTCTGATGAGGAAGTGGTTGACTCATTGATTGATTGATTGATTGATTGATTGATTGATTGATTGATGTGCCTTAAACTGTATAGATAGAATAAATATGCTGCCCCCATTTCCTGCTGTTGCGACTGCGTACGTTTTATTTAGCCTATAAAAAACAATAGTAAGTAACTACGTTTCCCCCAATTCCTGCGGCTTGCGTCGCTTCATATTTTTCGAAAAGCTCATTGACACGAGACTTCAATCTCAACTCTGGTATTTTCAAGGGCCCTGCCCATTTCTTCACTACTTTTTTCGCGCGCTTCTCTGCTTCTACGGGTGACTGGTTCCGAGGTTAGAGATAGGAAACAGGAGGAAACTAGAGGGTTCCTATTAGATATAGGACATCAGATATAGGCAGAGAGGAAACAGAACGATACAGATCAAAGAATTTTCTAGTGGGAACAGAGTCTTCGATACAAATCTTTGCAAACCACAATTGGTTATTAGCTTGTAGCAGTGAGAAACGTATGAGTCGATTAATGGAATTCATATAGGACGAGAATGGAAGCAAGAAGGAAGTGCACACCCAAGATATTCTACAAATATTAAAGAGCTAAAACGGGCGCTTAAGTCTAGTAAACAAAAGAACAGAGTCTCTTCTACAAATCTTCGTAACTAATATTTAAAGGTCAGCAGACATTGGTCACTGACTCTCACCGGGAAAGGCCCCACACCTCTCCACTTGTTTCACCTTCCTTTTCCCCTGTTCTCTAAAGGGGCCGCCTCTTCGATCTCAGTGACCAACCCCAATGACCAATGACCAACCCCGATTAAGTTCCCACGTCATCATAAGGTTTATCAGTTCCGATTTCGAAGAGGGCTATCATCGTGGCTGCCATGCTTCCTGGCTTCGTCAGAGACTCCAATATCACCACAGGCAGTGCGGGAAGTAAAATAAGTGGTTGCACACTCTGCCCGTCAAGATGCATATAACCCGCTAGCCACAAGCCAAGGGTCACAGACCACGCTGTTGTTTATCATTGCAAAGGATACAGCTCGGAAACACCGATTTCTGCTGGAGTTTCTTGGGTTTAGTAATACAGACAAAGCTAGTATTAGAGATTACGACATTGCACTGATTTCTGAGTTACATTCTTGCACTCTTTTCCAGAACAATTCGAAACAGGAGTAGACCAACAAAAATCATACTCAAAATTCAATAGTACGCCACTCTTTCGCACTTTGAATGTAGCCGCTTGTATCTTCTAGCAAAGTGTCAAATTCCTTCTCGCTTTTCGCAGTAACTTCCGTGGAAGTGCTGCCGAGGCTCAAAAAAGCGGAAGAGGTAACGCTAACAGCTGTTCAGGTTTCGTTTTTGGTAGTTGTAGGAAGTTGTACTACGCGGACGCGGAGGGAGATGGAGGATAAAAATACTCATACGACATCAGCGGTCTGAATCGTTGAATAATACTACGTCGAGATGTTGTTCTATGGATCTTCATTTTTCATACTTCTCTGATATCATGATTAGCACCTGAAAACAATTCAGCTGAAGCTTTCGACAGCCTGCTCTGCCATGGCGGCAACCTAGAACCCTTAGAGCATTTTTTCTCGGCGTCAGAAGTTGCGCTTGCACCTGCACCCTCTACTAGAGTACTTTTAGACCACTGCTCCGCAGCAGCAGTTGCAAGTAGCGCAGTACTAGTATTTGGAGTTTCCGACTGGACGAAGGCTGCACTGGCAAAAGCCATTTCCGGGTTAGCAAAAAAAGCAGATGAGTCTTCAGTCACAGGGTTGTAGATCTCTTCTACTGCCAAAAACGACGCACTCTCCTTCTTCTTGGTACTCCTGGAACTCTCATCTCTTCTTCTTGGTACAACTGGCTTTTCTCGCGCACCTGCATCAGCATTTTCACCTGCATCGTCAAACGCTAAGGCTTTCTCGATGAATTCTTCAGTGATGCCCAGCAATCGATCCAGTAGTGAATCCTGTGGTGAATCCTCGTCCACCGTCTTTCCATTTTCACTGCTGGACGAAGTTGAAGTTATGTCTAATTAGAGCTGTCCGTAATTCATCTTTCAAGTGCATCCTTGAAAAGTATGGGGGAGTATTCCATTAGGATACTCCTCCATACGTTTCAAGGATGCGCCCAAAGATGTATTAGGTACAGCCTTAATCTAAAAGAGCGCGCTCTTCGATCGTCGCAAGGGCATATGTCAAGAGAAACGACCCACCGAAAGCAAGTGTGATGTTCAGCAGAAGGGAAATTAGGAGGTTTCCTTTTCAATGAATGAATCTCATCTTCTCGCAATTAAGTGCAAAAGCAAAGCTGCTGATATTACGGAGTATAAACATTTTCACTGGCCTTAGAATTCAAGAAGCTCATTCTCTTCTTACGACAAAAAACAATATGTATCTTGCAGAGTCACAAGCTGATCCGCAGCTGCTCTACGGAGTATAAACAAATAAATACAAGGAACAACGAAGACAACTATATGTGTAACACACGTTAGTACCAAGGAGTGCTATACTATTACATGTGTAGAGAGAGCAGAACAAGTAGAAGCCTTAAGAAGAACAGAAAGAAGGGACCCAGGCACGCACATCCCACACAGCGAACGCAATATTGCTCGCCGACGTCGTTTTGTTAGAGTGTTGTTTCTAATGTTACTCGAACAAAACGATGTCGGCGAGCAAGTATGTTTTGTACTGAGCGTTACTCTAGTACAGAAATATACAGACAAAGCTAGTATTAGAGGTTTCCACCTTTAATTGATTTCTAGTGTCATCTAAGTAATGCTACATCCACCAATAATCTAAGTGATGCAATATTGCTCCATCTAAGTAACGCAAAATTGCTCGCCGACGTCGTTTTGTTAGAGCCAGTGTTCTTTCTGATGTTACTCGAACAAAACGATGTCGGCGAGCAAGTATGTTTTGTACTGAGCGTTACTCTAGTACAGAAATATATAGTTCCGCGCGTCATAAACCCGGTCTCCAGCACCTTGCTCTAGATCGACATCGCCGGGGAGAGGCAAAACATTCTTTAAATCGGCCTGCGAAGGCCTACCCGAAAACATATCAGTCTGCCTCTGAAGGACGGTTGACGCAGTCGCAGAGACCCTAGACATCGTGCTCAATCAAACAAAGAGCCTCCTTGTGAAAAAAAACTGAAAAATCAACGTCAAGAAGAAGGTGAATCTACGCCAATCTGAATCAAGTAGCTGTAGCAAAGTAGCTTCAATGCAGTGTGTGTTCTTGAAGCTAGTGCTCGAAGCTTGTTGAGCTTTGTGATTTGCAGTGCAGTGTGTGTTCTTGAAGCTAGTGCTTGAAGCTTGTTGAGTTTTGTGATTTTCCGTGCAGTGTGTGTTCTTGAAGCTAGTGCTCGAAACTTGTTGTGATTTACAGTGCATGCGTAAGAAGAATGATGAAAAGACTAGATAGCGATTAATTGAGGACAAGGATTAGCCTAGCCAGAACTGAGGCCCAAACCCAACAGCAGGGTTTTAGTTTCTTCCAAAGGGGTTACAGAGGGTGGATCTTGTGTGTGGATCTTCTCTCATCTCTTGTTTTGATATCAAGAAAACCATCTCAAAATCAAGAGGGTCGACTCTCAAGAAAACAGATCCTTATTCATCTACAGACTCTCATGATGTTAGATCACCGAGGCAACAGGCCGTACCGAGTCTACAAACACTTGCACGATGACGATGGAGATGGATCTTGAGTGACAGCAAGTACCGAAAGTCTTTAACAGGATCAAGTCGATTCATGACACCAGGTACTATGTTTTCTCGGGCAATCAGGAGTAAGAAAATTTCCAATCCTCAGCATACTGGTTCCCCAATATGCGTCATTTAATAATTTTTATTCCTAACTTATACATAGAAATAAGTCTCCAACGCCAATTGCTCTTACAGACGAAAAAGTGTCACCAAAAGTCTTTGTGTTTCTGCTCCATACTTTATGTATGGCGTTAGATCAGTCTCCATATGTGGCAGATGATCATTTTCGTAGTATTTTTTCTACTTGCGTCACCCTCTAGAACTAAACTTCAATAGGATCTTCTTCTTTCATGCTAGGACGTGAACGAGCGCAAAAGTCATGTTGTGCCAGAATCAAGTTTCCTCAAAAGCGCATCGCGGTACTCCACACACGACAGAATCGGCTTGTTGACATAAAGTGCCCCATCTTCTGTCACACTTCCTAGCTCTACAACTTCTTTCTCGTTGAGACCTGTATCATCCTCCCAAAAGAGACGTAAAAACTCTGCCATCTCCCCTATTGGAATATCTGAGACACCAACAGGCTTCTTGTTTCCACCAGACTTTCCAACATTACTGGTATGATCAGAACCCTTGCTATGGCCCTTGCCTGCTCCGCCCTTTGTCGTCCCTGACAGAGCTGGTGCGCTCGAGACTACGCCGCCCGGCAACAGCACCTTGAACTGCCCAGCCGGTAAGCGCCACTGACTGCCTTTTCGGTTAGAAAAAAAAAAGGTTACCTAGAATGCAGGCGCTTAGAAGGGACTGGAGAACTATACTACCGTTTGAAGGGACTGGAGAATTTTTACTACATTTTCCTAAGATCTATCTATGTATATTAATAACTTTGACTTGGATTTTTTGAACTTGAAAAAAAAACGAACTTCCGCGAGCGCCACTGAATGCCTTTTCGAGAGTCATGTAAGTTTTCTACTTAAAAAAATCGTGGTATTCATAGAGAATTTGAATATCATAATGAAAAGTTCCAGTGACTCAGGCCCAACGCCATTTCGCAATTGCCACCTAGACCCAACACGCTTGTAGGCTGCTGGCAAATAGTCCCCAATGGCTTGCAGGTCTCTAGAAGAAAACTCAAACATTACAGGAACTTGAGGTGTCATCCTAGCTGACTCGCGTAAATACCACGCCTCGGTTTGGAGAGCCTCGAAACTTTGGCCGTAAGGAATTAGATGAAAGCAATGTAGTTTATCTTCTATCTATTCTGGTTACCATCATTTTTATTTCTGCGAAGATATATAACTCAGATGATGTTGCATATTTCTTTGGCCAGAACATGCGTAGTAGAGCACTCTCATACCGCCTTTCAACAGTTATAATATCCGTTTCATAAGTAAATCTCTGTGCACGTCCCACATGGTGACATTGAGAATCGCCAGTGACCTTTCTTCGACCCACATCCCCCATTCGGTGAGCCACCTTTTGCTTTACTCTTCGCAGCGGGTACCCGCATCTGTTTCGGAGGGCTGTTGCCAGTTTGTTGGTCTTGTTTGTTGGTTCCTTCTCCATTATCCACATCTACAACTCTAGTACCGTCAACCAATCGAAACCCTCTTTCCAGACAGAGCTGCTCGATCGCCTCTTCTTCCGCAGCATGGAGGTCGCGCTTCAGCTTACTGACTTTGTGTTTGCCAGACTTGCTTAGGTCGACTGTACCAATCACGAAGAGATGGTACGAGCCACAGAAAACGCACTGGCTGATGGATGAGATCTCCATTCTAGTCGTCGTTTGATGCTACTGCTATGGCTCTACATCATCTTTAAGTTTAGTTTGGACAGCAGGACACGAAGAGTGGCCCTGTCATGTTGTGCTTATCATTCAGTAGGCGTTGTTTCCTGCACGATGCATGGTTGGTAAAATTGTGATGAACTGCCGAGAAGGATATCATTCAACGCAAAGAAGTGACTGCGACATCTTCAAATGTTTTCAACCAGAACCACTTCAAATCAACACATCATAATGACGTCTTTTCGTGGTAAACACTCACATCTTGTCAACGACGCCGTGTACTAAACACAGCGACTACCTGTACGTAGTTTGATGTTTGCAGATGATAAAAGATAAATCGATGAAATGAGAAAAGCGTACACAACGAGGAGAAGAGAGAGATTCTTCAAGGAGAGGGGAACGGGGAAAATCAATTGTATTTGTGAAGATGTACCAAGTCGAGCAGCCTGTCATGGTCGATGTCCTGATGTGTTTTTCTTCATCGAGTGCATTTGGCCTGATTTCTTCTCCACACTACCTCATCCTCATTCTTGTCTCTCGTTCATTCGTCGTAGCTTCAGTGATAAGAGAGCTAAGTCGCTCCATTGTACATGCCAACGGATTGATTCAATTTCAGTCTGATCTGGTGAACAAAGTCTCAGCACAACCCGCCCTACGTGTCTGAAAAGGACGCGAGAAACCATCTGCTATCGCAGTCATTTCTTTGCGTTGAATGATCTCCTTCTCGGCAGTTCATCACAATTTTACCAACCAATCGTGCTCATGGAATGTTTGACATTTTCAACCAGAATCACTTCGAAGTTTACTATGAAGTAGTTGCAGTATTCTGTTTCTGTTTCGATCTTTCAGCCATAATAGCCTTAATGTAATCGAGAATCATGGCAGCTATACCGGCTGCATGAGTCGTCTCTAATACTAGGTCAAACGCAGCATCCCTCTCTTTATCGAACAGCACCAGAGTAAATTCTTTCGCACTCCCACCCCATCGGTAAACACTCCCGTAATCGAAAGACGTAGCGACTTGTCTTGTTGTGCGAGGACCTGCTGGTACAGATGCTGATGTTGTGGTCGCAGATGAGGTTGCACCACTGGCAGATGTTGTACTCACAGCTGTAGCATTACCCTCGTCCACCCTCGAATCCAAGAAATGTATTCCTGTTGAATTCACGACCAAAATACACTTTCTCGGAATGAGATCTAGGCATTCTTCTGCGGTTTTTCTGTCCAATTTTGCAAGTTGACCTTGTTCATAGTTTGCATCTTTCCTGAACAGATCGTAGAAAAAATGATTCCCAACACCAAAATGCCCAGCTAAACTTTTGCTGTTCGACAGTTCGACGATGGCGGTTGAATGTTCATCTGTGCAGGTGGACCTCGTTGGTGAGGGGAAAATCGGACTAGAAGTTGAATTTGAAGTTGTTGTCCTTGAAGATGGAGTCGATCTCGGATTCGGCGTTGCGTCTTTGATGCTTTTCTTCACTTTCCTAGCCCAAACACCTGCAGTATACTTCCCACGCCACGGAGACGGAACGATGTCAATCACAGTACCTCCCACAATAGTGCTCATCTTTTCTATCACGGTGACCCTAGCAACGAAATTCAGCACTTCTTCTTCGTTGCTTAGTAGCAGATGTCCTCTTATGATATCGGTTTTTGCTTCCACATACATCAATTTGTTGATGGCTATCTCCACTTGTTCTGCGGTAGTAGTATCCGACTCTGACGTCGAGTCGCTAGAATCTTTCTTCAGATAGATCTTCCGCTTGAAAACGAAATGACCACCAATGCTTTTCTTCCTCGACAAAGAAACCACGATGTCTCCCATGTAGTCTTCAGCCCTCAACGGTCGTCCTGTCTTGTCACTCGCGTCTATGACAACGAGTCCAAAATCGGTTTTTCTGGGATGGTCAGCGAGATGGAGGACGTCGATGATTTTCTCCGTGACTGCTGCTACATTGACGTCTGGCGAGATCGGTAGGTCGTGGAGTAACACTTCTCCATCTGCTAGAGTGATCTGAGCGACAATCGGTGGACGATCGAGAAAGGCTTTGACCTTGCTAAGAGTTGGAGTCTGTAGTGGTGGTGGACCTTCTAGTTCTCGTTGAGAGGCATCTACCCCTCTCGGAGCTGTGAGTAGTGCTGAAGTTGTTTCTGCTTCTCGTTGCTCATCATCCACAAGCTCAAGCATGTCCTCTAAACAACGCATAGAAAAATGGCAAAATGTACCAATCGCACCCTTCGTGTCTTTTTTCGACAACAAGAAGTTGAGCATGTAGTTTTCGAATTTTTTGCTTGGTTTCAGATTCGAAGAGAGCAACAAGCACATCAATTGCCAGCCTCTGGCGACTGAGGTCTGCTTTTTATTCCCCGTCAATTGTTTAATGATTTGCAAGTAGATCTCATCAGCGAGTAGTTCTTGCACTCGTTTAGCCCCTGTTGATATTTCCTCCGCTGCTCCTACGGTTTCCAATATGATGTCAAAGATTCGAACTGCAAAGCCTCCAGGCCTCATCGTTCTTTCCTGGTTGTAGAAGTCTCCCATGTAGCCCAAAATATTTTGAAAAATTTCAACCGCTGCTTTCTGGAAGTCTTCGTTCCTTATCTTCATGTTCATGCCATAAAACCTCCCAGTCGTGATATCCATATCGCCGAAGGAATCGCTCCTCCCGTCAGCACCGAGGATGTCTAGAATAGAATCCGTGAGGGCAGTGCTTTGCCATTTCATGATACTGAAGGTGCCTGCTGGTGTAGGAGAAGGTGCACGTGTGGATGTCTCAACTCCAACTTGTTCTGCAGACGAAGACGGCGACGACTCCGGATCCTGTCGGCTTTCCTCTGCCCTGGTGCTCCTATTAAACGTCGACATTCATTGGTCACTGATGCTGAAAGAAAAGGGCCCGTAGTTATTACCCCTCTACAACTTGTTCTCCCTCTGTTTTCCCCTGTTCTCTGAAAAGAGCCCCTTCGAAGATCTCAGTGACCACTGAAAGCTGAGCCTTAATCCTACTTGTTGTGGAAGCCTCGTCATCTGGATCTTCCTTGGGGTCTTTGTCTATCTCTTTGGAAGAACCCCCCGCTTTTGGTACTAAGGTACCAGTCACAACTTTCCCAGAGGAGCCACCAGCAGGTCCGTTTCTATCAGGACTCAGCACTGCAGGACTCAGCACTGCACGGATTCTCGGATAATTTTCGATATGAAATTCTTCGCGAGACGCTAGTTTTAAACGATTTTGTTCACTTCCAGGATCTCCCATTTCTCCAGGAGCTATAGACTCGCTTGTGTTCGATCCAGAGCTTCCTCCAGTGAGGCACTTGCAAAACCATCTCACACACGAGGCGACTGGACGAAAGCATAGACGAGTCACAATGTTGGAAGAACCTTGTTGTGAAACTCCAGGAGTTGCAGACGCGCCGTCTTGCCTGTTAGCGGCGAGGCGCGCTCGAGCGCGCTGGCGAGCTTTCTCGACTGTCCTCGACTGCAGCATCTTTTCGGTCGTGAAAGTGAGTTGTAGTTCTTGTAGATCAAAGACGCTGCAGCACGATCATTTTAAGTTACGCCGTAGCCGAAAGCTGTCAGGACCATGCGTTGAAAAAAACACAAACGAAAGAAGTGTGGACACCGTGTAATGAAGACAAAAAAAGACAAAACAAAGTTCAAGCAGTTCAGACAAAGGCAAGAACAAGGTTTAGGGTTGCAGATGACCAAAGGAGGGGATCCTTTCCATTGAGGGTGACCTGTTGGGATTAACGCGTTAAAGACAGGAGAATGATGATTTGAATCTATTCGGCGAGCTGCCTAAGATTTCCCAGACGAGTTCGGGTATCATCAATACAAAGAGTAGATGCAGCGCTCGTGTCTTGCTAGCACAGATGCGCATCACTCTCAACGCCAGACTCAATCTGTTTATAACAGACACTTACAACTCATCTACTCAAGTGACAGACGAGCTATGCCTTTGGAGTGCTCAGAAAAACAGATATCGCAACTTGTCTCTCGCCCTCATTCCATATCCATTAGATAGAGTCTCATTATCATGCGAACAATTATTAATTTCACCTCTCCGCGATGCCGCACAACTCGTTCCTTAATCTATCATTCATAAATGAAATAAAGTGCCTCCTCGTTATATTTGCTAATCACATTCTAATTCCCAGTAATTCTTTATTTTTGATACAACAAGCCTTCAATCCATCAAAATACTCTTGTACTCCTTGCTCCTGCGCACTCGCTAGATTAAAGCACCACGCTAGGACTCTAGAGTACGTCTCGCCACTGCCGGATACCGTGACTCGGACGCCGCTTGTAGTAGTATTAGCTGAATTTTGACCTACTTTCTTCTTTTCTCCTTCATCAGAAGCCTCTTCTACAGGATTATCATCCAAGTCTATTTTCAACCGCATTTTAGAGAGTGATGTGAAGTTACCACTAGGTTCACTCACCGTTTCCATTGTTAAACTAACATTTGGCTCAACTGCTACGACTCGTCGGGTGATGAGCGTAGCTCTCCTCTCGTCCTCCGAGAAGTCGCCTACTTTTGCGCATAAGCGGATGATGATTCCGGGCTGTGGGGGAGGATGATAGAGGCTATTGCTTTTGCAATTTTGGTCTAGGTACGTGGTCGACCTGTGTATCTTGTTCAGCGAGATGTCATGACATGACATGACATGTCATGTCATGTGCCCTCTTTTACCACATGGCCACGTGGCTGTGAGGCACTTCAGTCACGTTGTACCTTCTATAAAGAAGAGCAATATGACCGAGCGATATACTATCAAATTCTAAAAACAAAAAGAAGTGACATGATATTGAATATGTAGTGAATGCAGTAGTACTACCTGGTCCAACTTCTTCCTCTCCCCTACCAGACTACTGTGCTGCAGTGTCGGATGTAGGTCATCATCCCATAATGGAACGTCTACGAGTTGCGTCCAAATATCGCTCCGCTTTACACCGGTTACAACGAAATCGCAAAGCCATTCTACTGGAGCACCGCGTTTCCTTATGTATTGTAACCATAAGTGATCAAGTATGATCACGAAAACCGCTCCAAGCAATAATGCGCACCACCAGAAAAAGAAGAACTTGACCAAGTACGGAAACGGCGCTAAAAAAGTTGATGGGCCTTTCTTTTTCCTCTTCCCAGAAAAGTAGTCCTGCATTTTTTGCCACCATGTTTTCTGCTCCTCTTGTACAGGTCTAAGACTCGGCTGGACGACGTCGCCAGTCACGCCATCATGTATAGACCCATCAGCACCAACGGAAAAAGAGACTGTTTCGGTAGTACTAGCTAGACCATCCGTCGAAGAAGGTGCTTTCGTAGCACCTCCTGATTTGTCGCCATTAGTAGCTTGACTACTTGTACCAGCAGAGGTTTCGGAAATGACAGGTGACACTTGCTGAGACAGCAGCAGCAACAAGGCAAGGCGAAATACTATGGGGACCAGCGACATCTTTAAGTGTCTTGGAATTACTTCTAAATCGATTTTGGCGCGTGAGAATAAATGATTTAAGCGTCTTGGAATTACTTCTAAATCGATTTTGGCGCGTGAGAATGAATGATTGAACCAATCGCGTACCTAATCACACCTAATTACGTACCGAGGTGAACTCCATCCTGAATCACCTGAACAAGTTCTGTATTAATATCTTTCCCTCTGGTTCAGCGCTCCACTTGCTCGTGGCGGTCTTTGACTCCACTCAAGTCGCATTTTGCAATGGAACACCGGAAAAGCACGCTCCGATGTTACAAAATCTCAAAATATGTTGTTAAGTGAGGAAGAGGAAAGGTAGCAAGAAAACAGACGATATACCTAAGTTTTTATGTCTGGGATTAGTTTCAATCCAAAAGTGAAGGATTTATGAAGATCAGAAAGAAGAGATGCCATCATGAGATGGGAATGCCCTTAAGAGACGGAGGAATATGACGCCCCACTCCTCTAGTGCATCTACGTGTAGCACTGGAGATAAATTCGGATCAAGGACAGACCCCATGAGCAATACGCCACAAAACCAACGTCCCTGAAGGAAGTAAATCATCAAAAACTCTGCAGTATAAGCAATAGACGCAAAATCAATGTTTTCTTTCAAGATGAGGATAGATGTTCAACGTGAAGATACTCAAAAACGAACCAAAAGGATCGCCTACTTGTCCCGCCCATCGTCGCCATCGAATTCTACGATGCGGGAAGGGCGATTCTTTACTTATCCCATCCTTCGTCGCCATCGAATCCTACGAAGCCGCCTAAGAGGAAAATGGGAAAGTATTCTTTCCTTTCTATCTGAGAGCACCAATTCCAGGCACTTGTGAGTCGACCGTCAACACAACTACCAGCATCAAAAAAGTTGTCCCCTCCTGAACCGTCAAAAGCGTGCCTGAAAAAATCTGCGAGGATAAGTTTCTGCAAGCGGGTGACGCCGCCGAAACCGTCGATAAGGCTGTGCATGGTTGATTGAAGAACTCATTGGAGGTTTCACTCAATCATGGTGATGTGAGAACTATTTTTATCATAACAATGTCGTGGTAGAAATCGCTATGTAGTTGAACTTACGAGAATTAAAATTGCGACCCTAGGAAGGGTAGGATAGGATAGGATAGGAGAGGATAGGATAAGATAGGATAGCATAGGATAGGAGAGGATAGAAGAGGGTAGGAGAGGATAGAAGAGGGTAGGAGAGGATGGGATGCCTTTGCTATGTCTACACGCAAGGTGCTGACACTGAAGCGCCGGCGAAGCGCCCCAAGTACGTTGTATCAAATTGTAGTACGTTTTGTTCTTCGGGCGGTTCTGGTCGTAGTTATAACTACATTGTAACTAATATGGTACATTTTGTTCTTGGGATTCTGGTCGTAGAGCTTCGGAATCTTGTCTAGGCACAAGACTATCGGTGAGCATATCCTCGGCACTTGTGCATATTTGTCGATGAACATCAATGCGTTTGGCACATTGTGGTCCCCTACGTGGATCTGCGTACTTCCTATCCACACGCCTACTTGCTTCTGCACCTTCTCTAGTATCCTCAACATCGCTTGATGCACTCTTCTACATGGCTGCACACGGTGCAAGCCCTGTCCCGTGTGCGTTAAGGTGTAGGGATGTTCTGGATCTAGCAAGTCGTGCTCTGCGAAGTGCCACAGCTGGAACATGTGTGCTAAGACCTCTCGCCAGAGGAGGAGGGACTGGAGGACAAATCGAAACTGTCTTTCGTGTGAGTGATTGAGCCGCGCTCCGCTTTTGCCTTCACTGATGGCGAGGGACAACGCGGGATCGTCTCCAGCTTCGGTTGGCGAAAAATGCTCGCGGAGAAACTGAAGGGTTAATTATCGAATGAATGACAATGAATGTAGTCTACATTTTCGAATAAATAAACTTCAACAGTGCCCCTCCCTTAGGGACAAAGCCTTAGGGCGGGCCGCCTATAAAGACACAAATGGAACAGCCATCACGCTCGCACCTTCGTCAGCCCAAAGTCGCTGCGCTTCTGGCAACTAAATGGCCAAAGACATCAATCACCCAGCCACGGCGCCCCCGCCTGCCAGCCGGGGGCAGCAAGTGAAGGGCCAGCCGCACTTTCTCAAAGCCTTGCCCATGTGAGATAGCTTGAAGCTTAGGCCAGCTTAGTATGGTCTATTACATTCATATCCCAAACCTGTGCAAAGTTCAGACTTCCACCCTCCCTTTACTCTTTCCCCTTTCTACTTGGGAAATTTCTGCACTCTGCTAGGAGGCGAGTCGGCTCGTCGGTTCATGATGGCGGGCTTTTGTGGTTTTCCTGCACACCTAAGAAAGCGAGAATCGGAGTTGCGACAGGCCCAATCTCTTTGGCCGTGTCCATGTGCGTCCTCCTGGGGTCGGTCTGTTGAGAAGTCTGAGGGAGTCTCAAATCGGCCGAGTTCAGAGCCACTACAGCGCCCAGAAGTCTCCTGATGCGTTTGCCAGAGTCAGTGGGAGCCGGAGACGACTTGGGACTCGCGTCAGAAGCTCTCGAGTAAGCAGCGCAGTCGGCACTTTCCTCAAGGACGTCGGGAATGTTGCTGGGAATAGTTCGACGGAAAGCGTCCAACTTCTCAACTCGGGAGCTGCGCTCGGAGAGGGAGAACTTGGGGCCACAGCCCCGTCCTACAGCCCGCAGAAGGCACCCCGGTAACCGCTGCCCTGGGCAGCGCTCTTGCCCTTTTGTCCGAGGCAGAAAACACGCCGGGAGCCAATGGCCTGGCGGACTTGTTCAAAGCCGGGGACACCCCGGGGGCCAGCGCCCTGGCGTCCCCGACTCAGTTGGGCCGAGGCGTGCGGCATGCTGTGGTAAGATGCACAAGGGACCCCCGGAAGCCTTTGGCGATTGGTCACACCGTGGCAGCAAGAGGTGTAGCAGTAAGCTACCCACCACGCCGGCGGCAGATGGACGCGCGGCGGCTTTTCAACGCGGGCACCCCCTCAGAGGCCGCGGGCGCTCTTGTTGACGCCCTTGCCGCAAAGGCTGCCGCGTGGCCGATGTGAATCATGGACAGCCCGGGCATTTGCCGGCGCTATCGGTTCCCCAATCGTCCGAAGGGCCTGAGCGCGCTGCCCGCTGTTCGATATCGTCGCGCGCTAGCGACTTCATTCCCTAAACAAGTGCGCGGACCTGGGCGAGCTGCGGACAACGACACTACAGCCGCGAGGGTTTGGCTCGATAGGCCTCCACTATCGCCACCCCAAGAGGCCGGCAGCCATTTGCCCACCCATCTACATGATAGCCTTCTCATGTTTCTCCCCGCGATGTCCCTCCTTAGATTGATCACGCACGCCACTAAGTAATGAGGGCACGCAGCGCAATATGTAATGTCTTCGGCGCTTTTCAGAACGAAGCGCGACGGGGGGCTCGCTTCAGTTCACGGGTCTAATTTTCGTCGGCGTCCAGCTTCAGCCCCGTCGCTCCTGCGTAAGAATGTCCCAGGCGCTTCGCAGAAACGCGGCGAGCCCGCCGCTTCAGTTCGCGAGCCAGATTTTCGTAGGCGTCCGGCTTCAGCCTCATCACCCCGGCAGCGTTGCACAGACAGGCGGCACCATGATAGCAAGCCGGCCGCCCGGTCGCGCTTCGCCTCAGAGCAAGGCAGGCGCGCACAAGAATACCAGATGGAAAACCAGCCAGGTCTACTGCCCCATGACTAATTAAAGCGCACAATCGCAGCAAAACCACTCCAGGCGACATGCCTCATCCGCCTCCGACGCTGGCACAGCCGTGCACGCCCTCAGTCAGTGTTTGCCTCTTTGGAGCGAGGAAACCCACAGAGACCAGCCTCCGCACTGGTCGCCCTTACCAACCACGTCACAGCTTCGCGCAATTCTTGCCCGTGTGGAATCTCGGCGATAGCGCGAGGCAAGCCGCTGGGTGTGGGCACTGCTCCGGTTATTGGCCACGCCTATGCCCTCCCTAGTCTCGTCGCGCGGGGGCTTGCTGACTGTGAACCGGGCGGCCCCCTCGGCTCCCGTTGCTAGCTGGGCCGCCGTTGGTCGTGGCGACGCCTGGGGCCGTCTTGGAGGCGACGCCTGTGGCGACGGCCTGAGACATCTCCAGAACGGTGCGCTCCTGCCTGGCGACTACAGCCAGCAAGAGACGCCCACACTAGCCGAAGCTTTCGCCCAGTAAGCTCGAGCGGTTACAGTATGTACGACAATACATCAAAGTCTATACCTGCAATAATCGGTCGCACGGCTCCCTGTTGAATCTCAGATACGTCTGATGATCCCCCAAACTGCACACGCACTGTTCTATTGTTTCTTCGTCTAAGTGGTCTTTATCTCCGTGGTAGCCTATTTTCGAGTCATCGTCACCCTGAATTTCGTAGGTACTTCGATAAAATCGGCCAAACCCGTGCTGCGGTCTTCGGGTGCTGGTTGCATACTTGCGCTGTAATTCCTTTTTCGCGTCGTTCTTCCGCCTAATATCCAAATTCACTTCGCGCCGATCCCGCCCTGCAAAAGTTGGGTGAAAAATGATCGCTCGACTCAATTTCAGAAAGCAACACATGACCCATATGCTCAATCAACATCAACTGTTTCCAGTTCTCAGCACATGCGTCGAACCTTATCTCAGAAGAAGTCAGGTCAACTACCAAAAAAGTAACCACAGGATATTACAGTAATGGTACCCCTATCACTGATCTCCATCGTCGCTACGTGCAGAAGCGGATCCGACAGCAGCTTCACCCCTCTCTCATGTTGTGAGAGCACGTCCCAGACTGTCCGGACTTCTTGGACGCAGCTGAAGTCTAAGAGCTCTTTGATCTCGGACCTATTGCTATCCTGCAGCATGTACATCATCTTGCCATACGCCTCTCGCATTCTTTCTGGATTAAGAATTTTGTAACGGCGACCAATCTCGAAAACCTGGAAGATCATGTTGGTATACGAATTTGTTACAGTTCGAAAGACGATGATGCTGGGTTGCAAAGTTGTAAGAAAAACTGACTCTGATGAAGAAAGATTGTCGATAAAAACACTAAGCTAAGGTGGGAGTAGGGGAATGTATTTTCATCAATACCGCTCTCAAAAAGTGCGAGTATTTTGCGAAGTCCCTATCGTGCAGCAAAGCTTGGCCTTTGTCGTAGTCCTGTGCTACTACCATTCCACACAACGTTGCGCACATTTGTTTTATCAGAACGCCTGTTTTTCTCTGCTCCAACCTTGGATTCAATTGCCCGTTCTTGTCTGTCACTAACATCGAATCTACTCTATCGGTGTACGTAGAAACGGCGGTGGCGCCTTCTATGAGTCTCAAGTAAGGGCGCTCATTGTAGGATAGGCGGATAGGCACGAACTTCGCACGATCTAAGAACGTCATGGCAGCATCTGACGTAGTATCTTCGACATCTTCGAAACCTAGATTTTGTTGGCGTTGGGTGGAAAAAAATGGAGTTACTAGGAACATCATTCGAATTATACATCCACTACTTCATGTAACATTTCTCGATTCCAAAAGTCACTATATGGATACTCAAAAGAGATGTTGATAAGATAGTCTAAGTCTATGTAGAAACTTAAACTTATTATATTTGTAATACCATCCAGATGCTCCTCCCCTACGCGGATCTCTTGATACTGCTGCGCCGCTGCTGCGTCGACCTCTGCTTTGTCGAGGGCTGCTTATGTTTGGTAAGTGTGAGGCACAAATTTCGACATTTATGTGTATAGTTCCAGTAAAGAAAGCTACCTGGAAAAAATGCTCAAAGACAACGTTAACAAAGAAAGTAAGCATGCAAATAAAATCAAATACCGCCAGGATCCTTCTTCTTTTCTCCTGCTGTCGAGCTAGAAGAGGCTGTACTCGTGCTATCAAACCTATTTAGCAAAGCCTCCACTTCAGCCGCCGTCCCTTGCCGACTTCTAAGCTGCTTCACAATTTGCTGCAGGGTCTTCGCATCGAATTGATTGAAGTCCTGTGAAAAGGGTTGTCAGCATCAGCATCACTCAACAGTACTTATATTCAAAAAACATCTTTATCAAATCTTCATGAACAACATCTATAGCTCACTAAGTACATCCAAATAATGTCGTCGGTGAGTCACAACATCCTTGTAGAAGTAACATCTTCCTCAATGGTTAACTCCTTGTAATAACTTCTTGTAATAACATCTTCCAAATAACTTCTCTCAAGAATTAATACCGGTTCCGGAACGACTTCCTCTTCTTCCGCCTCCATACCCTCTGGCTCCTTGTTGTTGCCTCCCTCTGACGCAGCCGAAGATTGCATCATCATCGCATCCTCCTCACCAGGCGACATTGATACGTTCGAATCGAGGTCAGCCATAGCGGCAATTACAATTGCAAATTTTTCGATTAGTTCGACGCACCAGCAGCGGTGGGCGCAGAGAAAGCAAACATTTCACAGTAAGGTAGTGGCTAGTCTCCTGTAACAGTCCTCTCTGTTAGGCTAGTCCTCTCCTTTAGGCTTATTGTTGAAGTTGCCGCGTGTGTCGCCTCTCTGGTGGTTCATTCCGCGTTCAGGATTTCCTAGCGTCGGGGTGCTTCAACGTCGGCGTAGTGAAAAAAAATCGGCACCCCATACGGTCGAAACAAGCACGCTTAGTCGCAAGTCTTCAATTTTTCTGATATCTGAAGATAGATACTAATAAATTTCCAAATCAACATACGTCTAACAAATTGTTCGTTGGTGTCGTTTCCCTATTCATCATAATGCATATGCCAGCACTGGCTGAAGTAAGCGAATGCAAATACAACCACGTGGTAACTCACGTTTTCCACGACAAAAAAGCAAAATAGCTATTCACATCTATGAAAAAGCCTGTACTGGTTTTACTTTGCAAGTTTACCTACCTATAGCGTGATACCATGCAGTGTTCGTCCTAGATGCAGCAAAGTGCGAGCCTGTTGGTTGATGTTGAGTAGCGAGACAAGCAAAAAAAAATATTTGGTCACCGTCACCACGTCCAAGATACTAATTGGTCACGGTCAAGACTTCAATTCGTGACCACACTGGAGATCTTATCAAGATATAAGCATGAGGGCAGCATTGCTGCCCCGAAGACAATTGAATTCAGGACTTGAAGTAGCACGACCATGCTGGCCAAGAACGATAGTGCAGCTATACCCTTCCAGCATAGATACCAGACCCCGCAGCCAGCTACGTGTAGGTTAGCGTCGCAGAACACTCTTATTTTCCATTGAATCTCGTAGACAAGAAGTGACGTAACCGCGTGGTAGACTCGACTTTGTAAATCAGATACATGAATTTTTTCGATTAAATTCTTTCAAGAAAGATTTGTGTGTTGCAATCATCCGGTGAGCCAAGAATTTAAGCTTCGATGTGTAAATTCCTCCATATCCCACTGATACAAAAATTTCGCGAACTACAGTTTTTGTTGATTCTTCAATTCGATATTTGAATTTGATTTTGAAATATCATCATAAACATCACTTATATTTATTTTCAACAATATATTTAGTAGAAGTTCTCTGTTCAATCACACCTTTCTGCCAGCCTCCTGTGCTGAAATTCGAATCTTTACATGAAGAAAAAAACAGTTAAACTGGCTACGTACAAATAATTCTTGGTACTCAACATGTACTTGAACGACCTCATTTTACCTCCTACGTACAACATGAAAGAATACATAGAGCTCATAGAAGCCGTAAGGAGTATTAGGTGGGACAACGAACCACTTGTGTCACGAAAATTCTTTTTTACCTCAAATTCTTGGAAAAATTGCGACGCTTAGCAGACTGCGAAATTTGCTCTAGAATCTTCCCCACGAGCACCATAAGCCGTAACTTGCGCTGTAATGCTTGGTGTTTTCGGCTCTTCCGTCGACATGGTGTCTCCGCCTCATCCTATCGATTCCGGGGAAGATAACAGAGAGGCCCACTTCATTATATCAATTTTCTAGTGACTGGCGAAATTTCATTTCCACGCCAATCTTGATTGAATAAGTTTCTAGTCCTTGCGATGCAAATTCCTTTCTGTTGCAGTTATGATGAGTAGGAACTACTACTCAGATATATACAGACATCACCCGTTTAACCCACACACTAAGGAAGAATGATAGTCCGTGACCATCTCAAAAAATCAGTATTATCTTCCGCGACATTTACCCTACATTTCCCTGATGCTCTGCACAAATCTATATTGGAGATCTTCATCGATCTTTCTAGAAAAAACACTAAATAAAACAATATACACGAATGTCAATCGTGCCCCAGTAGGTACCACAATAATTACGCCGTAATAAATGTCATTGTTCATGATAGATTCTACGTAAAAGATCAACAAAATGAAATAATAACGATATCGATAACAACATCAAGAATCATAAAAAATTGTTCAGTAACAATGGAATACATAATCGTGTCATGCTAGTCTCAAATTTAGCGTTTTTTCCAGATGGTACTCTCTAGATGGTACTGATGCACTGCACCACGCAGAAGTACGACGGCGCACCTTGAAGAACGTACGATAAACTGTAATGAAACACATCGCAATTATTCTTGTTGTCCTCGCAGTTGTACCAGACAAAAAAAAACTGATAATGATAAGTACTCATCTCAACTCTTATTTATTACCCAGTACATCACAGTATAACTAAGACTAAGTGCAGTGACCTAAGTACAACATTTTAAGTCTAACATTGTTCAAGATGAAGAATGAGATCAAGAAACTAGTTCTCAGCCTAATATTTTTAGTCATGTCATGCCCGCGTGGGTAGAGTGCGTGCGCGCTCACTCCCGTTAGGATACAGGTTATACCTATTCATGATAGCTCGTAGCGTCTTTGCATCACAATATTTGCTCGCTATTGTACATAAAAATATACCCGCCCGTGCGGCTCGACCACCATCTGCGATGGCGCTGCTTTATCTAGGACTTCTTCATACTAGCTCTAAGAACTTGCGTCTCTTTCACCACCTTAAAAATCTTTTACATAGTCCTAGTACCGCCCCTACCGTCTAGTATAACGTTCACAAACAGATATCGTTTTTTTTTCACCATCATATCAACTCAACTGCATCTACTCCTCCGCAGCATATGCATCCGCGTCTTTCGCCACTCCCTCATCCATAACAGCTTGGTCATTAATATCTCCTGCTGTGATATAACTAGCTTCTTCGTCACCTGCAGCGAATTCCGGGACGCCGGCTTCTGCTGTAGTACTAGTCTGTTGCTGTTCCGCAACTATTTCTGGCACATCAGTTGCAGGCACCTCATCAACAACAGCCGCGGCTGACTCCGTCACTTGTTCGGCGGCTTGTACACAACCAGATACTGATACAGATACAGAAGAAGATGTTGATTCTTTTACTTCACCAGTTGTAGAAGCTGTTGATTTCTCTTTCTCAGTCGTATTCGAAGCAGTCTTGGCCTTCGTCTTGTAGTTCTTCGAGGCAGTGTCGTAGCCTTTGCCAGCTGTGAGGGGATGGAAATTAAGTTGCTATGGACAACAAGGGTCTGAGAGGAAGTGAGAACTTTTACTTTGCTGCTACGCGTAAACAACAGTCAATTCTTCTTTTTCAAGATCGATCGAAGAACCAACGAAAAAATTACAAACTACCAGGTGGCGCCGGCACGTTCAAATTAAATCTTGGATGTCGTCGTCTCCCTTTTCCATAGAAAGAGCCCTCTCCAGCTCCAACTCCCTTTCCAGCTCCATTATGATATTGGTTCATGGCACCTCCGTTGTTCGCGTATTGATTCGCCCCACCAGCATTTGCGCCATATTGATTCGCCCCACCAGTTGCGCCATATTGATTTGCCCCAACACTTTTCCCCTTTCCACCATTGTTTGCTGCATTCCATCCTGCGGTCGAATGGTTATTGTGGTATCCTCTCAAATGCTGTTGAAGTGACCCTGGAGCGTGATGCATCATGTTAGGGTTCGGATTCCATGGTGGCGGGCATCCTAGGAAGCGTGTGCCATAAGGATCAGCACCCATCTGGCCAAGAGAGCTGAACAGAGAACCAAGCACAGATCGAGCACCAGGAAGAGGCGGAGTCGAAAACGGAAGCGGTAAGAAACCGGTCGGCAGAGCACTTGTGGGTGGAAGAGTGGACGGGGAAGGCTTAGAGGTGCGAGGAAAAATTTAGTTTTTGTTTTTCATGTTTCTACATGTAATATGTAGTGAATTCAAATAGAGACAACCTAAATTTTTGCGATGATTCACTTTCAGAACTGTCGACAAAAGAACCAACCTCATAAGAAATCCAAGTCTCGCTGCGGCGGAGGCTTGCAAAGCGTTCGCAGCGTTTGCCCCTAGGACAGGAATATTTGGTCCTGCTCCGGCTGAGGCAGGTGGAACATTCCCAAACGACGCCTGCATAGCTGCTGCTGCTGCTGCTGCTGCTGCTGCTGCTGCCAAGTGTTAGAGATAGGTTTTTGGTGTTCGCTTCCCCCGCTTGTTATGCCCCTCTCCCTTAGGAGCGGCAAAACGAGCGGCAACGTGAACCCGATCTAGCGGACCCTTAAAAGGAGCCTGATCCTCCTTGTCCCGACCCTCCAGCAGCACCAGCGTGTGGCAAAGGCGGAAAAGCTGCTCCCGCCCCTTGAGTCTGCGGGACTCTAGCCGCAGACTGGTGCATTAGTCCCGGACCACCGGACACAAGGTGCTCCATCGGTGTAAATGCGGCATTTCCACGTATGCCAACCGAAGAAAAATCGGCGTCGGCAGAAGAGGTACAACTATGCATACTAGTTCTTGTGTTGGAAGAACTAGTATGGTGTTGATGTCCGACACCAGACGAGTGGTTAGTGTTAGCGCCAGTCCCAGCAGCTCCTTGAGCAGCAGTAATGAAACTGGGTACAAAACTCGGAGCACCAGCTGAGAAGGTACTCAAACTCGATGTTGCAGCTGGACCATTTTCGATTTTTGAACTACCTCCGAAAGCAGCATCGCTGTGGACCGTACTGTTACTGCCGAGACAGGTAGTTCCGCTCAACATAGCACCGGTCGTATCGATTGCCGTCGCAGATCCAGAAGGAGGAAAAGCACCAGCATCAATCTGATTGTTTACAGTTACACCTGACTGATTGGATGTATTCAAACACGCGTTTGACGTCGAAGTAGATCCACCAGTTGCATTGCCCCTTGCAGCTTGCACAGCAGAGCTAGTACTCGCTCCACTGTTGATGATTCTATCGACAACCGCAGAGCACGAACTTGAAGTCGAACAAACAGCATGATTACTAGAAGTTGGTGGTACAGGAGGAGCAGGTGGAGGTGGCTGTTCTACAACACGAACGTGCTTGATTGTGCTTGTCGCATCTGGAGGCACTACGACTGCTGAGGCAGGAGTAGTCTTCAAAGGTTGTACAACGTCAACGCCTTGCGGCGTTTCCATCCTCACAGGGTTACCTTGTGGCACCATCACAGCCGGTATATCAGGCGGCGGCAGCGGTGGCAGTTCCAGATCAGGCATTGGCGGTGGTCCGAAATCGAGATGGAGTTTGCCGCTGAGATTAGATTTGAGTCTGTATTGGAACATTGTCAACAAATAGGGAACGCCCCTGGCTACATAAGTGATAGCAGTAGCTGTTTCGCAAATTGCAGAATCACGTTCACGATTCTGTTTCTGAGTTAGCCATAACAAGATACTGAACCGCCAAACTTGCATCCAATGGCTGCAAGGCCAAACTCGCTTCGTTTTCAAAGATTTCGCGGATGAAATTCATATTGGCCGCTTGCTCACGGATATCTTCTAGAGTCTTGTTCTCCTCTGCAGCGAGGCGTTTTTCGGTCTCATTACTAGCTGTCGTGACAGAATTGGAGACGAAAGTTAGAATATCCTGCAACTCCAGCCAACCATCCCATAGGGTCACAACTTTCCACTTCGTGCTCGTGCGTTCCTCGATCATGTGGGTCGTGTCGTCTGCTTGTTGTAGGCTTTCGTGTTCAATCGAAAAGGCTTTGCTCAGATCAAACCGGAGTTAGAGAATGAAGTCATGAGCATGAGGTTTCATTTGGTAGCTAAATAATACGTTCTCTTCGTTTTAGCCTCTCGAAAACACCTCTACGTCTTCTATCTTCATTCTTGAATTTTACATAACACATACTGCCATAAAGAGACCCACACTTGGCACGTTCGCAACGCCACACACGGTGCTTCAATCCGATCGTGAGAAGGACAGCAGCCTGAACGAGACTCAACGCAGCAGCTGGTGTCTCGCCCAGAATCAATTCTTGGGTCTCCTCAATCTCAGAGAGTAAGCGTGCAAAAAGCGTACGACGGATGTCCGTCTCAGTGATGACGTGCAAAGCCAACATTGGATTCTTCTTCTGATCTTTCGCCAACTTTGCATCTTTGTTCTCTGCTTCTTCCTTCTGTCTTTGTTGTTTCCGCACATCCAATAGCAAATTGCGAGAGTACACCACAAACGCCGACGGCGCGCCACCAAATACCCCATTGGTGCTGGAACTTGTGAGCGAGGCAGTGTAAGAAGAGCGAATCTCGGTCGGCGAAGGGTGGCAAACAGACGCACTGCAGCTGGTACTAGCATCGACGTCCAATCGAGCGCAATCAGGGCTGGCTAGGTCTTGGACGGAAGGTGTTAGAAGAGCTGCATCTTGGTCCGAGGTGCTTTATGAAACGAATGACACATCTAGGAGGTTCAGATTAGAAATTTGCGAGAATGGTCATGGTGAATTGCCCAGATCAGTACTCCGAAACTGTCGACGGGACTACTTAATACCGGACTCCACTTCAGGAGAAGGGCCCAATACTAAATTTGAGAGAAGTCTTCATCTAATTAAGTTATCTCATACCCGTCGACTCGAACTCGATAAACCTTGGCGCTGCCGCTGCGGCGACTCAGGGTTTGTATCAGGTGAGCGACTAGAGGTTTCAGCCTTTGTGCCCGAATCGTCAGACTTGTTACTGCTCGTGTGCTCAGACGTTGTGCGCGGAATAGAGGACTTGTTTTTATCATTGTCACATTCTCCTTCCACCTGGGAGGAGGTCTGATCATTATTACTAATATCTTCTCTTGTGGTACTAGAGTTAGAGCCAATCATCGTGCCACGACAGAGTGCTTGTGTTTGCACCTGTTCCTCCTCCACTTCATCCAGGACATATTCCGCAACGCAGTCTTCATCGCGATCCGTTTCTTCACTGCGGAAAGAGATGTCGAGGTAGGGACGCGCAGGACAACTGAGAGATGTCTTCCCCGGAGGAGGTTTCGTGTTCGGTGGTGGAGGGTGCGGTGTACGCGAGAACCCTCCTGCTGGGAAGTAGAGCTCGATGATCTCAGATTCTTGCTCATTCACCTCCACTGGCGGCTTCGGTGGCGGATCTTCTGTAGGCGGTTGTCTTTGGAGTTCTTCACTGTCTACTCCCTCAGGAACAATGCCTTCATCTCCTACTACCTCTTTCTTTCCGGATGTACCACCTTCATCTCCGAGGACACCTCCTGCCATTCTAGTGGCCGTCGCCGGTGGCCCAGACACGACGGACGCAGAGGGTAATTGCAAAGGAATCAAATGACCGGCGAACGTGCCAGTTGGAGCTGTCGGCGAAAAAGGAAGTCCTGCTCCAACGTTGAAGAGTGTTCCCGCTCCCATCGTGCCTAGGCCTCCCGCACCACCGTTGTACAAATGCGCTACTGCACTCGAAGGCGGACAACCGCCACCCCCAAGTGTTCCAGTAGGAAATGGCGCCAGGGGTGGAATCGCTGGCGCACCGGCGCCGAAAGGGAGAGCATTATTTGCACCTCCTGCCAAGAACGATGATGCACCCACTGGAGCACACGAAGGCAATACCGGAGGAGCGCCGAAAGGAAAAATGCCTCCAGTTGTAGGGTTGCCCCCAATCTGTTGTTGCATTTGAAGCTGCTGCATCTGTTGCACAATGCTATTAGCTTGCTGGCTCAATAAATTCTCCGCCATCTTAGTCTGACCAACCAGCACATCGGTCACATTACTGCCACCTCCATTAGTGCTACTACCACCGGAAAACGTGGTCGTGTTACTTCCAATCGGTGGCGAAGTAAGCGGGAAATCACACGAGAACGGAGGCAAAGGACTGGCAAAGGCTAAAGGATCTGTCGTAGAAGCTGCGCCACCTCTGGCACCAGCTGCTCCTAGTTGTACTCCACTTGCTGCAGAAGTTTGATCAGTTCCTGTTGAGTAGGTAGTCGTGTTGCTTGCTCCGATAGTATTGGATCCGCCAGCACTGGTTCCCTTCTGCGAACCACCTGCTGCTCCATACAGATGATATGGATCAGCAAAATTCTGTAGTCCCTGTTTACCAGCAACACCAGCTCCGTTGTAGTTCTGGTACTGGCCTCGTTGTTGGCCACCGCTAGCTGCGTAGGCTCCTTTAGATGTGTTGTTGTAGTAATCTACTTCATTGCTCGTGTAATAGCTGCCTCCCTTAGTATTGTTCCAGCTTCCATGATAACTGTTGGTGTAATCTTTGCCAACTTTATTGTTGTTGCCCTTGTTACAACCCTTACCACCACTTGTCTGTCCTACAGCGCCACGCTTCGAGGCCGTCGCTCCTGCAGTGGTAACATTGCTACTCCCAGCAGCTGCAGCAGCAGCCTTGGCCTCTTCTGGTAGGTTGGGGATGTTGGATTTGAGGTTGCCGAAGAGGCGATCCATCTGAGCGGTTGCTACTTTGAAAAGAAAAGCCGGATCTTTTTTCCAGGGTGACGCCTTTTCCTGTTTCTCGAAATTGATGAAAGCGACTGGAGGACACTGATCCCTCTTGCTCACGCAGCTGGGAACGAAACCTAACCTGTAATTGCAGGGGGTGGGTAAGCGACCTTCGTTTGAAACTAGAAAGTCTTGATGTAAGCTGGAAAGGGAGGTAGTTCTTGACGAAAGATCAAAAAATCAAGTTCTGAGAGTACTTGATCCCCGACCCCTCTAAAATTCGAGTGAACTCCGCTTTGTCGGTCGTAGGCACGCTATTCCGGTCCAAATGCAGCAGACAGGAATGGTAGACAACTGGGCCCTGGTTGAAGAGTCAAGTGCGGGGGGGGGGGAATGAGTTTTTCAATCATCAATCGGAGCCAATCTGAAGATCTTCATTTTTGAACAATTGCGTCAAATAAGAGGACTAAAAACACACAAAAAAAACCAACCATTACTACTGTATCGAATTTCGTCCACGCATTTCCCCCTCCGCCACCGGCGTCTGCCGCATCTTCTTCTTCTTCAGTCTTCTCTTAGCACTATAATGGAAACCCATCCCCAGCAGCATCTTGGGTCGTCCCCTTTTCCCTTTAAAAACGGGACCAAGATGCCTCTGAAAATGGGAGCCCTCTTCTTGTACCCTTAATTCTCTTGCTCGACTCTCACCGGATACAAATGTTTCAACTTGTGGAAAGCGAGCAGAAGTGAGAAAGCGCCCAGCGGTGTAATCTGATTGTCCGTGAGAACGATCTCCCGGAATGGGCGCTCCTGCAAAAGAATCACCTTGGCTGGGATATGAAAGGAGAAAAGGATGTGCTCAGTGGAGCCGTAATATGTTTTCGTTGAAAGCCGGCTAAGCCTAAGTTTGTAGAGGTGAAAACTAACCGGTTACTTTCATTTAGCGCTTTGAGCGCCACCAGAGTGGAGGGACAATATGGAACGAGAGGCTCGGACAGATAAGTAGTACACAGTGACACTGTGCTTTTCCTTGTTCTCCTTAACATTGACCACGAGACTTTTGGAAAGTAGCAAGCAGAAGATTTACAAACTCACTACGTTCTTTAGTTGTTGTTCCTCAATTTTTACCCATGCTCCTCTCATAAAAGTAAACAACAGCAGCATCGCAGATCGAATTTCCCTGAAGATTCAGCACGCCGATAGAGATTCCGTTGTCCACCAGAAAGGAGCATAAGGCTTTCATGCCTTCTGCATCAACGCTCTTCTTTGACAGGTCCAAGGTCTCCATGTACTGACAATACATTGGTCCTTCTTCCTTGGACACGTCGGCTTTAGAGGGAAGTATATGCATGGTTCATACGGTGGACACTGGCATCCATATTACACGAGAAATTTAAGTATTAATTTACCTAACACATTATCAGAGGACCTTAAACGAAACAAAAGATAGGTTAGATAGCGGCGTCGTCAGTGAGGTGAAGGCCGTTTCAACGGGTGAGTGATGCCAGGTACGTCCTGGCTGATCATGCAAAACAATCTACTTTTTTTCACCGGATCGATGTCGCCGGCAAGTGCTATCCCGTCAGCGGGGGAGCTAGTGTTAGTCTGACAGAAGCGGAACTGGTGGGGTATTTATCTAATAACATATTGTCAGACCTTAGACGAGAACTTGAGAAAATTTAAATTTAATGTCGAAGTTTTCGTTTTCCAATCTCTATCGTAACAGAGACATCCACAACATCCTTGGTGCAGTCCTTGACTTTAATCTCCTCCACATTAGTACTACCAGACGCCCCAGAGTTGTCCTGCTTTTTGTGCTTGGTAGCCTTACTAGTCTTGTTACACTTGTTGCCAGACGTGTGTTCTTTCTTCACTGCACTGGTTGCATCACCCTGCACTATTGTAGTCGCGTCTTGATTGCTCTTTTGGTGTCCATCTACTTCTTCTGCAACTTCTTGTCCGGAAGCAGGTGGATCATCACCAGCGAGATGAACGAGACTCGTTTTATCTGCTCTACTCGCTACAACACTTCTATCAGCGCCGTGGGTCATATCCATATCCTTCTTCGCAAACAACTCTACAACTTCTGTCCTCGAGGAACTCACTTCTGTACTCGAGGAACTCACTTCTGTTACTCCACTCTTCCGAACTCCGCTAGAACTACTTGTGCGCGAAGAAGCAGAACTCATCTTAGAAGAACTGAGGGTCTCCTCTCCCCCGTTTAGGCCTACCTCCTTCTTGATCTTGGCCCCTCCTTCTACATTAGAAGCTGCCTCTCGTCCTACAGCTACATCAGCTTGTGCTGCAGGCTTGTGCTTCCTCCGCTCACCCTTCTCGTGTTTCGGAACCCAGTGGTAGTGCTGAGACCTTCCGCCGCCTGCATGAGCATGCTGCTCGCCCCACCTTTCCGCGCCCTCTTCGTGGTCGTAAGCGCCCATCTTCGTTCTGTTAAAAATTCAGCTGTTTCAAGATGACCGTAATTGCACCAGGCTTATTTAAGTACGTAGTGGTTGTACGAGTAAGTAGAAGATACTTTGTTATAGAAGTAAAAAATTTGGAATTGTTAGCGTTGATTGTGCTAAAACTACTTTTAAATGGGGTAAGGAGTTGTGGTAGGATTGCTTTCATGTGACGTTTTGAGCAGAGACACCATGCGTAGCTGTGTGCTGTACATCATTGAGTAAGCAGTGATGTCGAGATGCCTCCCTTTCAGAGAAACTTTTCATTTTTCCAATTGAAGATGCTTCGTTGATGAACTATCGCAATTATATTTTCATTCTCTCCTCTCTTTCAAGAGACTCAAACTCTCAAAACTCTCGATGCACTCAGAGTCCCGCTCCATCGTTCCTTTAGTAAAAAGACAGTTGAGTGGGTCCGGAAGTAGTACTCTGCAAGTTTCAACGAACTCCCTGGAGTGATTCAGCAGAAGTGATAGAAGTAGGATGTTAAAGAATAGAGTAGGAATCATCATGGGTCAATATAATTCGTGAGGAAAGTAGGGTTCTCTTGTCGTCGTGTCGCGACACTTAAAATCTTGGTGGTAAAAACAATAACGAGCGATCGGATCTGGACTACTCCGAATATCAGCGGCGCAAGAATTTTGACGATATTTGATTGTTGATGCTTGATTTAGTCTTAGATATTATCTTGTGAATCAATAAGTAGTTGTAGGTAAACTTCATGAGAAATTTGAACAAATCATATAGAAGAAGACCCGTAGAGGAGGACACAGGCACTCCTCGAATCATCCATTATATATAAAATGATTCTAGTACTTTCTTAAGACAGTTAATGTGACGTTGCCACGACCCCATCATGCATCTATTAACTACCTGTACTTCTAGGGTAGTTCTTACAGGTAGTTGTCTAGATTCTTACGTAGACGAGAGACTGACAGAGAGAAAGAAAAAATCAGAAAAAAAAATCATCTTCGTGTTGATAATTCAGTCCCCTTCTCCTCTACCTGAGAAGGAGAGGCAGCATTATCAACACCGCGGCACCTGGTCTGGCGAGGAGAACATGTACAACAGAGACATATTGGTCATGCTCGATAAACATGAAGATCTTACGGTTACTTTTTTGATTTGATTTCGCATATATGTCAGATTTTATCAAATTCAAGTTGGAGGTACAAAAGTAGTAATTAACAAGTGTGATGAAAGGAGTTGTTGATACATCTTGACCTTCTAGCAGATACAACATCTTTTACTACATGCTGCGCGGCACACGTGGCCGAGGTGATCTCGAGCTAATCCCTCCTTGAACGAACAACTCCGAAGATCCGCCTCGAGCGTGCGCTTGATAATTAAATTTTGCTGAAAATCAGACTTTAAGTCGAGTACAATGGCGTTTTCTCTACCTAGTACGCCACTGCACCCTCTCTACGGATCAGCCCTTTGTGCTACACACAAATTGAACTTCTCTTATTGAAGATCCTCAAAATAAAGGTTGAAAATATGATTCTAACACAACGACTACCAAAACTTCTGGCTCTAATTTTTTTTTCCTTTTGAATAGATCCAATTCATCTACTAGTAGGTTGTAAATTGAAACGAAGGGGACGGGACTACATCAGAGAGCTGGGACGACTGGAGGATTTCCACCTGTGTGACGGGAAACAAAGGCGGGGAAAATTTATTTATAAGCATGTGAGGGGCGTTGGTATCGACCACTGTTCCTGTGGTGTCGAATATGGTACCGCACAGACAAGATCCCTGTTCGCCCCGACCTGAGTGTCTGCGCTATGAGTGAGGCGATCGGCATATCGCTGGGAATTGTGGTGTAGTCATAACGAAGCATCGAAATAACCCATCATCTAGGAGCAAATATATATTCTGGGGAGAACAGGAAGGGAACTTACAAAGGGACCTTCAACAAAGGGAACTTTATCATGATTCTTCTTTGAGGGTTACTCGTAAAAAGGATACGAACTACTGCGATATAATCGTGATCGAAACACTGGTGGACTATAGCCGAATAATTCACTATTAATTCTAGGAGGATAAAATGAAAAAGTCATCTAGTGGGGAGAAGGCCATTCTACTTTTCGTCCAGCTACTTTGATGAGGTATTCAGGTTGAGGTCCCTAGAAGTGGTCCTCTGAATCTGAGGAGCGCATCTATAGGAGTGGGGAATTTAGTGACCAGCAAGCACTTTAAAGTCGATTCTGGAGTCGTCGACTGAGAGGCCACCTCCCTCGCTGCTTGCTGGTGGAACAAGCACGGTGTATTTCGTGTGTCCCCAATGTCGACCACTATCTAGAGCTAAGAACCGCATGGCTTCGGTCTCCTCTCCTGCTCCGAAGACTTTTTCGTGGCCTTTGATCGATCTAGATACCCACACGTCTTGCGGATGCGGACCAGAGGTCAAGGTTTCTACTAAAGACAGAATGTCTAGAGTCTCTTCCTGCAACAATTGCAGATACCGTCGAAAGTGAACCCTTGCAACCTGCTTTCCATACACTACCACGGCCGTTGTGTCAGTGGCTTCCAGGAAAATTGCGCCCGATCCTTGGACTTGCGTCACTTTCTGCAACAAGTCTTTCTTAGACTCGAAGAACTCGGTCTGTTCGCCTTTTAAGTGGAAAATGTCGACGCCCTCTTTCTCGGTGAAGCCAAGAAATTGCTTGTTCAAGCTGCGTCCTTCACGGTGGAGCCTTGGCAGATCCTTCAATTTCTTCAACACAATGTCGCTGGCAGCGGTGGCGGTAACGCCCAATCGGTCGAGACCATTACCTATCGTGGTGGGAAAAAGTTTTGAAGATTGATGGACGATGTATCTTCAGTTTTTTTTACATGACAATGAAGAGCAAGAAAAACATCCGTTTTTAGAAAAGTTCGATCTCTACCAACAGTTCAACCATAAGATAAAGCAGTACCTGCCAACTGCGAAATCTCATGCGCATTCATGAACTGCGCCGTGACATTGCTGCCGCTGGCCCCACAAGGATCTGCTGGACCACCCATACCTCGACCTCCTTTAAACCTTGAGCCTTGTTGGCCTTCGGCGTTCATCATCTTCGATATGTGGCTTAGGACCTGGTTGGTGATGGTGGATAGGAATCTGGACAGTAAGTAATTAGATGTAGGTGATCTTCATAGTCAAGAGTGTACAGGATCATTTGTTTGAGGAAATTTGCGTGACCACAATCAATAAAATTAAAATTGTTGTACAAGAAAAGAACATCATATAATGAAATCGTTGTACCGCATTATCATTCGCCGCTGACTCATGGTCTTTCGAGTGGGGGGATGCTTTGCTTCGGATCACCACCGTAAAAAACTGCTTCCTTGTCCCCGTATGCGCACAGTTGAAGTTCGTGGCTTGCTTCTTCGTCACATTCTCTAGTGGCTGTAAATTCGTCCCCATCATATTAGAAGAAGAGTTCATCTTGGCAGCTGGGTCTTGGCTTCCTAGGCGAATAAATTCCGGTCTCGCATCCCACTTCGATAAGGCGTGTAAGTCGGTTAGGGATAAGACATCCGCAATGTCGAGAGACTTGGTCGGTCCGCCTGCGTGGAATTGCATACGCCAGAGGGAGACTAGGAGTCTTCCGCGTTTCCTCTCGCTGCGACGACCAATGATAGCTAAGGGCCAAATGGTCTGCTCACCCTTTGTTCGCCAATCCCCAATGACTGGCCAAGCTAGTCGACATTGTGCAACGTTGAAAGCAAGGTCCAGTCGGTCAACATACCTATTATACTGCTGTTGGCCTTGTTGTTGACCTTGTTGTTGACCTCCAGGTCCACTACTGCTAGAAGATGCGCCACCTCCACTATTGCTGCTATTGTCACGATCAACATTTTGCCCACCTCCACCATTGTGGCTGTTGTTGTTTTTGTTGTTATGAGGATTTCCGCCAGCAAGGCCGTTGGGGCTCAGGTACTCCAACTCTTCGAACGTGAGGCATATCCGGTCAATCCCAACTTGTTCTAGACAACACTCGAAGTCGGTGGCAGCAGCTTTCACTTGAGCGGCGGACTCGAACTTCAAGCCTAAAAGTAGTGTTGAGTGAAAGTACTAGTGTTGAGTAGTTATAAGGCATGATACAGTGATGAAGAAGAAAATTGAATAGCCTTTGGAGCCTTTGGAGAACAATTGGATGACATCTTGTTCATGGATAGAATGTACTAAGAATCACATTAGCTGCAACGCATCAGCTGCAACGGACGCAAAGGACAGCGAAAATGTAAGTACTTTGGATCGACGTCGCAAAGACTTTCGCTGCGCTCTTCCATTTCTCAGCTTGTTTCGTCGGATTCCTCTCGTTCGTCCACGTCAAGTTGTCACTCAAGCTAAAGACGTTGAGGCCCACGGTATCCGCTGTGGCATTACTCTGTCCAGGAGCGTTTAGCTGATCCCTAAATTCCCTGTAGGTGAACTCCCATTTTGGCGTCTTATTGATGTCGTTTTTCCCACCAGGGCCGCCAGAGGCATTGTTGCCACCAGGACCATCTTTACCACCAGCACCAGCATGTTGAGAATTACTTCCATCTTTACCTGCACCACTAAGAGAGTTGCTATTGTCTTTACCACCAGCACCAGCACTAGAAGAGTTACCGGCATTATTTCCGGCATTATTTCCTCCGTCATGCCCACCTTTCCCGCCATCCTTGCCGCCTTTCCGTTGACCTTTTTTGCCACCGCCTTTCCCAACCTGTGCCGCGTTGTGCTCCTTTCCCGTAGCTGTGGTACCTCCTCCACTACTATTCGTTGATTCTGGAAGGGAACTATCTTTAGACGTGTCCCAACCTTTGCTCCAGGAAGAAGAGGCAGTTGAGGTCTCAGGGTCTTTCGCACCAGAGGGAGCTCCAGCGGACACTGACGTGCTAGAAGAAGTTGTTGTAGTTGTTGTAGGGGCAGAAGTTGTACTAGTGTTGGCATCTTTACTAGCGGCAGAAGCTGTATTAGCGTCTTTACTACGGCCAGAAGCGACTTTAGCGTCAGCACCCGCACCAGCACTGCTACTGTCTTTGCCATCGACACCTCCATTTTGAGCAGAAGTAGATGTGCTGCTACTAGCAGCACTAGTGCCCGATAAAACGCCGCCTGCATTTGGGGTAGCTTTCTTCGCGTTGACGTACCATGGCGCCAGATGTATTGGCTGTTTCTTTTCGCTTCCCGCACCAGAGGCTCCTTTTCTGCCATCAGCTTCCCCCTTAGGCTTCTGATGGAGGACTATCGGCGAAACAACCTGCTCCCCGTCTGGAGTGCTTCCCTTGCTATCTTGCTTGCCACGAGGGGTCTCTGCGCTAGAGGCCTGATTTTAATTTTGTAGGAAAACGTTCCCATGATGAGTAAGATTCTTCATCCATGCTCCTAAAAAGCGACAATAGATAAGATAAAGATTGACTTGATATTTCGACAAGAAAAAATGCTAATCAAGTACGGCTGCAGTTTTTCCTCCAGAAGCTTTGGCCGCTTTTCCGCCGTCTGCCTTCACGTCACCAGACACGACGTCTCCTACCAGTGCTGGCCCACCTGCTGCTAATGAGGGCACTCCCCCTACTGCACTAGCATTGGTAGTTGACGAGCCTCCACCACCAGTTGCGCCAGCTGAGGAAGGTCCAGATATGTTTATGCTCAAGTTGTTATCTGACCCTGCTGCAGAAGGTTCTCTGGTTGTTATGCCCGCACTAGAAGCCCCTGCTACACCCGCACTAGAAGCGCCGCTCGCTGTTGTAGCTACGCCACTCGCAGTTGATAAAGTATTGCCACTCTCGTCAACACTAGCGCCATCTTTCACACTAGCTGCTCCGGTTGGCGGAAGACTTTCCTTACTCTCCGACGCCGAGCAACTATTAAATTGCGCTATCAAGGGTACCAAAGATGTGAAGTCCTCTGTGTCTGGTGTCAAGTTCTCTGCTACACTACCCTGTCTACCACCAGAAGTGTCACCGCCAGAAGCTCCGCCACCAACAGAAGCGCTAGCCGCGCCGGCTCCTCCTAGAGGGGCTACGCCAGAGGCGGTTGTAACACTAGACGTTGCAGTAGTACCTCCTCCGGGCGGGCCCTCTGGAGGTATTATTCCGCTTGAAGGTGGGACTCCCGAGACATTTACTAGTGGTGCCCCAGCACCAGCTTGTTGAGGCAAAGGAACACCGGAAAGATTCAGATTGTTTACTGCAGTTAAACTGTTGTTGTCGCCTCCAGGCGTGCAGCCCCCAGTCGGCGTTGATACAATTGCCGTTGAGGACGCGCTGCCACCTACGGTCATGCTCCCACCTGGATTTGGCGGTGGAGGAGGGTTTGCGAACTGTCCTCCTTTACCGCCACGTCCAGCGCCTGGGGGCCAAGCTTCTTCGTAACCGCTTGACTCACCCCCCGACCTCCAAGTGCCATTGCCACCCCCACCTGCGTAGGGGTTGTTCTGCGGTAGTTGTGGCCCTCTCGAAATGTTGTTGTAACCAGCTCCATTGCCGCTATAGGCTGTTGAACTATAGGAAGTCGTCCTATTGTAGCCTCCGTGCTGATTTTGACCACTGCTGTTTATGTTGCCATAGTCAGCACCACCGCCGCCCTTGCTGTTCTTCCCACTAGCGCCGCCGTAATAACCACTGCTATCATTTTGGGCACCGCTTGTACCTTGGATTCGAGAAAAAAATAAGTGAGACCATGAGCAGTCGTAGTCAAAATAAAAGTTTTGCTTGACAAATCAACTAAAAAAACATGGAAAAAGGAAACTCGCACGAAAGAGACAAACGACCAGGATCTATTTCAACATAACACGTAACTAATTAATTACCTTTTCCTCCCCCAGGTTGTGCCGCAGCAGCTTGTCCGGTCCCGTAGCCATCTTGTCCTCCACCGTAGTAAGGTCGTTGGCTGTTCCAGGATGAGCCCGCTTTAGACTCCATGTCTTTTCTGTTCCAGTCTGCAGCCATTTTTCGCACAGCTGCTGCCGCGTCTGCGGCACTTTCTTGACCTTGCATACTACCTTGTCCTTGCATACTACCTTGTCCCTGACCCTGTGGTCCTTGCATCGAAGAAGAAGCCCCTCCTTGCATTTGCATACTAGTGTTCGGACCACCGCCAACGTTAGTACCTCCAGTCGCGCCTCCTTTGTAGGACTGAGGTCCGCCAGTAGGACTGCTAGCAGGCCTGTAACTACTAGATGAGCTACCGCCATAGGAAGCTTCGTGTTGGGAAGAGATGGAATAAGTGCGACCAGTAGAATCAGGCCAGCCACCGGCACGCCCTCCAGTCTGCTGATTCCAGTTTTGCTGGTTTTGCCAACCGCCAGCCTGCTGAAAATGAGATTTAATAGGAGAATGAGATTCATGAGTAGGAGAAGAGGTACTAGGATTGAAGTTGCTGCCTGACTGTACATAGTTATAATGTTGATGACTGTACATAGTTAATGTTGATTGTTCCTTACCGTCCAGGAAAAGCAAGTCCATTCATTGCGAAGAAGCTAATCAATACCCCTCCTCGCTGACTCGTCATAGACTCCTTGCTATTGTATTTCGCCGCTCCACCATCACGAGGCCCTGACCGCCAATCGCTGTCAAGGTCCCTCCTAGGCTGTGGTTGATACTGATGATTGCCCGCGACTGCTCCATACTGAGATTGGCCCTGAAGAGATCATTGATGATTGTCGCTCTTGTCGATAGTGTTCGGACATTCTGCTAGAGCTTAAAAATTCTGCTGATATCGGATTGAAGAAGGTGCAAAATTATTCCCCAGAGATCTTAGTATTATGGGTGAAGCCAAGCTAACTAGGAAGAAAAAGTAAGGATAGTAGGTAAAAGGTATATAAGTACAGAATTATAGTAATTGCCAATCTAAAGGTAAGCACTACATGTTTTCCGCTTTGTTGCCCACCCCGATGCTTATCCATTTCACCGTGATGTTGACCTGATAATTTGGTAGTCAAAAAAGTTCCACATGAGACGAAACAGTCCCGAATGCTGTGATTATATTCTACTTCGTAGATAGAGGTACAGGTAGCGTTGTTGTTGAAGACACAGACATTTGCATAAAGTTTTCTTCAAAAAGTATCCTGTCAGTACCTTGTTGCTGTGCATGGTGGGCATTTGTATTCTGAGTGAGATGAATCTGTTGACCAGATTGCTGGAGATGCTGGCCTTGAAAGGGTGCGGGTGGTGGCTGAATCGCAGCATTACCCATTGAGGCAGCATTACCGACATGTGCACTGTGACTACCATGCTGTGAGTGCGCAGCCATCTGCTGCTGCTGCTGCTGCTGCTGCTGCTGCTGATGGTGTTGAGCAGCTTGCTGTTGGGCAGCTTGCTGTTGGGCAGCTTGCTGTTGGGCAGCTTGCTGTTGGGCAGCTTGCTGCTGTGCGGCTACGTGCTGTTGCTGTTGGTGGTGCTGCAATTGTTGAGCAGTCATGTTGTTCATCTGCTGGTTAGCGACGACTTGGTTGGCCACAGCAGACTGTTGTTGTTGGGCAAGATTTGTCGCTACTTGTTGCTGCATTGTTGATATTTGTTGCCCTTGTTGCCCACTTGCGCCGAGCATGCTGTTCGAACCTAGTCCCATTTGCTGTTGTGCCTGTAGTTGTTGACCTGCAACTTGATTCATATTATTCACGACTTGATGCTGGCTCACATTTTGTCCTTGTTGTTGCTGTTGTTGTGCGCCGACCATACCCTGTTGCTGAGCACCCTGCTGCATGTTCAGCATACCCTGTTGTCCTTGTTGGAGAACAACGTTACTCCCTTGTCCTTGCTGTGAGCCTTGCTGTTGCGAAGGATTCTGCTGCTGTGAACCTTGTTGCACTTGCAACGCAGCAGCCTGTTGGTTTCTCAATAACTGCTGTTGCTGCTGCTGCAACTGGGCAACAACCTGTTGCTGCTGTTGGCGTTGTTGTTGACGCTCCGCTTGGTCACGTGCCGCTTGTTCCCCGTTTGCCTGCTGCATTATCGCATGGAAAGCCTCTCCGTAGTTTTGCTGTGTTCCATACTGCCGCTCCTGCACGAAGATCTGTTCAAGATGGGTATGCTTCTCTCCGAGCTCCTCGGACATTTGCCAGCAGCTGAGCGACAGTTGTACATACCCTTCGTAGATGTTGTGAATCTGAAAAACGCGCTTTCCCTCCAACTGCTGATATATTTCTCGAAGGTTCGGCGTCGTCGGAGCATGGCGATTTACCCACTCCTTTCTCCTATTCACAAACTCCAGCACCTGACCTTCGATCCATTTACTCATCTCCGCAAGTTGGAGCTCAGACATGGACTTCTTAGCATTGTTCACGTCTGTCTGAGTCAGTTCAGCGGTAGCTGTTCCAAGCATCTGCTTCACCCAAAGCGTTTCGTTCTCGTTTCTACACACAACTTCGGAGGAAAGCAACTTCTGCCGCATCTCGGGATTCTTCTCCTTTCCGAGAACGAGGTCTACCCACTGGCGTAGCAACTCCAGACCCAGCTCTCCCATATTCAACTGCTGGAAAGGTTCCTGCAGGTTGTCACGGCTCTGCATTCGTTTGTTGTGGAAGTGGTACCGCATGAGCCACAGGTGTTTGCAGACTGCGTTCCAGCTTTCGCGATTTGTGGCTGCGCCCTGTCTCCAAGCAGGCCAATGCTGCTGGTACTGACAGTACTGTTGGTAACAATCGGCAATTAAGGGTTGATTGAAGGTCAGTTGCCTCTGACGCTCGGCTTCGATGAACTGGTTCAACGTGTTAGCGAATTGCTGCTGCACCAAAAGATTTTGCTGTTGCTGCTGTTGAAAGGAGGTGGCAGTGTTGCTAAGAATAGAAGTGGTGCTAGCAGTCGTAGTGCTTCCACGCTGAAGATTATTTTGGTTCTGTTGTTGTTGCTGTAGTGAATGTTGTGATTGTTGCAAAGCAGTATTGGAAGATTGTAGCGCTTGGTTTTGTTGCTGTTGTTGCGCAGCATACATCATTTGCTGGTGTGCCATCGTCTGTTGTTGTTGTTGCGCAGCAGTAACCTGTTGTTGCATGATTTGCATACCCTGCTGTTGCTGCTGTAATAACTGCTGCTGCTGCTGCTGGAAAGCCTGCTGCTGACTCATGCCCCCCTGCTGTGTTTGCGCTTGTTGTTGCATTTGCTGAGACTGCTGATGCTGAACCTGTTGTTGGACATTGTTCTGCTGTGCTCCGAATTGCTGATGTTGCTGATGCTGAGCAAAAGCGTGCTGTCGTTGCGCAGCTCCACCATTCATCATCGCCTGAGCCTGCTGTCCTCCAACATTCATAACAGCACCTCCGTTCATTACAGCGCCAGCAGTTCCCATCATCTGCTGGCCCTGTTGATGACCATTGCTGTTTACAGCTCCAAAGACATTTTGCGCTTGTTGTCCCTGTACAACTCCCGAGATAGTGTTGTTGCTACCAGCTGTGCCAGCACCCATATTAACTGAGACTGAGTTATTACTGGCGCCCATCACAGAGGAATTACTCGCACCTCCTCCGACAGAATTATTACCACCATTTTGCATCTGCGATTGCGGATCCACCTGATGCTGTTGGCCGTACATCCCTCCTCCACCCATCTGCATGTGCGAAGTGGAAGTGGAATTGTTACTCTGCTGTCTCGCAGAATGAGCGCTAGTCACGCTGTTAGTGCGGGACTTCTGCAGGCCAGACTTATCCCACGATTGATTGTTGTTCCACTGTTGTTGCTGTTGATCGTGTTGTCCCTGGTTCTGCTGCTGTTGCTGCCAGGAATTTATGCCCTCTTGCTGCCAGGACGCTGCCCCATACGCACTTCCCATACCCTGTTGCTGGAGGTGTTGCTGTTGACCTTGATTATTCATGTTGGCTTGTTGTTGTCCATTATTATTCACCCCTCCAACCGACATAGCATTGGCATTCATTTGTTGGTGCTGGTGTGCTGCAACTTGTTGGGCAGCTTGTGCATTCATATTGTTATTGGCGGTAGCAGCTGCAGTGTTGTTCATTTGATTTGTCATCATAGTCTGCTGTTGGTTTTGAGACGTCTGATCCAACTGATTTGTCATTTGTTGGTCCATCTGCTGCGCGTTTTCCCCAGTACTAAAGGAAGTCGAACTACTGTTGAGACTATGAAACTCGGGATCCTGTTCGCGGTAACTGCTTGGTTCGTACAAAGAAGGCTGACCCGTCTGCGGAACAATCCCTCCGTTCGCGACTGCACCAGCTGACTGCATAGAAGTGTTAACGCCATTGATGTTGACAGCACCTCCTAATCCGCCATTTGCTGTGATACTCACACCCGAAGCCGAAGTGGAACCAGTACTGTTTCCTGTACTTTGATTCTCGGCGGCGCTGTTGGCGCCAGAACAACTCTTTTGATCCGCACATTGCTGCTCAACGACGGGAGGAACAGTCGGAGCATTACTTGCAGTTGATGTTGTAGAACTAGCTCCACCTGCGGCAGAAGGAATGTTCGGAATATTGTCGAACTGACTGGCAAGCCCATTATCCAAAGCTCTATCCACATCGTCGCGTTGCTGGGCCTCCATGGAACCTTGAGGATCTAAAGACGGCTGCTCAGGCGTCATAGCTGGAGTGCTGGCAGGAGCCCCGTCAGAGATGTGGAGGTCTTGGGAAGTTGCATTGGTAGAGGTAGCCAATGAACCGCCATTGAGATTGTTTAGCAACACTGCTGGATTAGTCGAAGATGCTAAAGAAGATGTAGAACCATTGGGAAGGTCACCTGCAGGAGCAAGCAGGTTATAGGCAGAGTTCGATCCTGGACTAGTACAAGTTCCTTGTTGTCCAGTAGGCTGTTTTCCTGCGTCTTTAGGCGTACTGCCGGGTGTGCCTCCATTCGCAGCAGCTCCCTTAATGCTGTTAGTACCTCGAACTCCTGAGAGAGGAGGAAAGTCAGTTGCCGAATTAGAGTTGTTACTGGCAACGCCGGCTGTTCCATTCATGGTGATTGACTGCTCATTCATCTCATTCTCGGAGACGCTAGGGTCAGGACTAGCTTCCCTCTGCTGCGCTGGTGCGACTGCGACAAGCTGAGGTACAGGTTGCGGCTGAGGACTCAGCTTGATCACTCTGCGATTTACAACAGGAGTACTCAACTGTTGGCCCGCCTGTATTGGATTTAGGATGAACAATATGACTTTTGAATAATTTAAACATATTTGCTCATGTTTCTCAACACTTGTTTAGGAGGTTTTAAATTGTTGTCTTTCATTGTTCCACATGTTGTATTCATCATGTGGTCTATCATGAAAGTGTGAAAGAATGAGATCAAAACGGTTTTACCTCCTCCTCCAGCTTCGCGGCATCCACTGCGCACAGCATGTATGTGTCCACCCCACTGTCCCTGCCAGGGTTCGCGATTGCCAACACAGTCCCTTTGGTCTCGATTTCTGCCGTCTGTAACGATCTAGGGACGCCCCTTGTCGTCAAGTCTTTCGGTCGAGTTACGTCCAGTGTAATCAATTCGGTGTACATGTGAGGCCACAAGAGAGGGGCCGCATACTTGTAGCACTTATCCAAGGCGTTCTGGACGGACTTGCCGGAAGGTGGAACCGTTTTGATCCCTTCGCCGGCAGCAGAACACGCAGCTTGCACCTTCAAAATCTCAATCAGGCAAACAGCTAAAGCACGCTCTTTCGCAGATCCGATAATCACGCAAACTTGCTTCTCAGTTTTGCTGTTTTGAAGTGATAAGAAAGATATTAGGGTTAAATATAATTAAATAGGGGTAAAATATTAAATAAATAGGGTTTAGGGTAGTTTAGGGTTAAAATATTAAATAAAGATCTTCTACTGTATCAACAGTAGGTACTATATTAGACAGTCAAACAAGTAGATCAAAAAATAAAGTGGTTCATAATTGCGATTCCGAAGAAGAAGAGTAAGAGTACTAATTAAGAGATGTTCCCCAGATGTAAGACGGGTAGAGTATGATTATCTCAACACAAGTTAAGTTAGTATCTATAAGTAGTACTTTCCAAACAACTCGATGATTGCTCCAGTTTTTTTCTCCAGCAACTGTCGTTGGATTCTCTGTCTCCCGTTGATGTACTTCGCTTCCATCTTGTCCCTCAAAGAGACCCGGTCCACTCCCCAATCTCCGGTACAAAACGAAGTCAAATAGATCGCCTTTTCGTCATAGACGATCTTCTTCTGGCCTCCGGACACGCGGTTCCACTTGTCCCGATTCGCTTGGGCTTGCGCTTGGGAAAGGTTGCCGCGGACAAGTTGTTGGTTGCAAGGACCAGTGTCGATGGGCTGACCGGTGAGCTGAGAAGTCAACTGTCTCAAGTGGGACTCACACCTCTTACGTCGCTCCTCCATCGGCAAGCGGTTCATATCGTTGTCGTCCAAACCAATAACACCAAAACCATAATTCGCTTTCACCTGTGAGGGGTTCTTCGGGATGTTGTTTCGACATGTAGTTGTCATCTTCCTTGTACAAAATGACAAATTCAAATTTGAATTTCGATAACAAAAACCTCTACTACGACTAGTACCTTCGGCGGCTGTTTTTGCGGGCTCTGAATGTGCTTAGCACTATTGGCTTTCGCCGCCCAACTTCCTTGGGCGTTTGCCGTCGCTTGATTCGCCATCACGCCTTGCATGTGCTTCCTGTATCGAATGTGATCCTCTTCCGACGAGATGATAGGTGTATCGCACTTCGGACACTGCGCCCAGTCCTCGCTGCCCTGTGAGCAGCCAGCGCAAAAACGATGGAAACAGTTTCCACTGGCTAGCAAGCGTCCCTTGCACAAATCGGCAGTCTCGCAGCAGAAGATACACGTCGCCTCCAAGGTATCGAGTTGCGGGAAGACGGACGATTCGCGTTCTTTGTACAGCAAGTCGTAGTGGCCAGGTTTGAAGAGCAAGTAGTAAGTTCCGTTCTGGGAGACGAAATCTTCGCTAGGATACACGTAGGGCTTGCTATGCGTGGCGTTGTCTTCGTCCAACGGTACAATCTGAAGCTTCACATCAAACAGCCTTGGAGCCGCGATTTGCACCAAGGACTCCGCTTCCTTGCCCATGCACAAAACCTCAGACTCCAAAAACGCCTCCAGGTCCAAATCCGAAATGATTTTGATGTACTCCTCCAACGAGTTGCCTGCGAACTCTGCTTGCGCTCTGTCGCCACTATGGCCTCGCATCCATCTAGCGATCCCCTGCCTCACTAGCCAAACCAAGATTAAAGCTCAGCACTCATTGGTCATCATGACTCTGAACGGAAGAGACTCCCTTTAAGGCTCTCCCCTTTCCCTTCACTCTCCCCTTTGTTCCCTTCGTTTATTTCCCCTGTTCCAAGGCTCTCCCCTTTGTTCCCTTCGCCTATTTCCCCTGTTGGTTCTCTCAGAGGGACCCTCTTCGATTTCAGTGACTCCAATCTAAATGATGACCAATGAAAGTTGAGCCTTAACAAGAACAAGTCCATGTGCTGCGAACTCATCAGACAGCGGTGCAATTTGCGAATGTCCTCCATCTCCTTCAGGTCGCGCATTAGGTTTTTGAACTCAGGTGCCCCTTTCCCCTCGATCTCGGCAACGAAATCTGGCGGCAATAGGACAGAAGTCAGACGTTCGCGTCGCCACTTCACCGTGGATGGATCCTGCTTCGCGTGGAAGTTAACCTGCAGTTTTGGAATCAAATGTAAGGTATCACTGTGCTAGTCGTGCTATTCTCAATCTCAAGTGTATGCTAGGGTAAGCATGTTACTAACACTTTGCAGTAGTTTAGTAAGAGACGAACAAGTTCTTGAAGATGATGGTGATCGGTCTGTCACGATATATTCAACAATCATCACTTCCGTGCGCCACAAAGTAGTAGTACATTCCCTCCCCCGCTCGGGCACACCAGGCTTTCCAAGAAGCAAAATGCCATCGCCCGGTAGAAGCAGTTGCCATCTCCGCGCACATAGCGGACTTTGGTGAGTCCATCCCGCTTTAGACTGGCGATCTGGTCCTTGCCGCAGACCGTGGAGACCATAACGGAGGCGACATCCTTCAGTTCGGACAAGGGATACTTCAGGCCTTCTTGGTCGGCCAAGGCGGCCTCGACCACATTCGCTCCCCACCGAGCCATTAGCCTTTACCCTCAGCAAGTTGTCGTGGTGCATCGACGGAAAGCACCAGAGTTGAGTTGAGAGAGAGAAGTTGAGAAGAGAGAGAAGTTGAGAGAGAGAAGTTGAGAGAGAGAAGTTGAGAGAGAGAAGTTCCCAGCAGGTCGGTCGATATCAGAGTGTAAGGATGTTCAGACAGATGTAGTGAGAGATGGAAGATGTAGTGTTTTTGAAGGCTTTAGTGAAAAGTTGTAGCTCGTGTCTCGTTTCCTTTGTTCTCCTTATTCTCTATTCACTAGTCCCTTCGCGTTGTCTTTTGTCAAGTATAGGACAAGCCTTGTAGTTCTTTTTGTTCAACACGTACGCGAATCCCAACAAGTCGTTGTGGCCTCCAAAATGTCTACTGCAAGGAAAAAACCTCTGTCGTCGCTGCTGGGCTACTTTAAACACTTCTAAGCAGCGAGAAGACCCTCAGAAGCTGCGGGATAGTCGTCCGGTAGTCACTAGTACTAGATCCTCTTTGACAACAACAAGTACTTATATAATCTACCTAGTAGAAGTACCTAGAATAGTAGTATGCCGACCTAGTAGTCGTCGCAGCAGTAGTATGTCGCTCTTGCCGGGCACCGGAAAATATTAGGTGCAGAGAGAAGTCTTTCCCAAAAAAAAGAATCAAATTATACTTGCTGTGGGAAAAACAAATAATAATAACTATCAATCTGAAAATTCAAAAAATCCTAGTAGTCTCTTCATCTATCTAGTGGTAATATCTATATAGTCGCTGTTTCACTTTCAACTACTTATAGTTTCCGTCTATGCTTTGAGTACCGTCGTCGATGAAACATTTTCTCGTCATGCTGACATTGCCATAGGGGACAAATATGGTGCTATGGAAAATTTCTAATATCATTATGTAGATGCTAGCTTGAAATCAAGGAAGATGAAACATCAAAAACTATGAAATATGAAGTCGCTATATATACTTAGTTGAGGACTTCGAAGTCTAAATCTTTTTTACAACCTCCAGGGAAGGAAATGCTTCGATAAATCTGAAAGGTAGAAGTCTTCGAACGGTATGTCTCAGATGCGCTCGCAAAAAAGTAGTTTTAGGGATCGATGCCCTGCGAGTAGAACAAGTACTTACAAGGTCTTACCTCTATTCTACGTACCGACCCAATCTTCTCTAAATTGCAGTAATATAGAGAAAATGCAACACAATACTTACCCTAATGGTTGTATGATCGCCAGAATTTCAATAGAAGAAGTAGTTACGTGTCAGGTAGTAGCCACTACTTTGGTACACCTACGACACCAGACCCGACTAGGTGCAAGTCCCCGGGGCTGTAGAGACTCACTTTCTCTTCACAGTACCCCCTCTACATCGTTATTTGCTCGCTAGTTCATTTTCACCTTCTCAAGATTAATCAACCAAACAGAAGCCTGAAAAATTCAGGTAATCGTATTCGTAGAGGTGAAAATTGTGTAGTTCCGAGGAGTGGCCATGGTGGCGAATCTTCTATTTCATCAGGAGAATGTTGATATGCAATCGTTCATACTACAATGATCATGTCTCAGTACTACTAGATGCTTTCGTTGTGAAGATGGAATTGGAGTCTTTCTTTCTTATGTAGAATGGATGACATGAACGTGTTGAAGATGATAAGAAGCATGTTGAACAGGAAGATTTCGATTCTTATTTCATGTAGAAGATCAAGAATTTCAATTCACTTTCGCCAAGGAGGAAAAATCTCCCGTCAGTAGAGCAGAAAAGAAGGAAAAGGATGCGCACGAGGCATTTCTGCATTCAAAGAAGTTTGATGAATTCCAGTTTCATTCTTGCGTGCGAGAAAAGATCGCACTTTCATTTCATTACATTCTTGGATCTCAACTGATTTCAAGTACGACGGCCCACAATGCTCAAGACCGTGCAAGAAAAAGTTCACGAATTTTTGATAGAGAAACTCTTGTCTTAATCTTGTCGGGGTATGATCGAACTCTTAGAACATTTTCTGGCTAGAACCGGAGTCTATATTAATTTCATCATCATAATTTTGATCAATAGCGAACGTGGGTGTATGAGCGTCGCCAGTGCCAGCCGATACACGACAACGAGGACGCAGAGACTCAGCAGCAAACTGGCAGCATCGAGAGTTTAACCCCTGTGCGCGACGGGGTCATTTGAAAAAGGACTTGTACTACTTCTATCTCTTCATTCTACTAAAAAATGCATTACACAGCCACGAATTACATACTTACAAAAATCACCACCTCCCACATACAACTACTGGTACATCTGTCTAACTAAGGAGAGTAGTAGATGATAGTCAGAGCGGACCATATTTCTTCTTGATGACACTTTTTCGTCGTATCATGCATCGTCGTGATGAGTTATTTCCTTTCTCTCTTGGCATCATCGGTGATGGCGCTCAGTTGCTTAATGAGACACCAGCCAATAGTACAACTCTCAATCTGGAGAAGAAGATCTGCCTTCGTTCTGACTGGTGTCTCAAAAGAAAAGTGTTTTGTTCTCTATTTTCGTCAACCAGAGAAAAAAAGGAACAGCCTGCCTCTGACCCAGCATGGTGAGGTCAGCCCGGCAGAAGTTCGTCTGCCTGCCCTTGCTCCAGTTCTGCCGAGATGACAAACCCACATATTATCATGTAGAGGCGTAGTATAATTGTGGCGGAGCAGACCTAACTAGAAAAAAGGAAGACCAGAGGAAGGTAGAAAAGAGAAAAGGCGGCACGCTCCTCAAATTTCCCCCTATCTGCTAAAACTAATTAAGCGCCGGCGCTATCGTCGTCCTGTCAGCCCCATAGTATATTTGAAAAATGGCGAATTTGATATCACAGTGTTGCGACGTCACTTCATCAGATCCTCGTGTTTGTGTTTTATGAAAACAGAAATGTTCTTGTTCTTACTACTTCACATCTTCTCTACTACTTCACATTTTCTTTCTTCAATACATCAACTGCGCCGCGAACCCTTCAGAAAAGTCACCCATCAAATCTTCCTCTGGATCTGGGAGTAGAGGGTCCTTCCGCACTGGAGGCCTCCTTGTTAATGGCTTACCGAAAATTCCTCCCGAGCCAAGGTTCGAAAACGACCCACCTGTGCTACCGTGATCTTGGAAGTTTGCGCTACTTCCGATACTGCCGTTAGAAGAAGAGGACACACACAAACTCGACGTATACACAGGTGGCAGGTCCTCCACTCCATCTAAGAACAATTGAAGATGTGCTGTTGTAAGTATGATGTTGATCTTGTTGATGATGTCTAGTCACTTCCTGTTTATTCTTACTTTATCTATGTGTATTTATATAAGTACATCAGAAGTATAAGTCTAAGCATAAGTCTAAGCGCTTGGTGCTAGCAGCGTGTCCTGGACGTTTCAAAAATTCTGTAACAAAGCCTCCATCCAGAAGATAGTGAGTAAATCAAATACACAACACCAAGTCTTCATAACTCCGACTCCTCCTCCTCCCTGACCCAAGTGCGGGAATTTATGCGCATCAGTCGCTGGATCGTGTACATGGTGGTACATGACGTCGTAACCACGGTCTCCGCCGTGATGCTCATTCTCTTTCACTGCGAACTTGGCATTCCGTAGTCTTACTCGCTCATCCAAAGTTTCTTCTTGGTGGACCACCTTGAGGACTATGGATTCGAGGAAGTCGACCTGGGGAGTATTCAATCCTAGAAATTGAAATTGAAATCTTACAGAAATTCTGAAATTATCTCTAGTAGAAATACCTGGGGAGTATTCAATCCTAGAAATTGGAACAAAAAATCAGAAATTCTGAAAAAATCTCTAGTAGAAATTGAAATTGAAATCTTGGAGAAAGAAAAAATTATCTCTTCTAGTAGGTGTACCTCAACGAGGAAGGTGTGAAACAATAACTGAAGTCTAGTTAATTAGATAGAAGTAGTACTCTTCTCGTCAAGTCATCGTGTTTCAGCTTCAAGATTTCGCTTTCGAAGTCTTCGGCTAACTGCGTCTCAGGAAGTCGTGGGGAGAATTCTTCGCCGCCCTGATCATTTTGTGAGGAGCTTAAATTGGCTGCAGATTATACATCAAAGACGAAGTTCTGTGTGAGTGTGACCATCGTAGGTATATGACATCAGTATCTATAACGCTCTCAGCATATTTTTCAAGTATTCACCACCTTCGAATCTGTGCTCGCGCCTAAGTCGTCTGGATAAAACAGCGCTGGTTGTTGAGTCGTCCTTTGTGATTGTGGCACAGCACTTGTCTGCACTCTAATATTGGACGACGAAGCAGGTCTAAACTCTGTGGTCCCTTGACTTCGTGGTGGTAGTACGTAAGGCGGTGGCGGTACAGCTACTCGTGCTCCTGATAAGGGTCGATACGCGACTCCAACCGTGGGCGGTGAATTGTAGGCTGCCGTGGCTGGAGGCTCGATTGGCCCCTCTGAAATACGACGCATTGGCTTTTGGTTTTGTTCTTGTATTGTGGGAGAAAGGATGGGCTATTGTTCTTCGAATCGACACTACACGTTTGTCTAATGAAGTTCTGCGAAAAAAAAATTCCGATAGCAACATATGCGCCGGGAAGACCCTTTGCTCGACCTATAGTTGTTGATTGGTTGGAGGAGCGCCCTTTCTCAATTTTACATGATGCGATTATCGTCGCGCCTTTTTGTCATATTTTTCAACCCCGATCTTTCTCGATCTACTTGCAGCGAAGTGTCTCGAAGTCTCGAGCATCACATCCTTCCACTGTAGTCGCCGTCTCCGCGGAAGGTTGAAAGCAGATGCGCTCAAAAGAACCCTCCCACACAGACTATGCACATCCCTCAAATATAATTCCACGATATTGATATTGTTCAATGGATCACGACGTGGTGAGCAGGTTCGTTGCCAACAACAACACTACACAACCTGCATACAGTAACGGCCCCGTTCTCGTATGGAAGTACCTTTTCAAATACTTCCCATTCGCAAAGCATTCAGACCTTTTGTAAAAGAGAAACAGCCCCATCCACAACCCAATAAACGACGCTAGAACCAATACCCCTCCAAATGCTGCACATGCAAGTGTTTCTCGCTTCTTCTCCCCTTTCCCACGACCGAACATCTCCTCTAGGATGGAGAGCGATGTTCCAGGTGCTGGAGGCTGCCGCCAGTTATCATGTAAGCTCCTAAACCACGAGAAAAAAGGGTTGTTGTAGTCCTCTCCCGGCGTGTAATATTGATCTGAAGAGGATGACGACGAGGAATGCGATGTTGAATGTGATCCTAATCTTCTAGTACTTGATGATGTTGCTTCTACTGATGCGCTGCTTCCAACTGCGTCTTTTAAGGACGACTTAGCGCCGCCGCCGACACTGCCGCAGCGCAGTGGGATTAGAGTATGAAAAATGGGACTTACGAAAATCTAACTCGAGTTCATCTGATTGAGGACGCAAGGCGAAAAAGAATCCTTACAAGAAGTCGAAAAAAATTCTCTACTAGACGATGTCCATTTCTTCTAGCACTAGTAACAGTGCATTGAATCTTCTCACTCATACCAGTATACATCCCGAAGCGAACAGCAAAAACGTGAGCTCAAGCCATTGGACCAAGTTTCGTTCGTTGGCCAAGTATTCCTTGGGTTCTAGCAATCTGTAAGTTTCCTTGTCCTTCTGAAGCACTCTAGGCATCACTAACGTGTCGTGGATTTCCACGAAAGCAGCTTTGTTGTCCGATTCGCGCCCAGGCGTGCGGAAGTTGGAAATTAGAGAGTTCTTGTGCTGTATGAAGTTCTTGTGCTGAATGCTCTACTTCGAAGATGTGATTCTTACACCTTCTTTTGAAATTTGAGTGTGCTCTACTTCGAAGATGTGATTCTTACACCTTCTTTTGAAATTTGAGTGTGCTCTACTTCGAAGATGTGATTCTTACACCTTCTTTTTTGAAATGGTTAAGGTTAAGGTTGAGGGTCGTCCACTGCTTCGGGGCCAAGGCGAACCTGCAGGGACGAATTGAGTGTGTGAGTACCTGCTCACAGTTAGAAGCGCATAACATGTTCATCCTTTCCCTTCGCTCCGCAGTCTTTTTCTCCCAACGATCCAGTTCCGCATTTTTTATATCCAGTTTTCGATCTCTCGAAGGTAAAGACGACGAAGCGAAGACGTCTGCTTTCCCCTCTTTTGAATTACTTCTTAGTCCTCTCCGTTTGTCCTCTAACTGCACTATGCGCTCACGAAGCAGGTTTTGTTCTTTCCCAGTAGTAGTCGTGCTCGTGCCTTGAGAAAGGAGGTTCCCACCATGTTGACCCTCTACGGTAGCGAGCAATGATCCGGGAGAACCCATGCCAACGCTCTCATGTGAGCACCTGCGCGAAAGACTCAAATTCTCTTGTTGGGATTCAACACTGTCGCTTAGAAAAGGCTCAGCCCATTTTTTCAAACAGATTTTTTTGTTGAAACTACTACTTGAAGTTGTTGAGGTTCCAGCTGCGAAACGAAGAAGAAACTTTGCCGCAGATTCTGGCACTAGTGCGGATGGTTCCTCTCTAGTAGTGGGATCCTCAGCGAGTTGTGCCTTTACATCAGCTGGTGCATCACGCGCTTGCTCCACTAGTGTCGCAGCAACGACAGAAACTAAGGCATCACTACCTGGAAGCAGCTTGATCTCGCGACTTAGTCCGGCTGTGTCGACTAGGTCTAGAAGTGGGAGAGAAGTGATGGATGAAATTCTTGTGTCCCCAACATTGCTACTGGCGCTACCTCCTCCCGATGACAACTCCAAAATTCCTTGTTGAAAACACAAATGCAACAACCTCAAAGGACCTGCACCGAATGTCTCCTTACGTGCCTCTAATTGAAACGCACGTCGCAGACTGCAAGTCACTGTCCCTAGAGCAATATCGTCATGAAAGGTCGCACTTGACGTTGCTGCGCTTCGCTTGGAAGTATTGCTCCTGCTCCCACTTGCGCCTGCCCCACCACCTTTACTATACAATGTCCGTGGCCATGACCTCGAGAAATGAAACTCACAACTTGCCAAGTCCTCTTCTCCGACAGCCGGACCTCGTGAAAGAAACATCGAAGTTTTTGAGACCACTTCAACTACATCCCCAGCACTAGAAGTGACCATGAAGTACTCTGCATCTGTGTGTGTCGCCGGGTCTTCGCTTTCCGAGGAGGTCACCCATCGTATGACTACTGAGTTTCTGTTTGTCGGCTTTGACGACGACACCAGGACTGCTTCCCACAAGAAAGGTCGGTCGCCATCGCATGTAGGTAAGGATGGCAAAGACATGGTGTCATCGGTCACGAGACGATGCAAAAACTTGTGACATGCAGTGTTGGATATGGTTTGTGACTGCGTCGTAGAAATACTACAGATGGCTGTAGTCGAAGCCAATGTCTCATTCTCTGCTATTGCCCTTTTCCTATCCAGCCTATACCGCCCCAATGCAGGCAGCTTCGGCAGCAGAGCAAGCAAGACGTTGAGCCTGTCTGTCTCATCGTAACGAAACCAGGAAGTAGTTTCTACTTGCCCAGGGAGTGCTGTGTTTCCTTCTCCACTCTCCCCAACAACCACACTTGGCAACTCCAACCACAATGCTGACAAAGCCGCTAACAGCCAATCCAGATCTCCGCGAATGAACTGCGCTGAGTCTAGGACTTCTTGGTGGAGGCTTCTTCTAGTTCTTTCGTCTCCAAATGATGGGCCGCCAAACGCGTGCGTCAACTTCTTATCGCACTTCTTTACTATCTTCCGAAAACCCGTGTAGTTGATCCTCCTGTACCCATCTAAGTCTGCCAGTTTACGACCTAAGCGAGTGAGTCGTTCTTGGATCAGGTAGAAATCCTCTCCCACTGACAGTTCGCTTCGAATTCCGCGCAACCCTTGTAGCCAGGTCTGTAACTCCACCTCCACATAGCGGTCTACTTTTGTCAGTTCTTGACGTATCGCGACGAGAAAAGATTAGACCAATTATTAATATTTATGCGTCGTAGTAGACAATGAGACAAGTACTACAGACTGTACTTCTACAAGTGCTACAAGTGCAACTGAAATAGACAATTTCCTCCATGAGACAAGATCTGTAAAAAAATTTGTATTTATGAGTTGTACTGAAGTAGAAAGAACCTCATCGATCTCGAAATATAATTGTAATAGTAATACCCCATAAAATCGATCTGACACGTTCCTTCGTGTTTCCTCTGCGTCCTCAAAGTTTGCTGTTGAAGAGCTACTTTTGTTGGCCTGTTCTTTTCCCACTCCGCGTGATGGAGAAAAAGAACCAGCGCGCTCTTCTTTCTCTTTGCCACTCCTTGTGGGTGAAGACGGTCCATCGTTCTTGTTGTCCTCTTTCTCTTTGCCACTCCTTGTAGGTGAGGACGATCCATCGTTCTTGTTGTCCTCTTTCTCTTTGCCACTCCTTGTAGGTGAAGACGATCCATCGATCTTGTTGTCCTCTTTCTCTTCGCCACTCCTTGTAGGTGAAGACGATGCATCGATCTTGAAGTGGTCCTCATCATCCTCAATATCGCCACCTGCTTCTGCGATGAGCTCGGTGAGCCGCTTCTTCAAATTCTTGTAGTTGATGACGTAATCACGGTAAGAGAGCACTTCTCCCGTGATGCGTTCGAGTTTCTTCGCAAATCGAACCATCTTCTTTCTAAAACTATAAATTCTTACACACACGTGATCTCAAAAGGATTTGCTACTTTCATCATCTCTCTTTTTTTTGATACGCAAACCCTTCTCATGAGAAGGGGTGATAGGGGCCTGTCGACTGGGAACAACTCGAGGGGAACTCATCAGCAATTTCCCTCGAAGGCTCTCAGACTCCCTTACTAGCCTCACTCGCGTCGTAACTCCGTCTGGTGTGGACCTACTTCGTACGCTGGAAAATTCAAGGACGGGGAACCAACAGGGCAGGTCCCCACTGAAGATTGAGACTGAATCATGCTCAATATAATCAAATCTTCCACGTTCAAACTGCCTCTTTTTTGAATCAATATCAGTCTTCACACATTTAGCTTTAGCATCTCTATTTGCATCATAAAGAAGCAAACAAAAGTGTTGTGTACAAATCATAATCACATTAATCAAGGCTGAACAAGCTCAAGCTCATGGGCCTCGTTCGGATCAGAGTGCCTGGTACACTATGCAACAAAACTTAGATACACATCTCTTGATCCTATCAAAACAACAACGTGAAGATACATAGTCGAAGTGAGTTGTCTCAAAAGTCATGCATTATATTTCGAGAAATTTACGAGGCGTTATACGTGAGCTAATAACTCCACGGAAGTTCTGCAATAATCACTTTTCCCTTTTTCACAATGAGGTGAGTTTGGTAGTGCAGGCTTTTGCGCTTTTTGAAGATGCAAACAACCGCCTATCAGCTGCTGCGCGGTACTGACACATAAAAAAGCAAGAGTCTATTCATGATGAAGTAGGACTCCTGCTCCTGATACTAGAAACAATAATTGACGATTGTTTCCTGTTGATGATGCCATTCATAAATAATCTCCTTGAATGAAAGAATTGGTTGGAGGCGCGGAGGCATCAGTAGTGAGGAACCTAAAATGTAGAGCGTAAAGTTCTAAGTACTTGTCATGTGTGTGCCCCTGATATGGTCACTCGCGACCATCGTAGTTTTTTTTTTTTTTTGCGTTAGGACTATATGCTGCCACCCTTTCAATCAATCAATCAACATGTTCAACAACATGTTCAACTATGATCATCCAAATTACATACTGGGGGTGCATAAGAGACAAAATGGCAGCCGACTTCGAGGCCGACTCCCATACTAGCCAGGCCAGTTCTACTTCTAGTTGTAGATGAATTGTTCATAGTAATTCCGTGGAAATCAAGGTTCCAACACCCACTATAATCTCGCACTCCAACACCCTTCTCAAATACTTAAATAGCAGCTTGCTTGGCAACTCTGCGTTAAAACCAGCTAATTTCGCGTGTCGTTGTATCACATCCCACACACTTCCATCACACTTTCATTATTGTAAACAACCTTGTACTTGGCAAGCTCATTCTTGGTGAACTATCTAGTTTTGCATTTGAAATGTTGTTGTAATCTAATGGTAACTGTTGTCTTTTCTGTTGTAATTTAATGGTAATTGTTAAGCGTTGTAAGCGGTAAGCGTAATATTAAATGTTAGTTCCGTAGTGGATGTACAGTTTTCAGATCAAGACAAAAAACGTAACTAAGCGCAATCCTGACAGACTGTATGACTACACTACTAGTTCTATGGTTCAATAAAAATCTCTAAGGTCTACGACGCCATGACATTATGTGGAGTGCAGATCTACGTTGGAAAAGGATGACATGACATTTAATAGTCTACACACAGAACTACTTCTTCTATTATCTCAAGAACTCGTTCTACTATAATCATTTTCATGTCGTCCTCAGCTTTATGATCAGCACCAGACTTTACTTCTGATCCGTCTTCTCCTGAGTAGCAGCTTTAGCCGGTTTTGCTGCTGCTTTGCCGGTCGACGTCGATGTCAGGTTTGTGAAGGTAAGGGAGGATATTTCTTTATTGAGTACCAGTAGGTAGGCAAAAATGTGGATAAAACTTCTTCAAAGGTATCACTCTCTTTTTTACAGTTATGCTGATGTTTCTTGCTACACAGCGGCACGACTCATGAGTAAGTGTAAATTTGTACTCTCTCACCCAAGTCCTTAGGAGTGCAAATTCACAAGGCCATAAGAATTGTCAAGGCTATGGTCCGTTAGCTCATAAGTTTTCGGTCGCACATCTCTTGGCTGTTCGTCTTCTGCAGTGTACGCGTCTCCAACAGTAAATCGAACGATGATGCCTATTACCAGTACACCTACGCCCGTATACTGCCACCAGTGCATCCGTTCACCAAGCACGGCAACTGCCATCAATGTCGCGGCTGAGGAGAAGGAGGATTACGATTGATTATCGTTGTGTGATTCACATTCCTGACGTTGGATCAAAAAGGTGACGACCTCTTTTGAAGACTCGACAACGACACGCCGAAATCAACCGAATCTAGACAATTCAAATTCACAGAAGTACCAGTTCGATTAACATTCCCGATAATCGCCGCTGTATATGATCCCATCTTCTCTACAATGCGAAACTCCGTTAGAATCCACACGCTGTTGCACATCCCCTCTAGTAGCAAAAAACCAATCAACCCGGTTAAGTGGGCGTTATCCGGCTTCAAAAAGTGTGGCCTCCACTGCGACATAGGCCCATTCTCCTCCCTCTCGAAAATCATGGAAAAGATCACGTAGAGAAGAGAGAGGATTAGAGGGTTGTCTTAAATCATTAGTTCACAAGGTTCCAATCATTTTTTTCAACTTTGGCCATAAGTTCAAAGGCAAGCAGGCTTGTAAAATGGTCACGACGTTTGGCATGACGAAGGGCTCTCTACTGGCAGACGATCTGGCAGGGAGCTGCTCGTCGTAGGAGTTAGAGAGAGGAATTCAGATGTTGAGTCTTGATATTCTTCTCTATCTTGGATATCATTTCTTCGTTATCAAGAAGAAGAAGACAAGAACTATCTAGTAAGAACTAAATATCCATAACTTTCCCATCAGGTAACAGTGCTCTCTTCTCATCCTCATTTGAGCTATCTCCTCTCGGAGAGCTTCCGTCGCTACGCCGTTGCAAACTCTGCTCGTGTCTACCAGCCACTAAGTCAATAGCAATGATCCTCAAAGCTCTTGTTAGCAAAGCGACAGTCGCAAATAGAATACCCCAGATGTAGTCAACTTTGGTATGCTTCGTCTGGGGCTCATCTGGTGGACGATTATGGTGGACGGGGTTTGGATTAGTATAATCGAGAAGTCAGAGGTTCACACATAAATCCAAAAACCAATCATTTCATAATAACGCATAATGATTGCAACATGCATACCTTTTCTCAGGTAAAAACCAAAAGCCAAACCATGGAGCTATAGTGTTCAAAAATTTTGCATGTCATGTCATGTGCCCTCTTAAGCCACGTGGTCAAGTACAGCCTTGAGGTAGTTCAGCCTAATTGTACCTTCTAAAAAGAAGAGCAACTATATTATTATAGCACAACTATGTACCTTCCCCTCCCCCAAATAGGCCGGGTCTTATTGCTACCATAACCCCACCAGCAATGATCGGAATGACCGAAAGCCATGCCCACAAGTTGTAGCGAATCTTCGGCTGAAAGACTGCAGTAAGCACCAAGTTCACTGCTGGCCCTGTCATTTGAAGGGCCTCGGCTACTGAGGCTGGCAGATACATCAAGGAGCTCCGAAATTAGAGGAGCTAGTGTCAGAAAATGATCCATCTTGGGCTCCCTCCTCGAACCTTTTGTTCCCTCTCAAAAAAGGCCTCAGCATGCCAGTGAAGATGGAAGATTTGTGGTAGCCTTAAAAATAAGTGAACCCATTCAGCACATTGAACAGACAGAACACGGTGAGAACCAGCAAAGGAACTCCGAAGACGAGACATCGCGGTCGCCGTGACGCAAACGGTGCAGAGAGGACAAAATTGCTGTCGTCGCTGTCCGAGCCTCCTGCATGTGTGAGATTCCATCAATGCTCAAACTATAGCGGTGATTTGTTCGGAAAAGGCAGTACGAAGCAGCGCTCCTGTGATCACCGTCACAAATCCCTACTCACAGGATTCCAAAATCACATTAAATCACGAAGTGCACTCTAAGCAATCTATACCTGCACCCGGATTCCGCGGACTCGTCGGCGGCTTCCGCTTTGCACTAGGTTTCACTGGAAAGGTTACCAGAAACGCTGACACGACCAGACATGCTACTCCAGCTTGAACGAAATTGTGGAAAAACGGCGCTTTATACCCAAAACGCATAGGCTCCAGATAGTCTGGTCCGACTGTCGGACCAGTTCGTCCTGCTGGACCGCGAGTGTTAGAAATATACTGGTTGTAGTAATTGAAGTCACGACCAGCAGGGGAGGTTCATACGTTGAGGCTCTCCTAGAAACCGATTGTCCAATTAGACGCTATACTTCTATCTCAAATTCAAATGACCTTGAATTTGGTTCTTGCACCAGTCCAATACTTTTTCTTCTACCATAACTTTTGAATTCTTTGGCAGTGAACTGACCGTCTTGTAAATGAGCAGGTTGGTGACGTACGCCAGAGTGTGGATGATAGTCTCGATTGTGTCAATCACCAGAACCATCGTACACACACTAGCGGCCGCACTTCTCGAAGAAGATGGAGATGCTCTCTCTGTTTTTTAGAGTGGTCGTTAAGTGCTAGTCTCCTTATCCATAGTATACGTAGTAGTTCGTTGAGTGTTTCCTTGAGGGGTTGTAGTTCCCTTGGGGTGTCATTTTCGAAGTACTTAACAGGGACCTTAACATTCCCCCTTGGTTTCCCCTTTTTGAAGTAAAAGCGAAGATCATCGAGAACACCGAGGATACACTTACACCACACGTGATAATGAAGCACTTTAGTAGCCCTAAGTATCCTCATCGGAACTAGAGCCGCTGTGGCCTTCAGATCCTGCCCGCTCGGCCATCGTCCGCAATTGTGTTGCTTTTGTTGATCTATTTCTGGAAACTACGCTCGCCCGTCTTCATAATCAAAGTGGTTGTTGTTCTTGCAGCACATGTACATCCTTTACCTCCTCCTAGCAGTAGTTAGCTAGTATAAAACTCGGTACAGCGACGCTGATTCGCTGTCCGAGAAACGCTGGTAGTGCTGCTAACATGGTTGAAAAACAAAGTCTTATAATCGACTTGACACTAGCACCAAATGCGTAGTGCGATGAGCAAGAACTTATAGAGATGATGTTGGACCGTGATTATTCATAAGCTGGTGGGCGGTCTGGTGGTCGAGGCTTGTGGCATCGTGAGTCAAGTTTCAAGGCAACAGCTCAAAGTATTTGGTGTGACTTCGACGGAGAGAGAGAAAACTCTACATCACGACAGATATTGCACCTGATCCTGAAAACCGACACTGACATACACTTCAACCACTAGGGCGGGACCGACAAAGAGGGCCGAACCTTTGTTACGTCGACATTGAATTTCGACCGAAATGAGACGATAACTACAGAATAAGAGGAATATATTTCACATCATTGTTGACGAAGATAGCTTTGATCAGAGCATGATAGCTGGTCACAGGCACACTCTTGGCACGAAGATGAAAGGAGCAAGGGCGGATTGTTTTCGCATTATATCTTATTAGCATTACTGATTTCAGGGCTTTGTTTGTTTGTTGCCCCGTGGTTGAGCCGTAGGAGTGTCAACTGCACATGCTGTCGAAAAGTATGACAATGTTTACCAAAAGGATGGATTATACCACGAAACTTTCCATTTCAAGTAGGCAATAAACCTCCGTGCACAGCTACTTATAAGTACTTTCATCGGTATCCGGGGGTGCGAAGATAATAGATGTAGATGTTCTGTACCATGATATACCATGATATGCTATCGGATTGATTCTACAAAATTACGTCGCGAAGCACGACTATCACTATGATGATAATCCTAATTTGTGAAGTAGACCTTTTGTTTCCCATAACTATGTTATTGTGCGCTAGTACTAGAGTTATGTGATTTATTGAACACGAGCATTCTTTACCGATCCGTGAGGATAATTATATGTTGTCTGGGCAATGAATATAATTCGCTTCTATCATGAACATGCGTTAGTCTTTTTTTCAAACAATCAGAATCTTTATAAAGTCTTAGCTCTTAGTTAGATCAGAATCTTTATAAAGTCTTAGCTCTTAGTTACGTCTACTTGTAGCTCTTAAATCTTGAAATATCCTCCGACACGTCAAACCCCAGTACCTTCCACCTTCATGACCATAATTGCACCGTCAGATGTAGTTTGTAGCGCCAGCGTATCTCCACGAATGACGTTCACGACTGTGAGCAGCGGCTCATCCAAGATCGGGCCTGGAGCATAAAGCTTAATCGGAAATTAGAGGAGATCACAGATTTCAGAAAAAGTTTCTTTTTTTTTGTATCCTGGGGCTACTGAAAGAGCGGCCGCAGCTTTATCCAGTTCGCAAACCGGCGGCAGGCGGGGCTTAGTGCTCCTCTATCATTCTATTCTCTACGAACAGTTTCTGGCCACCCACAGGGGCAAGTTTCGGTGTCCATAATTCAATCTTCCTCCACGCTCTTGTTTTTGCTGCTCTCCAATAATCGGTGGACGTAGCCACACATCGCTACCTTTAGGAACGCTGCTCGACAGGATAGGCCACGTTTCCCAGTAATCGTCCTGCGGAAACACGCTTAATCGAAGCTCGTCCGGGAATTCGGACCCAACACAACGATTGCAGACTTGGGGAGTATGAAGGAGAAACGAAAATAGATGATGATGATGATGATGATGATATACCCAGTTAAGTTATTTTTACGGGTGTGCATAGCAATAGCAATCTCAAAAAGGCAATTCAAGTACGAATACTTCCAAACCTCTACTTCTGCTACTTTCCTCAATAACCATAAATCGGATAGATCTTCGCTTTCAACACGTATTCTGCCTGTGCTGCGCATTGGACTTCCAAGGACGCCCATGCAACGTCAAAAGTACTAGCTGTCGAACGATCTAGACGGAGCATCGGATTGAGAAAGCGGGCTTCATCTTGATTATCGATCTTTGATGAAGAATCGGTGTCAGAGGATGAAGTCGACGCTTTTGACACAAATGCTTTAGTACAACTTGTTTTCGGACTTGCATTACTATCCAGAGGACTAGCCTGAGAACCTTCGAAATGATCAGCATTTTCAGCGAGATGAAGGGCTGATAGCAAGGTATTGGTTTCAGGAAGATGCTCTTCGTCTTTGGCAGAAGGCGGTGGAAGTAAGCGCTCCACCTCGACGACTTTGTCTTTGGCAGAAGAATGAACTTGGGCTTCAGCATCTCCATCACCCTCAACAGATTTACATCCCCGAGACGTGGGCGAAAAAACCGTAGAGGCACTATCTTCAGCATCAGCACCATCTTCAGGTGAAAGGGTACTCTGTTCTTTCGATGCTGTAGCGGCACACGACGACTTGTGGTGAGGCATCGTCCTAGTAGTGGAAGATGATACAGCGACGACATCAAGCTCTTCTGCCGCATTATCTTCCACGTCAGTCTTCGTCCATTCATCGATGTGGATGGCATTGTTGTTGTATGACAGGAAGAAGTGTACTACGCATCCTCAGAAAATTTTTAGCTATTTTCCTACTTATAAGTTCTAGCAAATTTCTTGAGTACGTTCTTGAGTACACTTTTTCCTCTCATATGTTGTTCTTGCTGTTCTTCACGTCCGCATCTCCTTCAGTCTCATCTCCAACGGCCTTCGTCCATGTACGTCGTAGACCGTCATATACGCGTTGAGGCTCAGTCACAAGTGTAGCCAAGAAAGCTGTTGCAGCTTCTATACTGTGTTCTTTTCTGATGTCCTCTGGAAGAGCTTTTCCTTCTAAAATCGCATCAACGTGTTCGGCGAGATTATCGGAGCTAACCATCTGGTCATCTACATTTTTAACTGAGTTGCTTACATTGTCTTGTGCAGCAATAATATCAGAGGACTCAGATGAAGAAGACCCAGCTAGATCTCCAGCACTAGTCGACGTACTACTAGACGCTGACGATGATGTATATTTCTCTGCTACCTCTCCCACTGTGGTAGTGATGAAATTCTTCATGTCCTCGATTTTGTTCTGCACTACAGTCACATCTAGTGCTGTTGTAAGAGCAGAAGTTGTAGTTTGCTCGCTACTAGCAGGATCTGCAGCATCATCGTTGTTGCCACCTAGAACTACTTTTGTCGGAGAGCGCAAGGAAATTTCCGGTTCTGTGGCTTTGGCTAGTGCAACACGCCCTAGAGATTCTAATCCTGCCCTGACCTTCTCCCCCACCTCCGCTCCCAGTTGAGCGCCGGCCTCAACGGTCTGACGGCCTAATCGCTGAGCAGCAGATTCCTCTTCTGCTTCTGGAGATGTTTCAGTCATGGTGCCGAAGAGTTGGCCTTTCACCTTCCTGTTGTCAGTCTCAGCACCCTCCTCCACCACATCATCCCTCTCTCCCACAGCAACTACTGTTGCACTGGTTGTACTACGACTGTCACCAACGAACTTGGTACCAGGAGTTTCCTTTTCTGCTGCTCCACCACTCGTCATCGAGGTTCTAGGTGTGCTACCACTAGTACAACCATCCTCATCAACACCAGCAGTAGTACTAGTGCTGGGAGATGTTCTTGTTTTACTAGACAAATTATTTTTAGCCCCAGCAGTAGACTTACCCCCAGCACTTTGAGATAAAGCAGCACCCATAATTCCAGTCGTAGTCTGAGGTGAAGTCGCAGTCTTCGTAGTATTCTTGGAGATTCTCATCTGCGTGATTTCCTCCAGCTTGTCACTTAGAACCTTCTTCCGAGCTCGTTCATACATCATAGTGCCGCCAACGAATCCAGCTGCCATCAGGACTGAACCTGGGATCACTATCATCGCGCTACTGTACATGGCAGCGGTGCTGCCCTCCACGCGACGCTCAGGCCAGATACCCAAGGCCTTGGCGGTGGAGCTGGGGAGAGAGACGGGCTCTTAGACGAGAAGAGTGGCGAATGGTTCCGGTATTTGGTTACCTGAGTTTGATCCTAAGGGTTCTCTTCTTGTTTTCCCTTAGGATCAAATTCAGGTTACCAAATACCAGAACCATACAAGTGAGAGAGGTACAGATGAATGCTCGATCCATACGTAGCTCGATACTGAATATGAATCATATAAATTGTAGATAGTTCTGCTGATCCTGATACAAACTTCTCAGTTGCTATGGTATCCTCGATGGATTTCTTCAAAAATGATAAGTTGCTGTTCATCATGTCATAACTTGAACTCGAAAACGTCGCAGTAGCATTTTCGAATTCTAATTCCGCACTCTGAGGCAACAGTGCACCCCTACGCGATTCCAAGTACTCGGACACGGTCCTACAATGTTCTAGAATCAAATCCACTATCGCAATCTGATCTGCGTAATTGGAAGTAGTCATAGTACTAGAGGAAGCTCCTGCATGTAATCCACCTAGTGGAGGACTGCTACAACACTGCTCGACTAGTACTGCAGCATCGCCTGCTTGATGTTGTGCTTCAGTAGTTGCAGTCTCTGGCGAAGATACAGCTCCTCCTTCATGTACAGCACCATCCTCCTCCTCTTGTTGAAACGTAGTTTTTCCTAATGCATCTTGCCTTCCATCTTGTTCTTCGCCACCCTGTTCATACTGCACAGCTCCAGATTGGTCAAGAGCGATGTCTTCAAGATTTGCGCCAGCGCCATCATTTGTCTCATTTGCTGCCTCCACCTGAGTCTTATGAACACCAGAAACAGAGACTAGATCTGCGCGAATCTGCCTGACCAATTCTGTGTAGAGACGCACGAAGAGGACGCCAGCTGCGTAGAAGTTAATCACATTCTCCTTCGACGCTTCGACCAGAAGCAGCAAATGACAGACCCAATCTTGTTGTTGAGGCAATTGCCAATAAGGCAATTCGAGAAGATCGAACCACAGTCGCCTGAGCAACACTGCTAGTTGTGGCAAGGATGAACATCTCGTCAACACCTCTTGTAGTTCGACAACTGGAAGCAAATTGTGGTCTTCGTTGTGGTCCAATGTTTCAGCGCTTCCGACCACAACTCGCCTTTGATGATCCCTCGTTCTACTACCACTCGTCTTCGCAAAATAATCAGGTACGGTTAAAAGTTCTGCTACTAGAGTACGGAAATTTCCATAGCATGCCTGTGCGCTCTGCAAAGCAATCTCACTTTCGGTTAGGACGTGAGGGTTCTCCTCACTCTGAGGAGCGCTACCCAGCGTACTGCGGAAAGATGATAGGTATTCCATCATTTTTTCTGTCATTTTGAATCGATAAGTCGAAACTGTACAACAAATTCTACAGTAGTCAAATCGATCCTTGATTGATTGTTAGTTGGTTCGTCATTGCGCTGGTGGCTAGGAAGAATGATCTGAGCAATCTGTCGCGTTACTGATCTGTCGCGTTACTGATCAATTACATTCTAAGTCCACGGGTCGTGTTTTCGAGGCGCAAGAGACAAGAAGGGAAATAATGCGGAGGAATATTCAGATGGAGTCGCAATATATCTGAAGCTAGCAGATACAGGCAAAAGAACTATTGATCCTATTCTTTCGTCACCGTGCCTCCACCTCGTCACCGATATCTGTTGGCAGTTCAGCTAGAACCGATATGCTAGAGAAGTTTAGACAGGATCAAGTCCAATGAGGCTTCAACCGACCGATTATACGAGCATCTACGGTGCACTTCATCTTCCATGCGCTAGAATCCGATTCTTTTTTTGCTTGTATCACATGATTCGTTGCGTCGAATATATTCCGTTCCGCCACAACAATATTTGCAATCTTTTTCTTCTAGAGATGATCACAACAACTGCGAATAGCGTAAGTGGAAGGAGGGGAAATCAATAGGAGTGGTCATCGTTCGTTGTACTACTAGGGTTTCTTCTAACATCAATCGGGGGTTCCCCATGGATTGGGATAGGGTCGTGTTGTAGTTATGACAAGAAGATGGCTCAGGTGAAATGCTCGACGTTCCAAGAAGATGGCTGAAGCTCCACACTACTAGAAGAGTTTCGGTCTTTTCGACGATGATGAGCCACCTCCCGTATTTTCCATATCATCGAATCGCCTCACATTCCCTTTTTCTTTCATCTTCTGTAGTAATTTCAGTTCTTGGTCCACTGTCTTGAATTTTCTGTCGTTCCCACTGCCTGGCTCGTTGTTCCTCCCTCCAAAGAATTTGGCTCCATCCGTTGTCTCTGCTTCCGCACGCTTTTGCAACTTCAGTTGTTTCTTTTTGGTCAGTTTTTCGAATTCGTCTTCAGCCTGTTGCATTTGGGCCATGGATTCTTTGGTGTGCTTATATTTTATTCCGGCAGCAGACAAGTCTTCGTAAGCGTCGCCACTAGTGCCGAAGACGTCGCCGCGCGCAGCTAATCGCGCTTTGGCGTCGAGTCGTCTTTGCTGCAGTTGCTCTGCCAGCCCGCCTATCGTGTCCTTGGCAGCGTAGTCGTAGTAATAACCCGTGCCGCGTTCTCTCGTTGTGAATACCCATCCTCGCTTTGCGCCTCGCCAGGAACTAGTAGCGATGAAGTCGTCGTCAGCTGACTCGAAGATGTTGCTGCCGCCACGCTCGTCATTGTCCAATTGATCAAAGAAGTTTCCTTTCTTAGCTTTAGAAGAAGTACCATTTGAAGATTTCTGATTACCAGTTTTGTTCTTCGGAAACAAGTCGTCTTCCTCACTACTACTAGACGACGAAGACGATGAAGAGTTATCAGACCTCGCTCGCCGTCTCTGCAAGGCTTGGCTATGTGCTGTACTGCCGATCTTTATGCCTCTTGTGGACCCTATTTTCGCTCCCGGAGCAGCAGCGGCCATCTTCTTCGCGTTCTTCTGTAGTACTGCGTCAAAGCTCATGGTGTCTCCGAAAATATCATCCCCTTTTGCAACTACTTGCTTCGTACTAGTTCTCGTTCCAGATGCTATACTGGCTGATCCTGCACCAGAATAATGACCTGCTTTCGATGAGCTTGAAGAAGAAGAAGCCCCATTAGGGTTGTATCTTGCACCAGGGTTCGCCGCTAAGAACGCTTGTGGATCCGCACGTCGCTGTTTTCTAGTCTGTCTCACTTCCGCCATGGTGTCTCGTAAATGCGTCAACAGTCTCCTTTCTATGTATTCGCATTTCCGTCGTTCATCTAAAGGTGGGCACTCGTCTTTCGATCTGGTACCGTATACGGGCTTCTCCTCCAGGTCCCACAAGTCGGTGGGAAAAGTATAGAACGTCCGCATGGGTAGAAAAGCTACTGGACCAGACTTTACGCGGTCTCCCTTGTATAAGCGGGAGTGCATGGCATTCAGATTTTGTCGAAAACCGATCTGATCGGGGTGAAGGGATTTGATAACCGCACTCTCGACTCGTTGGGCTAAAGCGCTTTTCACCACTTGCTGTTTCTCTGTGCGGTCTCGAACGATCCTATTAAAAAGTTGAGGAGAAAATGTCATTTCTTGAGTAAGAGTAGATGTAGTTGAATGAGGCACTTTGCCTAGAAAGAGACCCGCCGCTTGAGGTACTTAAGAGACCCGCCGCTTGAGGCAGCTAAGGGACACGCCGCTCGACGCACTCGAGAGACCCGCCGCTTGAGGCACCTAAGGGACCCGCCGCTCGACGCACTCAAGAGACCCGCCGCTTGAGGTACTTAAGAGACCCGCCGCTTGAGGCACCTAAGGGACCCGCCGCTCGACGCACTCAAGAGACCCGCCGCGTGAGGCACATAAGGGACCCGCCGCTTGAGGCACATAAGGGACCCGCCGCTTTAGGCACATAAGGGACCCGCCGCTTGAGGCACATAAGGGACCCGCCGCTTGAGGCAAATAAGGGACCCGCCGCTTGAGGCAAATAAGGGACCAGGCCCGAAGCACTTAAGGGGCCCGCCATGCCGAGGGGAGAAGCACTTAAGGGCCTCTGAGCGGCGTAACACTTAAGGGGCCCAGCTTTGAAGCACTTAAGGCGCACGCCGCCGTGTCGCATAAGTGGTGACTTCCACCACTTAAGACGCCTCGCATAAGTGGTGACTTCCACCACTTAAGACGCCTCGCTTAAGCAGTTACTCAGTGACCGCTTAAGCTGAACTAGCAAGCCATGCCACCTCTCAATCCAACCTGACTATTCCTAAATCACATAAGTTCATAGGAGGAATTTACTTGCTTATCCCAAAGACCATAATTAATCCAAAAGAAAAAAATATGGATACTGCTCTTTCATCGAGGATCCTTCCTTCGGAGCCTTCTCTCGTTCTCGGTCCATTTTTTTCCTAGCGTCCTGCAAAAGCATTTCATCCAAACCTTTGACAAAATGCGTGTGCTCTTGACCTCCGTAATACTTGGATTGATCCGCAGACAGCTTCTTAAACCTTTCCACCTCTTCATTCAGTTCACCCTCGTGTGCACGACCTGAACAAGGAGAAATGTTGGGGTGAAGATGCTATAATTGTGGTGGAGCCGACCTAACTAGACTAGAGAACTGAAGATGCTATAATTTGAAGATTAACATATCAATTTCTGACTTGGAAAATGTTGGGGTGAGGAAGATGCTAATATAATTTGAAGATTAATATATCAATTTCTGAGGACTTGGTGGAAAATAACATGTGGAAAATAACAGTACGTCTTGCTGCCAAATCCACGTATCCTCCATCTTCCGGCAAACTCGTTTCCGCTTTCTTGCTCATCTCTGCCTTCTGCTTCTCCTTATACTCTCGTTTCTTTTGTTTCGCTGCTACGCGCTTTGCTGCGGCTTCCTCTTTGGTGAGCTTTTGTTGTTGTTGTTGCACGTCTTCCCCGTATGCGCCACCGCCAGTTCCGTTGCTTGTGCTCCGGGTCGGGGCCATGTTCCCCTGACCCGGAGCAGGGGTCATCATGTACTGCATAGCACGACGCATTTTGTCTGATACAAGCCGGGTTAATGTTAAACTTTGAAAGAGTCGCGTAACAAGTAACTAGTTGTTTCTTAAACGAGTAAGAGTCAAAGTTTAGTGGACTCAACTAATCAAAGACCCACTTCGACGTACGCAATCAAATTATTGCCGAGCATGACCAGGGGATAATCTTCTAGGGACACTCCACCAAAATTACAAGTCGCTAACCACGAAACTACACTAGACATTACAAAAATGGCGAGTAGATGACCTCACGTGGTAAAAATGGAGTTTCACTTCGATGGACCAGTAGACCGCAGCCAGCTTGCCTGATGTAGGTTGGAAGAGAAAGAGTCGCGTGAGATCGGAAATTGGACCAACGGGAACATCCTTCTTCAACGAGGACACCAGATTAAGAAACTTGCCTTACAACACTGCATCAGTGCTGCCGTCACGATCGTGTTGCGTATTTCCTTTGCGCATTTCCTTTGCTCACTAGTGGTACATTTCATCTTTTCCTACCAACTTGTTTCTGTATACAATGTGTGCGTTTCAATTTCCATTCGACATTTTTCTTATACTGATATCATTCATAATCATCAAATGCATTTTCTTGTGACTCCGCCACGACCCACTAATTCCGATTCTCTTTGGGTCGGTGACAGTAACGCTCATCAAATGTGTAACGAATAAGCTATAATTTTCACAAAACGGTTTGTGCTCAAGACTCAAAAATCCAGACTTCTTATAACTGATTGATAATGGTATTCTAATTTCGTTTTCGTCTATCTTTCTTATTTCTGCGTTTAACTCCTTTATGAGCGACGTGATCTTCCAGTGATTCCAACAAACGGTAAAATCTAGAAAGCTTTCTCGCGACATGTTGTGGCGCAACATGGGGTTTCGTGATGTACTACATCCTATGACTCTGGTGTCGTGTAAAAGACTAGTAGCACATCTTCTGATGTTGTCATATGCGTACAAAATTGGGATAATAAGCGAAAGCGATTTGAACAAGAGACAAGAACTGAGTAATTAGTTGTAATCAAGAAACGTTTCTTAACGTGAACTACTAGCGGTTTATTTAGCTGCCGCGAAGAGCGCTCTCGACCTTGCGCTCTACCTTGCTGCCATGCAGGTACAATATCGCATCCAAGGAAGCAAGCGGAATGTCGTCGCTGAACAGCTGAAACGAGGTAGAAGGAGTGAGATTAGGACGACGTAGGAAGACTTCTGGTATGTATCTGTGTGCCAATATTGAGTGACTAGAAGGAGCTGCAAGGAATGAGAAAAGGGGATAGCAAAAAAAAAAATCGACATACCTCCAAAGCAGCATCGAACAAATGATCGAAATTGTCGAAGTCGTATCCTGAACCCTTTAAAATAGCTCTGGTTTCCTCTCGGTCTCGTCGAAGCAAGAAATCCTTATCCATGATGCCACGGATCTCAAATCGCTGAGGAGGCTTAGAGGGGAGTCGAGGTGATCATCGTGATGGATCTCGTCAACGACGAGAATATAACTTGACAGCAATGTAGTTCTAGAAGGAACAAGTAGATCATTATTTACTAAAAGATTTATTCAAGTATTGCTATTACCACAACCAGGTACGAAATCATTCAACTCATGATTCATCTTCGACTACAATTACGACAAACTACATTTACAGCACCAATCCATGTTAAAAAGTATCTCATCATAAGATTCAACAATGGCCCGGCTCCAACTTCGTCACCGTAGTTCTGCATATCGGCTAGACCTCTCTTGCCAAGGTCTGGACATGGAATGTCGTATCGCACAGATGGCACGCCGTAGAGTCGACCAGGATCTTCACTGACGTTGCGTCGGCCAACGATAGTGCACTTTCCTAGATTCTCTTCCGGTATATTGTCCGCGTCAGTGTATGTCCCAGACATACAGGCTGCTGCAGTGTCGTTAGCGCCGGCTGAGACAATACCGAAGCCACGGGCTGGGGTCTGTTGTTTAGGAGAAATGTTAATACAAAAACAAAATGAACAATAAACAACCAATTTTCAAAACGCTCAAAAAAAAACACACCGCCACACACATCCGCCGATGGTTCAGATCCCGACGGTTTAGATCCCGACGGTTTAGATCCCGACGGTTTAGGTCCCGATGGTTTAGATCCCGATGGTTTCGATCCCGATGGTTTCGATCCCGATGGTTTAGATCCCGATGGTTTAGATCCCGATGGTTTAGATCCCGACGGTTTAGATCCCGACGGTTTAGATCCCGACGGCTTAGATCCCGATGGTTTAGATCCCGATGGTTTAGATCCCGATGGTTTAGATCCCGATGGTTTAGATCCCGATGGTTTAGATCCCGATGGTTTAGATCCCGATGGTTTAGATCCCGATGGTTTAGATCCCGATGGTTTAGATCCCGATGGTTTAGATCCCGATGGTTTAGATCCCGATGGTTTAGATCCCGATGGTTTAGATCCCGATGGTTTAGATCCCGATGGTTTAGATCCCGATGGTTTAGATCCCGATGGTTTAGATCCCGATGGTTTAGATCCCGATGGTTTAGATCCCGATGGTTTAGATCCCGATGGTTTAGATCCCGATGGTTTAGATCCCGATGGTTTAGATCCCGATGGTTTAGATCCCGATGGTTTAGATCCCGATGGTTTAGATCCCGATGGTTTAGATCCCGATGGTTTAGATCCCGATGGTTTAGATCCCGATGGTTTAGATCCCGATGGTTTAGATCCCGATGGTTTAGATCCCGATGGTTTAGATCCCGATGGTTTAGATCCCGATGGTTTAGATCCCGATGGTTTAGATCCCGATGGTTTAGATCTTCCCGGTGGTTTAGATCCTGACGGTTTCGATCCCGATGGTTATCCCATCCCAGCCAGGTGCCTAATTTCACTCAAAATGGTTTAAAATCAAAAACTTAGCACTTTGGCCAAAATTTAAAAACAAACGCCGAAAAAAAAGGGAGGCAGTGCGCGCGGTTGGTTTCTAATTTCGCTCCCAATGGTTTAAAATCAAAAATTTAGCACTTTGGCCAAAATTTAAAAACTAACAAACGCCGAAAAAAAGGGAAGCGGTGCTATCCCATCCCAGCCAGATGCCTAACTTCCCTCAAAATGGTTTAAAGTCAAAAACTTAGCACTTTGGCCAAAATTAAAAAACAAACGCCGAGAAAAAAGGGAGGCAGTGCGCGCGGTTGGTTTCTAACGTTATCCCACCCCAGCCAGGTGCATAATTTCACTCCAAATGGTTTAAAGTCAAAAATTTAGCACTTTGGCCAAAATTAAAAAACAAACGCCGAAAAAAAAGGGAGGCAGTGCGCGCGGTTGGTTTCTAATATCGCTCCAAATGGTTTAAAGTCAAAAGCTTAGCACTTTGGCCAAAATTTAAAAACTAACAAACGCCGAAAAAAGGGGAGGCCGTGCGGGTGCGCGCGATGGGTTTCCAATTTCGCCCAAATTGTAATTGATCAAAGTCAAAAAGCTGGCGCCTTGGCTAAAATTTGTAGACCTTCCAGCCCAGATAGAGAAGAGCCCGCGCTGGATCAGTAAGAGAGGGACACACCGCGCCCGGGTCGGTCAGGTTTCTAATAAATTTCACTCGAATGGCTTAAAATCAAAAACTTAGCAACTTGGCCAAAAAATTGAAGGCCAAGCGCTGAAAGAAGGGTAGGCCGTGTCTTGCCCTCTCCATCGGTCTCGACATTTCTCGGACATTAATAGAAAGAGAGGAGGAGAGCAGCAGCCCCGGCTACTTTTCTCGGACATTAATAGAAGAACAGAAGGAGGGCAGTAGCCTCGGCTACAACTTTTCTCAGACATTAATAGAAGAGGACCAGGGCAACCGCCACCCATCCCATCAGCCTCGGCTTTTCTCGGACATTAATAGAAGAACAAGAGGGCGCCCGCCGTCCTGTCCATCGGTCTCGGCTCTTCTCGGACATTAATAGAAGAAGAGGAGAGCAGCCGCCTCGGCTACTTTTCTCGGACATTAATAGAAAGAGGGGAGGGCGCCCGCCGTCCCGTCCATCGGTCTCGGCTCTTCTCGGACATTAATAGAAGAACAAGAGGGCAGCAGCCCCGGCTACTTTTCTCGGACATTAATAGGAGAAGACCAGGGCAGCCACCACCCAACCCATCGGCCTCGCCTTTTCTCGGACATTAATAGAAGACCCGCCCGCCGTCTTGTCCATCGGTCTCGGCTTTTCTCGGGCATTAATTTCAATAGAAGCAGAGGGGAACAGCAGTCCCGGCCAATTTTCTCGGACATTAATAGAAGGAGAGAGGGCAGCCAGCCGCCCTGTCCATCGGTCTCGGGTTTTCTCGGACATTAATAAAAGGAGAGGAAGAGAGACAGCCGCCGCCCTATCCATCGGGCCGGCCTCGGCTTTTCTCGGACATTAATAGAAGAAGAGGGGGGCAGCGGTTCCCCCTGTCCATCGGTCTCGGTATTTTCTCAGGCAAATGAATATAGAAGAAGAGGGAGGGAGCGGCCCCGGCCAATTTTCTCGGACATTAATAGAAGGAGAGAGGGCAGCGGCCTCGGCTACTTTTCTCGGACGTTACTAGATCCCAGAACGCCTCTCCCCCTTCCGGGCGCCTTTTTGGCTGTCTTTCAGGATGTGGAAGGGTTTCCTTTCTGTGGGTGCATAGAGCAAGTTTTAGGCCGGTGCCTGCACGTGCGCCGGCATGTTTTTTTTTTGGTTTGTGATGGTGCGTGGTGATTCTAGTGCGGAAATGGGCTACGCGTCGCTCTAAGCTAGTATCTATTTGTCGAAGTACGTAGAGGGGCCATCTTATTGGATCATGTCGAAAAGATGGCGAGAAAGACTCCTATTTTGAGACATCGCACGCTACCATTCAACATCTGAGTACTCATCATTTTGAGGAGTGATAAAAGCAAATTTGGAGGATGTGATAAATTAGCCAAAAAGTACCGGGTGTGATCCCTGGCAGTAATTCCTAGTCTTCCCAAGTTTGTCATGCGTCACGTCTCTATAATCCGCTAGTGTGATTGTGCCTATCTTCGTTTTTTGTGTCTTTCCATCTTCGCCTCGATCCCACCAGAGAGCACCTTTTTGTCATCAGGTTGACAAGAACAAGTAGTGAGAATAATATAGCATGAGCATGGTTTCATTGCGCAATTTCTCAAAAATCGTATTTACAGCGAGTAAGCAATTGGGTATCTATATCATTTACTTACTAATTGAGAATGTAAAACATCCTAGTGAGAATGCACTAGACTCATCTACATCTACTACTTGATCCGTCATGAAAAGAATTCCAATCCCAGTTCATTTACCTGGCACGCCTCCCTGTTCTCCCCCGGCGTCTTTTTCTGTAGCTCCAAATCGGAAATCACGATTCTTTGCTGCTTCAGGCCACTCATATTTTCTATCTGCCTGTTCTCCTGCTCCGTAGTTGCCTGAGATGGAGAAGGTGGAAGAAACCAGCGGCTTGGATTCAGAAGAGTGACATCAGATTTGGATTCAGCATTCAAAAACCTGAACCTACTCATTAAAAAGAGAATCACTTGATGAAAAATCTGAACCTACTAAAGACCATACCAGTAACTCATTGAAGATTCTTCATAAGAAAGAGACAGAGACCCAAGAAAAGAATAAGAACTAAATCTAGTACCATGTGTGAATCGGTACATCTTCTCATTCAAAAGAGAATCACTTGATGAAAAAGGACGTAACTACTTTGTCTTCAAAGATGAATTCAATTTACGGAGACACTATTTCAGTAGTAACAAAGTAGTTACTTCTTCAAAGAGGAATTCAATTTAAGTAGACAAAGTAGTTACGTAGTGAAGTTGACAAGTAGACTTCAATTTACGGAGACAAAGAGAATCACTTGACTACTTAAATTGAGTACCATGTGTGAATCGATACATCTCGACATGCTCTTTTGAGTCGGGCATCATCCCTCTTGGAAATATTACTAGCTTTCCATCTTGCCGATCCGCTGACGCCTTGCCGAAACCTTAGCACAGGAGGAGGTAACGGTGAGGTAGCGGTAGGGCAGGTGGAAGTTGTACAAGGATGTGGGTTAAATTCTGTTTATCATGGTTCTGTATGTGGGTTAGATTCTGCAAGAACAGCCAAAAGAAGCCCAAAGCCATCTTGTATCTCACTTGGAAAACACGTAATAGCAAATTCAAGTAGAAACTGGATGAAGGCAAAGTATAATAAATACCATTAAACGTCGGCGCTTTCGTCTCTGGTGGTAGCACGTGTCCTCGCACAAAGGTCTTACCGAGAGGTTCCATCTTAGTGCTCTTGTATACTGTTTCGGCACACTTATTATTGTATTCCGCAATTCCAAGTAACAGGCCATCTTTAAAAGTCCTCGCCACAGTCTCACCCTTATCACTGTGCATGCCGTACCTGGTGTGATCCAGATTGGAGATTTGGTGTGATGAATGATGTTGATCTCTATAGATGTGTGGCGGAGGTTGTAGCAAGTGTTTATCGTCGCGCCAATTTTTTTTTTGTAGGTACCACTTAGCAGCAGTAACACAGCTTAGTCATTAGGAAAGAAAATGTACTAGTTCTTGAACAACGGGAAAAAGAAATGTGTCGTACCTAAAGTTGTCCGGCGGAAGCTGCTGGTCGATAAGGCCATGATGGATCTGTATCTCTCCCGGCACTAGATTTTTTCGGAACCTGAAAGATGAGAAAATTATAAGTTTAAAAATATCAATGATGTCTCAAAAAAAAACTTACTGTTCTCTTATCGTCTCAAAAAAAGTTACTTCCTCTGTTCTGGTGGCGTTGGTGGTCTTGGAAAGTAGATATCGGACTGCAAATCCCTCTCCGCGGTGTCGTTGAAGATACTGGTACTCTGACCGGCAGGTCGGACCCCAGGGTAAGGATCCCGAAACAGGTTCGCATCCTTCGACCTCTGGTACGAGGTCGTCGGCTTTTCTAAATCCGCGTCCGCCATATTTGCAGTTATATCAGAAGTTCATCTCTAAGTAAGTATTCTCGTTTGGGGGGCTCTTGGAGGACTGCTGCACGACAGTGTGGAGGATTCATCATAGGATAGGATAGGATAGGAGTTGGCTCACCTGCGACAAGGTAAGCGTATTTTGGTGTTGTTGTTGTTGTTGTTGGGGAAGTGATTTCCTAAAAAAAACGTCGAGTTGGAAAGTTCTACGCTCGAGCTTTTTCCAACGATCGTTCGAGTAAAACGTCGATTTGGAAAATTCTACGCTCGAGTAACATTTGCGAAACAACAAGCGACTCTTCTCTCTACGCCCTTTTCCACGATGAAATTCCGCCGTCACTCCTCGCAAGGACCGAAATAACTCGATGATCCATCCTGTGTGCATTACCTGGAAGGCCTCTTATGCCATGTAGCATGACTCGCATTTCTGTTCCTTCTCAAAAAAACAGCTAATTGTGATGAAAGTTGTTCGATTGCAAGTTTAGTTCATCCTAGCAGTGTAACGAGAAGACCACTCATCTTTTCTACTGGCTGTTGCCACCCTGTCAATAGTGTTCGCCAGAATTCACTGGTACTGCTCGGTCCTCATCGTCCACCACATTGAGTCAAGGAGCTGCTCACCGCCAATTACCAGTAATCCCCTATTCACACTCAAGTAGCTAGCTCCCGCCCGCAACCCAGCATTCCATCTTCTAGTACTACTCTCACAGGAACAAGTAGAAGAACTCCCTTCACTCCCCTTGCTCCAGCACCGCTTTGAAATCCGCATCGCGCTCAGCCAATTCGTCCAAAGTTGTTTTTGCCTCTACCAGTTCTTTTGGTTGATCTTCGCTGGTCACACCGTCTTCCGCGCCAGAAGACGCTGTGCTGATCGCCTCCAGCTCGTCCGGGAAGGCTTCCTTGAGAAAAGAATTCAATTCCACTGCGTATTTCTCTAGCCGTTTCTTAGCTTCGGGTAAAACGGTGAGAGTCTCGTTGAGGCACTCCTGCTGCTGCTTGATGTCGTATGGGAGATGAACGGGGAGGGAAAGGGCAGATTACATCTCGCATCAACCTGCGTGACACCTTGGATAAAAAAAAGAGAGGGATTAGGATTAGGACTCGGTCCGCCGTCCACAGTTTTACCTGCATAATCGAGCGGATTAACGCAGCCGTAGAAGGACTACAATGTATAAATCAAACCTCATCTACAAACCCAGACAACATAACACAAAAAAAAAGAAGCTACCCTGTAAAAAAAACGTTCTCTTCTGTTTTTCCATAATTATCACGTCCCGCTTCGGTCATCTGCTTCACCGTATCACGCTGTTTTATTTCCTCCTTGACGTAAAAGTCATACTCCTTCTTACTCCTCTTCACTGTTCCCAGCTTGATTTTAAGCTGGCGAGCATCCTCTGCCGAGACTACCATTTTGTTTGCTGTTCACAAAAATGCTTAATTGACAAAGTCAGAAATGATTAGACTTGAATTACTTTCACCACAGTATTCAATATTATTACCTAAAGTGTTGTAGTAAAGAATCAGATCGTGAAAACGAAGAGCACAAGCCCAAAGCTTCAATTGAGACATCACGTGTTAGCTAAAACACTAATACCACCAATCGGGAGTGGCGTTGATCAAGTATTCGTGTGTAGTTCTACTCCATGATTTTCAAAACGCACCATTTGCCATCTCTTCTTTCACTACGCACTGTCGTTTGCGGGTACCTCCCACGCTATTCAAGAAATTCATCTGCTAGTTTCTTTCATCCTCTTCATGAACAGCACCTGTTGCATGAATACGTAGCATCATCAATTTGCGTATTTCCTGATGAAATTCTTGATGTGGCGCGCGTCTCCACACTTTTCATCTATAGTAAACGTTGGATGATTTTCTGTACTTCCTCCCCTTGTTGCAAAATATATCCCCGGCATTCTTACAATCCCATTAAAAAAGAATGGCGTTTAAAAAAATATTTCGGATTGAACTTCTCCTGCTTCGTGCTGTGAAGACATTAGGTTGTTGCGTGTTGTCTTGTTTTCTTGCACCTTCTTATTGCCCGTCTGCTTGAAAAAGGAAAATAGCCCCGAAGGGGCTGGTGTTGTCAATCTCATCAAAGAGCTGTCGGAAAATAAAGAATGAAGAGTAATGAAGAAAAAGTCGGTCAAGGTATGGGGTGGTGTGGTCGCGGTTCGCTGTTGTTGATCATCTTCGTAGATATCACCACGCCACCCATGATCTGCAATTTGTGGATAGTACTTGTTGTTTTCTTGTGAATAGTACTTGTTGCTCTCTTGTTCTGCGATTGTACTGGTCTCAACAGTTTTGTAAACGCAATACTTATGCTTCTCCTCTACATTCCAACTTCTTTCATCTACTAGTTTCACCGAAAATTTGTCGACTGCCCAAGCATAGATGGCTGACTCAGCGCTCTGGCCATGGATGGTAGTACGCGGATCTAAAGGATCTAAGCCTAAAACGCCATGGACTACGCAGTCGAGAAAGAAATGCCCATTCTCTGGTTTCTCAAACAAAGCTGGCGCAGCATTGCGGTGCAAGGGCCACAGGTTCTGAACCGCTTCGAGCTGTCCGGTGGTGCAACAAGGCTTTCTATTCATCATATTCCCCTTTGGTGGAGTGTGTTGTTGTTCTCTGTTCAATAGTGATGACTGTTTTCTTGTTTTTTCTTCCTCTACTCCTGCATTACCACTGCCAGCATTAACACTACCAGCATTACCACTACCATCACCATCCCTTTCGTGACCTCCTCCACCACCACCACTAACGCCATCCTCTTCACCACACCAATCATCCAAATTGCACTCAATCCCCAAGGTACTTCCGATTTCCGACAGATCGTATTTCGACTGCATTACCAGTAGCGGCGTTTCAATCAATTCCGCATAGCTGTCCTCGTACAAACACTTATCGGGATCATCCGCAAACTTCTTGTGGATACAGTTCTGATGCAAGGCAGCATGGCCTTAAAGGTTGCTGAGTTACATTTTTCAAAATGTCCTTGGCCTCTGTCCTACTGGAAAGCAGGGCAAGGATGGTCGTGAAGGATGTAATTTGGAAACCCTTAATAACCGTTTGATAGGCGGAAGAGGTTTGTCATCTTGTGGCCCCAGAGGTCTGGACCTGCGAAAGTGTTGAGTTTCAGGAAGTAACCAGCATTGGGGACGCCGAGAACCTCGATCTTCGCAGCATGCTCATGTTCGCGTTCGGGCAAAGAAGTGTCCTCTTTTGTACTACTTCTACTGTCGTCCACCCCAGCTGCGACGACCTGGCGTTGTCGAGAGGCAGCTGCGGCTGAAACATCCATCTTTATCCATTTTGCGAAAGTGTCAATGTGATAAAAAACCGCACTGCCACCAGCAGAGCCACCGCTAAGAATGACACGAGACAGAGGTGGGGAAGAAGATGTCGAGAAAATATTCGCGATCGCCGCACTTAGTTCCCGCAAAATCCGGAAACCATCGAAATGCAATTGTTAGACAAGGAGACTCCGGATTGAGATCAGGTTGATCAGGTTCTATAAATATGTTCGCAATTCCCGAAAAACTAGTGCGGGTTTAGGGTTGAATTGTTTGTTTTGTAACAATGATCAGGAGGAGTCCAGAAGAGGGAAAAAAGTCAACTTGCTCTAAAAGGTTTTCTACCTTCCTCTAGGGATGATCTAGGACCTAGCACTAGTGGCCTTCTTACACGTCTCACACATGTTCCAGTTAACGATTTCTTTCCAACATTTCCAATTCATAAAGTGTGTCAACTGTTGCGTTTCCCGAGAAACTAGTGCCGTCACAGTAGGGCACAAAAGCGTAGACGAATGATTTTGCGATCTCCCGTTTCCATGGAGCAAGGGTTATCTTTGGCGGATAACTCAACGAGGAACCCAATCTGGATATTCATGGATATTCATCTTTCGATGCTAGTCGAAATATGTTATAAATATGTTATGGGTGGAGGACGTAAAAGATTTTTTGATTGGGAATGTGATGATTTGATGTTGTGGGCAGAGGTAAAAGACAAGGTATTGATGTTTTGATATTCTGCGTGCAGATAAAAGGAATAAGGATGTTGACAGCCTAGTTTTCCAGAGGCTACGAATCATAATGTACTTGGTTGAAGTAAAAGATGCACTCATATTGTTGTTTGAGAACCACACGTTGTTACACAATATGATGCACGTGTTGATCTTCTTTAATCTCAAGAGACATCATGAAGTCATCTACTATAAATCTGAGAAACAAGTCAGATGTGACTGATTTTGGCTTTTCATTACTGCCACATGACAAATCTAGTGCTAGACCGCATAAGCAAAGAAACTACGTCGATTTTTTGGCTCTACTAGTATACCGTGTGACCGCTCTTTGCTTGCAGGCCTCAATAGTTGCGTTACGGTCGTCGCCATAGCACCATCCGCCGCCTTGCAGATCCATGAACAGACCGTTGGCTACTGTCGCTTCCCAGTTTTCACGCTCTTCTAAGTAGAACCCGGCAGGCGATCCATCTAAGCATCTGCCGCTCGGTAGAGAGTGCCACTCGAGTAGAGTTTCGCCCACCGCGAAGCAAGTGGCACCGAGAGTGAGAAAGGCCAGCGCGAGTCCACTAGCACAGGAGGCCATTTTTTGCGGTTACACTACAACTTTTTAATCAGCACGATTTTTCTGCTCGGCGGCTCGAAGTCTTAAGAAAAAAGCGATCCTAATTTTTGTGCGGCGGGTCTTTGTTATGATGCAGTGGCGCGCGATGGAGAGGGATTATAAAGCACCGCCCCCTCCGTTTTCGGGCCGTCGCGTGACCGTGGAGAGGCGGCAGCCGGGCGCCCCAGGGGAAGGGAGGGGGGCGCGCCCGTGACACCCTATGACAACCGCATCCACCTGAGGAGCGTGACGCGCGCGGGGGCATTAGCGTGACGCGCGACGCGCTGAGGAGCGTGACGCGCGTGGGAGTATTAGGGAGGGCGCGGGAGGGTGTGACGCGCGAGGAGGCATTGGCGCGACACGCGACGGCGGGACGCGTGGCGCGAGGTGCGAGACGTGGAACACCGTGACGCGCCACAGCGTGTTTGGCTGAGGACGTGGCGCCGCAGCGTGTGGCGGTGTCAAATGTGAGGGCGTGGCCTGTGGCGCTGTCACAGGTGGAGGCGTGACATGTGACGGCGTGACAAGTGACGGCGTGACGCGTGGCGGCATGACGTGTGGCGGCGTGACATGTGACGGCGGGAGGGTGCGGCGGTGTGTAGTCTGTGTGGTGGGTGAGGTGTCTGCGAGGGTTTTGCGCGCATGCGTCTCGCTGCCCATGGGTGGGCCGCCAGGCATTGCCTCTTCGGGTGGCTTGTTTTGTTGTGGTGGTCAGGCCTATATCTCATCCCCACGCCGCCAACATGGTCTGGCGCCTTCGTTGTCATATCTTTGGGGTGCTGGGGTGTTCCTATTCGGCGGGCCGGTAGATCTCGGGCCACGGATTTTCTCAGATCACACGGCCGCCCGCGAATTTTTCTCCGATCATACGGCCGCCCACGCCTTTGCCGCAGACCAGGCGGCCGCCTAAAGATTTGCCGCAGATGATACTCACGGCCGTCGCCGGATTTGTCTCAGATCCTATGGCCGTCCACGGACTTCCCCCCGATCATACGGCCGCCCAATGCTTTGTCGCAGATGATGCGGCCCCCAAAGGACTTGCCTCTGATCATACGGCCGCCCGCGGATTTGTCTCCGATGATGCTCAAGGCCGTCCGCGGAGTTGCCGCAGATCCTACGGCCGTCCGCAGGTTTGTCGCAGATGATATGGCCGCCCGCGGATTTGCCACAGATGATACGGCCGCCAACGGATTTGCCTCAGGTGATAGAGTCGCCCGCGGATTTGTTTCAGATCCTACGGCCGTCCACGCATTTGCCTCGGCTCCTGCGGTCATCCACGGGGGGACTTGCCTCAGATAATCCCGCAGCTTCGTCGCGCTCACTCTCCGGGGCACCTTCGTATCAAAGGGCACGCCGCAGAAGCGTGGCGCGCGATGCATCGGGGCAAGCAAGTCCTCCCCTCCTATAGTAGGGGGGAAGGGGAAAGGGTTTGGCCTGGGGTCTATACGGCGCTCGCCAGTTCTTACGGGGCGCGCCCAATGTCCCCGGGGACGCGACGCCGGGGAGGACAGGAGAGAACCGGGGGCGAACGCGGCGGCCAAGTGAGCGATGCCAAGAAATGGAGGCCATTTAGCCGACAGCCACGCCGCCCGGCCCGCGGCCCTGCCTCAACTACTTCCGCGCTTGGAAGGAACCCGGGGGGGGGCGCGGGCATGCCGCAAGGGGCGGCGCGGCGAGATAAGCGGGCGGGGGGGGG